CTTATATTGGAGACAATAAAATACCAAGTTAACAATGACAGAGCTTGAAGAAGGTTGCATTAAATCATGTTGCAAGCACACACACAAAGTCCAAAGAACATTCTCTTACAGCCACTTTATTGGGGCAAGGATGTTATGCACCAGACGAAACCCTGGGGTCAGACTTGAAGTGATATTCATTAGGCAACTTATATTTGCACAACTGATTGAAAACTAAATAGCCAGCCTGGAAGAAAGGCAAACCCAATTAGAACTGTACTGTGTGTGGGGTGGGGGGGAGAGAGCTTTAACCTTTTACTCCACTGTGATCCCAGGTTGCTCCCCACTGTACTGTTTCAGTCCACTTTCCCTTAGTAGATGCAGGGGCATTAGACGCTTATCTATTCTGGTTTCATAGGGTCATTTTGGAGAAGCTTAGTCATGATCTGGAAATTATGAAATTAACATACATTAACAAAACATATAATATGCATATGCAATATAAACATACTTGAGTATACAAATGCTACCTTTAGCTTGAAAAAATCACTACTGAGATTTTCAGAAGAACTCGAATATTTAGTATATAAATAATCCAGTTACAATTAGCTGCATGCTACTAAAAAACAGAGACATCACCCTGCCAACAAAAGTGCGTATAGTCAAGGCTATGGTTTTCCCAGTTGCAATGTATGGCTGTGAAAGCTGGACCATAAGGAAGGCTGAGTGCAAAAGGATTGAGGCCTTTGAATTGTGGTGCTGGAGAAGACTCCTGCAAGTCCCTTGGACTGCAAGGCGATCAAACCAGTCAGTCCTAGAGATCAACCCTGACTGCTCTTTAGAATGCCGGATCCTGAAGATGAAACTCAAATACTTTGGCCACCTAATGAGAAGGAAGGACTCCCTGGAGAAGACCCTAATGCTGGGAACAATTGACGGCAAAAGAAGGGGATGGCGGAGGATAAGGTGGATAGATGGAGTCAATGAAGCAGTCGGTGTGAGCTTAAGTGGACTCGGGGATGGTGGAAGACAGGAAGGCCTAGAGGAATGTTGTCCATGGGGTCGCGATGGGTCAGACACGACTTCACAACTAACACCACCGCCACCTGAAGAAATATAAAACACATCCAGTCCAAAATGTAAAACAAAAACAAAAAAAAACATTTCAATTTAGAGTGAATGAGGTGGATCCAAAGTTGACCCTTTGGGAAAGTTAGGCCTTCTTCTGGTCATAGAAGGAACAGAACTAGCAGATTGTCTCTGCTGGAGGAAAGGGGCTAGCCAGTGCGTTTCACCCATTCTTCCTCCCCCTTGCAGCCTTCATCACTAATCTGCACACTGTTTGGAGGGCCCAGAGTGGGTCCCCTCACCACTCTAACACAGGATAGAATGTCTTTGAGATACAAATGGCACCAACTGGAATTTAACATTCCAGTTGGATTTCTGTTTGTTTCTGCTCTCTGGCACTGCTCTTTTCACATATTCTGTTTCTTCTGTGCCTTAGAACAAAGGGTGTTTTTCTTCAAATCTATGAATTTATTGCTATCCAAACAGTGCCCAAGCATACTTACTCTGGGTGCAATGTAAACTTGTAAGATGGGTCTCCTTCCAACACACAAAATATTTTGAAAATATTAATTGGTGTCCATTGCCTTCTTTAAGTCCCTTATGCCTCTTTGGCTGCTTGCTTTAAGTTTATAGGCCAGACACATTTCTCATTTAAACATTCCCTGTTCCTAGGATCAAGTATTATTCTCTCTCTCTCTTTCTGTGCGTGCGCGTGCAAGCGAGAGACAGACAGATGGAGGGTGGGAGGGAGGGTGGCTAAGTTATTTGTTGGTATCACCAGCATTGGTTACCTGCAATATCAATATCCCCGATTATAGTACATGTCCCACCCTCCTGCTACTGGACTCCCCAAACAGCTCCCCCAGTACATCAGAAGATACCTCCCAGGAGTAACACAAGCTTTGTTCTTCTGGGAAGGCAGCCCTTCTGTCTTTCAAATGTGAAGTACTAGGGCAGCCTTCCACAACCTGATGACCTCCAGATGTTTTGGAATTCCATTCCCATTTACCCTAGGCAGCACAGTCAATGGTCAGGAATTCTGGGAGTTGTTCAATAAAACATCTAGAGGAAACGGAATTGAAGAAGGCTGCCCTAGACAGCCTGGTCTGAACCAAAAGATCATGTCTGCCTGTGTTTCCTTCCTTTACCACCCCAAAGCCAAAGTGCTCTGGGTAGTCAACAAAAGTAATAAATGCCATCATATACAATATACTACTACTTCTGATTAATTTCAGCAAATCTCGCAAGGTCTGAATACCCTGCATAGAAACAGGGAGATATATTTGCATCATCACCTGATTCCTGTACCAACAGGGTAGTGAGTGTGTCTCCAAGGCTGCATCCCATGCCCCCACTTCTGTGTCATGTTTCCCCTTGTCTCTCCTGTGTCCCGGGGGTACTGCTTCTGTGACCATTTTCTTGCACCAATAAAATGGTATGTGCAATTGCAGCATGTACATCAAATAGGATGCATATACATGGGATGAGGCACATGACCATTCACATTTCAGATATGGCACTAATTAAAATAGCAATCAGCATTTCAATACGGCACACTTCTGTGCAACTGTTCCACCCAAAGAGATGGGTAAGCAGGCGGGGGGGGGAGGCAGAAAAATTAATGTTGCATTTTATAAACCAGTTAAGACAAAGGGTTTTTAATCAAAGCTGATATAACCCCATTGACCTCAAATGAACTTGTACCCTTAAATTACCTAAACATTTACAATGCAAGCAATATTTATGCATACTGTTTCATGAAGCTATAATAGCATAGATACTAACAAACTATTTTACATTTTTATGTCCTAGTCCAGGAAATCAAAGTAGGGAGCTGTACCTCATTCCTCATACCATTCTTAGAGCAAAGCTTCCTGGCCAGACAGTGATTAAATGTGTCTAGGACATTCAGTAACAGCTTGTATGCCAAATTAATAGGTTCATTCAGAAACAAATATTTAGCTGACTGCTGCTCAGGTATTACACACATTTGCACAGGATGTCTGGGATAAAGCACAGGGTATTATTTTTCTGTGGCCTCAGGATACTGTCCTAAGCACCACCAACCCTATTAAAGGCACTTGATCAGTTGGTTTTCTGAAGGCTCCATCTCAACAACCAAAGGGGAAGATCTACATCATTTCCCAACCAACTAGTGTTGGAAGGAGGGTGATACTGGGGAGAGGACTCCTATTATTTTGGACATTATCATCCCGTTTAGTGAACATTTTCAAGCATTGACCATTACACTACTGTGGTCTACTAATATCCAAATGTTGCAGAGCATTTTGAACATTACAGCTTTCTAATGTTTAGGATGACCTCATGTGAACAAGGTTTTGGGAGGTTTTTTGGGGTGGGGGTTTGTTTTGCAGTTTCCCAGATTTTTACTGAAAATTGGCTTATCACAATTTACATGGAAAGATTTGTTTGTTTACCTTAAAAAGCACCCCAAATTAGAGCAGAGACAAGGTTCAAAGAAACCATGTAATGAAGCAGAGAATATTTGGTTTTCTGCACCAGCCAAGAATCAATGGTATTTTTTAGTTCTGCAGTCCTCAGCATGTGGATACAAATGCACCTGAGGGAGCAATCCCGTGAGCCTAGAGGGAGTCTGAGGGGCCATAGGGTATTTTTGATCCTCTGATCTGAGGTTAGAGAATTATGGAATCACAGAATAGTAGAGCTGAAAGGGACCAGAAGGCCATCAGGTCCAACTTCCTGCTCAACGAAGGATTCCCAGTTAAACCAACCCTCTCAGAGGGCTGTGCAGTTGCATCTTGAATGTGTTTACTGTGGAAGAGCCCATACCTTCCCTAGGTCATTGGTTTCATTGCTGTACTGCTCTAACAGTCAGGAAATTTTTCCCAATATCTAGTTGGAATTTGGCTTCCTGTAACACGAGCCCATTATTCTGTGAACTGCTCTCTGGGATGATTGAAAAGAGATCTTGTCCCCTTCTTGTGACAGCCTCGCCACAAGTTTTCTCTTCTAGAGGCTAAACATGCCCTGTTCTTTCCATCTCTCCTCAGAAGGCTTTGTTTTCAGACCCTGAATCATCCTTGTTGCCCCCACCCCCCAACCCTTTCCAGCTTGCCTGCCTCTTTCTTGGACTGTGATGTCCAGAATTGGACATAGTACTCCAGATGAGGCCTAATGAGTGTTGAGTAAAGGGGAACCAGTACTTCGTGGAATTTGGGAGATACTTTAGTAATGCAGCCTAAAATAGCAGTTGCTCTTTTTGCAGCCACATCACATTGTGTCTCATATTCAGCTTGCGATCTACAACAATTCCATGATTCTACTCAATTGCAGCATTGCTGAGCCAAGCATTCCCCATCCTGTAACAATGCATTTGGGTTCTTTTTCCTAGGTGCAGAACTTGGCATTTGCCTCTATTGAATTTCCAGCATTAGGTGGGGGGACAGGAGTGCCTCCCCACTTGCCTGTTCCCTCACAGCAGGCATGCAAAGAACCATGCTGGATGCTTTCTAAGGTAAGGAGCACCCCCTCTGAGAAGGGGGCTATTCTGGTGGGCAGGGAGGAGAGAGGCCAGGATAGGAGTTCTCTTGCAGCTGCTCCCACCTAGTTCCTGCCTCCTGTAAAGTGCCGCAGCTTGACAGTCAAAAAAGCCCATCTGGCAAATAATGCAGGGTGGAAGGATGAGGAGGTGAAGAACATGGCCTGCATAGGATGTGTGTTAAGCTCCCAAACTGGATGGCTATGATCATGAAGCAAACAACCCAGAGGACTGCAACTAAATTAAAAAACAAGGGCAATGGGAGGTAATAACTCCTCATTTCACTGTAGATAGGAACATTTAAAAACTGATATGGTGCATTATTGTAGCACAGCAGGCCAGTACTTGTGCTGCAATCTTGTAGTATGGTTTAAAATTACTGCCATTTGGCGTATTTTGTCCTAGAACTTGGAAATAAAGAGGTAACACAGGATCCCACATAAGGCAAGCTGTTTCTAATTTTCTGTGAAGCAATCACTGCAACAGTCATTAAATCTCGTGAATTCAGTATTCTTGAGCAATGCATTTTGCAATCGTGTTCAACTGGATATTTGAAGTTCCTTCATATATGGTGCCTGAAACAAACCATCGGGGGAAAATGAATCAATATGTAATTGAGGCAAAGCTAATCATCCTATAATGTGTCTTCTAGTACTGCAATGGGAGTAATTCTTGTGATCAGTGCAGTATATAACCCTTTCAGCAGGAACTTTTGAGCATGGTTAGCAAGTTTTATCACAAAGAAAAATTTAAGGGCAAATTCACAAAAGCAGCAACTTGTATGTGTGAAATGAGTATCATAGATAATTCCACATCATCTTTTATATATTAAAGTCCATTGAAGAGAAGGCGCTCATTAAGCTCTGACTCACTGATTGACAAAAGAGCCATCCTCATACAGGCATGATTAGTCCTGCGTTAGGCTATAGAGGGGACTGCAGGTGGCGCAGTGGTTTAAACTGCTGTGCTGCTGGGCTGGTTGATTGAAAGGTCGCTGGTTTGAATCTGCACAACTGGGTGAGCTCTCGTTGCTTTGTCCCAGCTCCTGCCAACCTTGCAGTTCGAAAGCATGCAAATGCAAGTAGATAAAAAGGTACCACTTAGGTGGGCAGGTAACAGCGTTCCGTGCACTTCAGTGTTTAGTCATGCTGGCCACATGACCATGGAGACTGTCTGCGGAAAAACGCTGACTCCCTTGGCTAGGAAATGGAGATGAGCACCACCCCCTAGGACAGGGGTCTCAAACTCAACTTACCTGGGGGCCGCTGGAAGTAGAGTCTGGGTGAGGCTGGGCCGCATCAAGTATTCCACCACTCCCGGAGGCCAGCCTGAGCACCGCCAGCGCTTTGAAGGCCGCAGGGCCCCTTCCCCGTGCCCCGCCCGTCCTGGCAATTGGCCCACGGGCTGCAAGTTTGAGACCCCTGCCCTAGAGTCAGGCATGACTGGACTTAATGTCAAGGGGAAACCTTTACCACCTTTACCTTTAAGGCTATAGAAAATGTATGCAAAGCATCACAATGTATTTCCTAATCAAAATTTATGTTAGTGTCCAGGCAGACTTTGTCCTGGTGCCATTTCACACCCAGCTGCACTGGACTTGCTTCCCTGCCATCCACTCCCTTGTAGGTGGAGACGAACGGCGAGTGACACAGCCATGAGGGCATGGCCAATTGCACTGGTTTGCCCACACAGCTGCTTGTGGAAAACGTAACTTCTAACCTATACTGAAATTGTATGCGATTAACAAAATACGGCACGGTAGCAGTTTCACAACTGGAAAAGTCAGGAACCAGGTGTTACTAACAGTGCAGGTTAAAACTGACAAAAACTGAATATCTGTATCAGAGGAACAATAGCAATGTGAAATGACCCCCTCCGATTATTTTCCTGATCACTGGACTCCAGATCTGAAAGAATAATGTTTCCATGTGCAACATATCATCCATAAGAAAGGGCTACTTACCGATCTTGCAGTCCCTGTAATATTTTTCAATAGGATAATCTTTTGTGAAGCCAACTCCACCCATCCACTCCATACACTTACTTGTAGTTAGAGTTGCAACCTACAAAATATTCAGCAGGCAAGAGTTCTCACTTTATGCTGTTCTGATCATGAGATGCCAAGAAATGTAACCGCACACCTAGCATTTGGTTGTCATGCCTTTCAGCATGAGTACACAGTGGGCATGGTCATTCACCCATGTGTGGATATACCCACCCATGTGCATGCTGGATGCTTATTGTCCCACTTCCCTAATTCCTCTCACTGGGCATGGCTTGATGTTCCCCGTGACGCCGGAGAGCATGGGGAGCTGTGCTGGTCAACTCTGCTGCAGGGTGGCTTGGTGCCTTATTCAGCACCCCACCCAAACACCCTCACTGGATCTGTATGTAGTGACAAGCTCATCCAGGGAGAGTAATTAGGGAAATGAGCCAGCATGTGCAAGGCTAGTATAATCCACCCACTATGATAGATTATAGAGTCAAATTAATTTCAATATGAATACTACAGAGAGCAGAAGTAATGCTTAAGGAAATAAAATACAAACCAAGATGATGACAAGTTCAATATGGGCCATTCCATTTGTTAAGCAACATAAAGCTCTTCCAACATAATCTTGAGATCTGCAGGAGAGGCCCTTCTCCGGGAACCCTCCATGAAAGAAATTAGGAGGGTAGGTACTCGGAGGAGGGCTTTCTCTGCGGTGGCACCCAATCTATGGAATGCGCTCCCCAGAGAGGTCCGCCTGGCACCATCGTTATTTGTTTTTTGGCGCCAGGCAAAGACCTTTTTATTTAAACGCCATTTTAATTGTTAACGTTATTTGCTTATTTTATCTGGCCAGGGCGACTTATTTTATATTGTTAATTTGTTTTATATTTTTAATGTATTATATTTTAATTTATGTTGTGAGCCACCCCGAGGCTTCGGCAAATGGGGCGGGATAGAAATGTTTTAAATAAATAAATAAATAAAATAACACTAAGCGGGAATTAACGCCGAATAAACAAACAAATGTGCTGTACATCAGGGGTATTCAATCTCTTACTGAAGACACACAGAAGTAGTTAAGAGCTAATTAGGAAGCAGCATGGGAGGAAAGTCCTGCAGGCTGCAAAACACCTGTCAATCATAAGGCAGCCCAGAACGGCATGGTGCTCTTCTTAAAGCATTAAGCAGCATGCCAGTTTCAACCATTTCACAGAGCAGTCGGTTATTAACACGTAATTGATACTGAAAAGGAATTAATTACATTTTATGAATAACTTAAAAAGCAGCATCTAGAGACAGGAGAATTTATTTTTCTTTGCCCATCCTTGAATTTTGGATAGCAATTAAGGGAAATTGTTGATTTCCTTTCCCTGTCTGCCCTCCACTTCCACACCTTTTCAATGAACTCTCTGCATCTTTACTCCAATCTCAAAGCCATTTCTAAAAGCCCGTCCAAAAAATAAATAAATAAATTTTAAAAAATCAACATTTCTGTTGTTGCCAGAGGATGCAACAGCAATCATGGCAACATCTGCCAGGAGGCCTCTTTGCAAAAAGACAAAAACATCCCACTTTGGAACAACTTTTGGTGGTTTGCACTTCTAGATGTCCCTGAAGCAATCAGACATTAATCTTAGTCAGCATCTTCCATTCAGGCAGTGGGATTTCAAATGTCAGCCCCCTGATTCAGACTTCTGAAGTAGCTTCTCACACAGCAGGCACAATTTGGAGTGGAAAAGACTTGTGGCGTTCCAATGGGTTGAAGCACATTCAAGTCTGCATCAGACTGGGGCAGGCAGGACACAGAAAGGGTAGAGGAAGTCTGAGAGGCTTTCTGTATCCAAACCAGTGGCCTGAGAACCATGTAATCAGTTCTGAACAACCTAGGCTCTTTAGGGCTTGCTGCTGTCTCCATTCCTTCGTGGTAAATTGCTTTTGAATGGTGAGCCTTTCAAATGCAGTTTTCAATACAGCAGCGGTTCTGAGCCAGTGTGGTGTAGTGGTTAAGAGCCTGGGACTGGGACTCAGACGATGTGGGTTCTAGTCCCTGCTCAGCCATGGAGCCAACTGGGTGACTCTGGGCCAGTCACAGACTCTCAGCCCAACCTACCTCACAGGGGGATAAGATGGAGGAGAGAATGGTGTAAGCTGCCTTGAGCCCTTTGTAGGAAAAAGGCAGGATATAAATCCAAAAATAAATAAATAAACAAACAAGCAAACAAACAAACAAATAAACAAACTAAAAAAGCAAGCAAACAAACCCAGCAGGCACACTTAAAGTGACATCTAGACACAAAGACAGTATATACTTTAATATGTGGTCAATATTCTAGAGTACCAGGAATCTGACCTTTTCACCTGGAGGGAGAAAAAAGTCTGCATCTTCGTTCAAGTGGCAAATCTGGTGATAATGGCATGCTTCAACCTAGCTTTTCAATATAATTTTCATCCTTCAGAATGGAAAATAGTTTTTTCCTTCCTAAAATGTTGATGCTAATCAAACAGGTTTAAAATTTAGTATTTGGTTTCATTATTGAGTGGATTCATACAACCAGGGAAGGAGAAGGTGCCATGGTGGCATCTTTCCTTTGCCCATGCATGCTGGTTGTGTACCTCCTCATTCCCATAATTACCTGACCCAGAGACTGCTTGCCATGTCATCCAAACCCAGCAAGGGAAGACAGCGGGGTGGCTTCCAAACCATTCTTCCTTCCACCTTACCAAGTTTGGACAAGATGGCAACCCAAACCTGGTGTGGGCAATGATGGAAATGAGGCAGCATACAATGGACATGCATGGGGTGAGGAAAAGCAATTAGCCTGGCTTCCTTTCTTTCCCTCATTATGTGAACCCAACTATTATTTCTCTTGAGAAGGAGGAGGGAGGGGGAGGAGCGCTGGAGGAAACCAAGTACATACACAGTAAACATCAAATAAAACTGTAACTCCCCTTCTATTATGCTTCAAAATGAAAAGAAAAAATAAATCCAGCTTACCTCTGCTGTGTAATATTTAGCCATGCTTGCCTCTTTTATAAATGGCTTTCCAATTTCTGCAAGTCGGGCTGCATTATATGTGAGCAACCTTGCAGCTTCTATTTGTACAAGCACATGAGCAATCTGATGTTGCATTCCCTTGTAAGAAGAAAGCACCACATTGAACAAAGAACGGACAAAACAAAATCAACCTTCCCTTCTTGGCTACTAACAGTATATTCCATTTCTGATCTCGTGAGTTCATGTCACCTCAATCTTTGCATGTTTACTTGGATATAAACCCAGCTGTGTTCAGTGACACTTTCTTCCAGGTAAATGTGCATAGAATTGCAGCCCACATGGCCAGGAGATAGCTTAAAAGTAATCATTGAGAAACAGGAAAACATTGGTATCATTACCCTTTATAAACTCATGTTACGGGTGGAATCCTAAAGGGATGCCCACAACCCTCTGAACTCAGAAGATTACTATGCAGAGAGGCAACGGATATTTCCACACACTCTGCAAAGCAGCGGGACAGCTGACTTTGGCTCGCTACCTGCAGCACTTCAAAGAGGGAGGGGAGGAGATTGAGGTGCTGCTGCCAGGACACACTGTACCTTGGTGGCACTGGTCTCCTCCACTCCCTGCATCCTGGAACGCCCCTTTCCTCTGACACCACTCTGCAAAGGGCATCCCGAGGATGCAGTCACAGCGCCAAGGTCAGAGCTGTTTTCTGATGGCAGAGCTGGGACTCTGGAAAATCCTATGGCCTTCGATACTGTCTCTGCCAAACATGTGAGCATTACATTGTTAGCTGAGTTATTACTAAGGTTTTAAATGGCAGAATAATCATGAAACAATTCAGTTAATTGTTCAGGTCAGTCAATAACCAAGAGAGAAGCACCTCTCAGGTTACAGAATAGTCTTCTTATAGCTATATTGGCAAATGTATTAACTCTTGAGAGAGGGGCTTCAAATCAACTAACCCTTTCTAGCCAGAATTAGCCATAAGACAGCAGTTGCAATAGTGTAGCCTACAACAGCTTGGCTATGTCAGAGGACATCATCGCTGGCCATCAGCCTTTCCTCCTTTACATTTAGAGGCACTTCTAGAACGTGCTGATCAATAGCTACCTGAAAATCAAATATACTTTTTCCAAACTGTTTCCTCTCCATTGTATAGGGAATAGTGCGGTCAAAACATCCTTGCGCTAGTCCCAGCATCTGTGAAGGAATAACAACGCCACCACAAACGTTAGTATGTTGGCTTGTCAATTGTCTGGGTCCTTTTACATTTCGAGCAAACCTTACTATAAACTGAGCATTACTGAGCACCCCCAACCCTGGTAAATGCTCTGAAGCTCATTGGAACAAATGCAGCAGTGACGGACCCCCCGGCCAGCCCTGCCCACATTGGCCCTCAAGCCCAGAGGCTGCTTGGGGAGAAGGTGGGGAAAGGAACGCTCTGCGATTTACTGAAAGAGCTGACTAGTAGGGAAACAGGATGAGGCTGCAGTGGGGAGGGCAGTGCCTTCTGAAAGCGCAGCTTCACGCCTCTTCTCTCTGTGCCTTGGTGGTGAAGGCGGCTCCAGATATGGAACACTTTAAAAAATACCCTTTTTCTTCCTGCTGGAGCAGAATCTGACACAGCTTCCATGAGCCGTAGGAAAGGTGGCTATGCAGCTTGCTCACCTCTGCTTTAAAGTCCATAATCCCATAGCATTTGAGAAGGGCATGCACAGAGCAAGTACACAACCCAACAGCCAGATTCTAATCCCTCTAACTGCAGATATAAAAGGTTTTGTTATGGCTCTTTGAGATGTTGTAGCAATCAGAAGCTTATACGTTCTATGTGATGTCTGTACTAGACTTAAGTATTTACAGCCTTACTCACCTGTGCTGCTATTCCAATCCTTCCTGTGTTGAGCATTTCAATTACATACTTATAGCCCCGTCCAAATTGCCCCAGCATATTGCTCTCTGGAACCTGACAAATTAAAATTAGTCGATTAGTCTTTGTCCTTTTATTTAAGAATGCCAAACATGTACTGAAGTTATGATGTTGCATTCCAAAGCAGAAACAAATAAAAACTGTGTTACATCTGGGTGATAAAATATTTACATTTGGGCCTCAAACAAAGGTTTAAGACAGGGGTGGAGAACTGTTTAATGATGGGGGGCAGACTGCCCTCCCCCAGGCCCACCACTGGATGGAGGATGCCAGAGGCTGTGACTCTTCCTCCTGATGCTACCCCCTTTATTCTTTTTCATTTCTCATTGTCCTGGAAGGAGGCATGGAACTCTGCTTCTTCCAAGCAAAGGGAAAGGGATCCAGGCTACCCCACATCTCCGCTATCTCCAATGGAGGAAGCAGAGGGATGAGAGGTGAAAGATGTTCAGACTCAGCTGCGCTCAGAAAAGGGGCCACACTTCCATGCGTAGATGAGTCCCAATGCTGAAGCCACCCCACGCTCATGAAGGGGGCATCTTCTCAGGTGATTCCTCCAGGAATCAGCACTCGAAGCCAACAGCCCACACGCAGGAAGAATCGCAAAAGAATACATTGGCCAGATTAGGCCCAAACATTGGATCTTCTGTTTTAAAATATGGCTCCAGTGAGATTCAACTCCATTTAGGGTTATATTTAGCAGTGCATACAAGAAGCCCAAAACAGAAGAAAAAAGCCAGTGAAACCAAGCCTGCATTATGCCAGTACTTCCAAACTCATGGTGATACAACTGTAACCCATTTACATGCTCCATATTATTATCAAGGCACATCTAAATTGCACAGAAGGCTTTAAACAGATTACTGTACCTTTACATTTTCAAAAGTTACAGGACATGTAGATGTTGCTCTGATTCCCAGCTTATCCTCTTTCTTTCCAACATGTAAGCCCTCTGTGTTACGGTCTACTATGAAGCACGTAATTCCTTTATATCCCTGAAAAAGGAAAAATACATATATAAAATATTAACTGCCCTCATCAGCATGTGTCAATAACCATAATGGTAAGAAAATATCTGAAGACTTTAAAAACCCACTTTAGTCAGCCCCTGGTGAAGCATAATCAAGATCCATTCAAATCTATGGGACCTTCCCACAACATTTCTCCCAATGCTATTCAGTGGCAGGGTTTTGCTCTCACTGGGGTTTTTCTTCATTGGTTTATATCTAAGGAGGCTTGCTGCAGATATCTAGTGCAGGGGTAGGCAACTAGTGGTCCTCCAGAAATGTCAGTCTACATCTCCCATCAGCCCTAGGCAGCATAGCCAATGGTGGGGGATTATGAGGGTTCTGGCCTTCCAAATGTTTTGGCCTGCAAGTTGCCATTCCTGCTCAATTTGTACACACCCAGATAATATAGCGATGGAACAGGAAGCCAAGGGCCACCATGCTTCTCAGGTCCCTCATGGCACAGACGGGAACAGAGGCAGCACTCATTCTTGCCGCTCCTCTAAGAAGCAGCTCTCTTTGGCTGCAACTGGTAGTGGCTTTGTAGCCCAGCTTAGCATGCTCTGAAAATGCTGATGACACAATTCCTTGCACATTACAATAGTCTAGATGTTCCAGGCACCTTACTTTCTGTTGCTACTACCATGTTTCCAAACAAGGGAAGAATTTGCACCAATCAAGTGTGTGTGGATGTGGATGTGTATGCACATGAGCATGCATGTGCAAGAGACAAGAAAGCCAGAGTAAGCAAGCTACAAGGTTAAGCTTATATCCCATCATCACTCTTCATGCAATAATAGCTTCATGAAACCAAACAGCCACTGTTCTAACTACTTACTGCAGAAGGATTCGCATTTGCCATCACCAAAAACACCCCTGCTTGTTCAGCTAAGCTAATCCACATCTTTGATCCATTGATGATATAGTAGTCCCCCTTCTTCTCAGCATGAGTCTTCAAGGAAAATGCATCACTGCCAGATCCTGGCTCCGTAAGGCAAATGCTACCCATCTGCATTGAAGATAAAGTCAAGACACCAGCTTTCAATGTAGAGTAATTTGTTTGCTTCAAAGTTAGGTACAACAATGTAATTAAGGGAACAACAGTTTTTTCAACAGTGTATTTAATGGTAGACCATGCAATGTGTCAAGATAATTTGTAAGATTCAAAAACAAAGGGCTTAAACACAATTAACTATCAATATAATGCTAAGAGATGAAAGGTAGCCATTTCGAACATTTATTACATTTATATCCTGCCTTTTTCCTCTTGCAAGGAACTAAAAAGAAGCATATATAGTCTTAGTCCTCTCCTTTTTATTTCACAGCAAGGAGGTGGGTCAGCAACTGGCCCAAAGTTACCCAGTGAGCTTCTTGTCTGAGTTGGACTGGAACCCAGATTTCCTGTCTAAATCCAACACTTTAACTACTTCACCACACTGGCTTTCAAGTGTGTTGTTCTAATACAGCTAGTGGCACCATCTTTTATATATTGCAAATATGGTCATTGCATATTTTGATTAATTCCAAAAGCTCTTAATGTGTACATTAAAATGGTAAGAATTCTAATTGTTTTCAACAACACTGCACACCAAACTCTGGGGTGATCTTATTTTTATAAACTGGAGAACTGGAGAATTTATAAACTGGAGAACTCAATACCATAAAAGACATCAATACATGAGTAGTATTGTGAGAAAGTATATAATTTTAGGATTTGAGCTCTCTAAGAAAATTCTGCCAGGATTTTTTGTCCAGGGTAGTCTTCTAGGTAGTGTTCACAACTAGGGCCAAAACTATTGTACTGCACTGGTATTAAACTTTCCTGTAATGATCCTTGTGACGTATAAACAGTTTAACCAATGGACAATATTCCCTAAATTTCAAGGCATGCCTCAACACATACAGTGACTACTGGACTGGAAGAGGAAATGGAAGAAGGGTTAAAGGAATAATCCTGAGCACACTTGCCTACAAGTAATTCTTAATGAGCTCAATGGAATTTGTTTCCAAGTAGATATGCATAGGATAGCACTGCAAGGGTGCAACCCTAGATACATTTAGACTGAGAAGGGGCATGCTGGGAGTTGTAGGACCTAAGAACTCTTCTGCGTATACATGCATAAAATTGTGCCCTATATCAATTTGCTATCCCTGGAACATGCATGATGCATAGCCATCATCTTGGGACAAAACAATAGGATGAGTAAGCAAGTATTTCACAATGTGTGATGGCAAACAGCAAAAGTGGATTAAAACATTTGGGTTCAAAGAGGATCCAGAATATACCCATACATCCTCTCTCAGTCATGTGAATGACAGAACATTCTTGCCAATTCCATTTGAGGAGTCTACATACAATGTGTTATTTAAACTTCTTCATAACATCTATCAGGGAGGTTTTTAATAATGTTACTGAGAGGACATGTTTAATCGCACAGTACACAAGCCAGCTAGCCAATTATTTATATAAGATAGTCTCTTAAACAATTGTATACCATTCCAATTAAAAACAAAGCCATTATTTCATGGCATTCCCATGGTTGGAAAACAAATAGTTCAGTTTTCTAGCTGTTACAGCTCACTTGCTTTACCAAAACTATGTCACAAATCTACCTTTCCCAGTATCACAATGGAGGGAAAACTGTGCTACAGCAGCAGTGACACTGCTGTGCACCACACTGACGGGAGAGGGAGAGCACTGTATCTGGCCTTTGATGTAAGCCATTATGTTTTTAATGAAAACAATTTTACAAGTTCACTCCAGAAATGTTGGCTTCAAATGATTGGATGGTCTGGTGTCTAAGAAATTAATCACTACATAGTTTATCCCAGTTAAAGTGAAAGAATTAATTAAATCTGAGACCCACTGAGATTCAAATATTCCTTAATTCAAATGTCCTAGCAAATGTGCCTAGCCATGCTTACTTGAAAATAAGCTTTATATAACTGGAGCATGGAAAATCTGCACAAGATCATGCAGTTAATTCCTTATCAAGAAGAAAATACTACAAATTATTCAACTCTACATTCAACTTACCACCAAATTTCACCTACCATGTTTTTTGCCAGCTTTGGCAAATAGCTTCTTTTTTGTTCTTCTGTGCCATATGTTGTAAACATTTTATTGATGAATGTATTCTGGAGTTCACATACAAGTGATACAGATGGATCAACCTTGGCTAATTCCTCAACTACCAGAATGGTGGAAAAAAAAGAAGATCCATTTCCGCCATATTCTGAGTCAAGATCAATACCCATTAACTAAGAGAGAGAGAGCAAACTCCTGTTAGGAAGTAGGGAAGAGTCTACCAATTGTGGTTTAAATGCCAGACTCCAAAACACAGTTAGAAGCAACAGCAAGTACAACACTGTGATCCTACACATTTGCTTTTGCTACTGTAGGAAGCAAATCGTGAAATTAGAGTTACATAATATTGAAAACATTCTTTCCATTAATAAAACTTATTAAATAAAAGAATTTAATGCCTGTCAAAGCCAGCACTTATTTATCCCTAAGTCAGCAAATACGTTCCCCTAAGATCTACTTTACCTGTAGCAACTTGCATAAATTACCTAAGTAGGGCAAACAGTCTAGTGTCAGATTTAAGTCCCTGACTTATTTTCCTCCATCCACGACTCAAATGGAGAGAAGCTGGTTCTCTCAAAAAGGTAGAAATATTACTACATGTAGATAAGAAGATCTTCCTCTTGGCCACTCTAGCAGGCCTAAGAATTTTAAACTGACTTAATTTGGTTTGCAGAAGAGAGAAGCTGGTTCTAAATTACTCCAAAACCAAGGTTATTTTTTCATAAATGAAATAGCGACATCAAGAACATCTAGATGAGCACACAACTGAAGAATGTCCTAGTTTCAAATATCTGGGGGGCACTGTTTTCCTCAAGTCACAGCTGAAAAGCCCCAAGGGACAGTAAATCTCCCCGCACAACTGACTGCTAAAGCAATCGTATCTTCTGGGTGTTGCAACTGTAGTTCCCTGGTTGACCCAAATTGCAAATATCTAGCTAAAGTGCTTCCCTGAAGTCTACTGAGCTTTAATATTGGGAATTTGGGCAAAAATAAAAAATTGGGCAATAAGGTAGCTGGGCATAGCACTGTCTAGTGCTCTCTCAGGTCTAATTTGATTACACCTGCAATTCTCTAGCTAACTTGAATAAGTGCAGCATTGGAGATAGAACTTTTGAAGCTGAGTGCCATTACACTTTTCTTGCTAGCCAACGCCAAGTTTGCAACATTGTTCAATTTGTTTAAGAGAAGACAATATTCACAAAACATTTCCTGGATTTAACTTTGTGACCCTCAGAAAGGTTTCCACAGCCCTCCATCTCCCAACTGTGCTGACAATGTATTTGGATGGGAAGTACAGTGAAAACTCTCAGCCAACCTGCATTTGTAGCTCTGGAGAAATCAAGGACACAGTGCAGTATCTTTGTCATTGCTTTAGTACAAGGAAACCAGGATGCATTTTTGGGAGGACCTCTTGAGCTGGTAGGCTTCCTATGTTTTTTGTGTGTGTGTGTGTGTGTGTGTGGATTTTGAGCAGACTATAGTAAAATTTTTACAGTGAGGGCTGAAAATTTTCCAGCAGCAGCTCAAATTGCCAGAACCTTTTAAAGCTCTGAGAAGTGCAAAGAAGATAACTTACTAAAACAAGAAGCTGCATGAGTTTGTCCAGTTTACTTGCTTTGGTAATTTTAATTCAATACTACTTTTATTTAATCTATTCATTTTATCATTTATATGGTTATTTCTGTTTCATTGACATCTGCCCTTTGCATTCTTTTTTATAACCCCTGGATGCTGTTTTAGCCATTTATTATTTGACAATGTGGTTTTGGTTTTATGCAATATAGAGCTGCATTATAATGTACACTACCCAGAGAGCTCTAAATTGGGTTGTAGGTCGCTGTATATGCATTCTAAAATAATAAATAAATAAATCTTGACTTTGTTATTGCTTTTGTGCTATGAACAAAATAATTAAACAAGCACGGTGAGGAAACCTAAGTAGGCAATAAACATCACAAAAGCACCTACTCTTTATGCTCACTTTGCAATTACAGCATTCATACTTTGGAATATAATGCTGTATAATATAGATGTGTTTATATGCTTACATGCACACTTTAAATAGGCAAATCCAGTATCTTAGCACAGTACTCAATGCACAAAGAGAACATTTGTATATCCCATTCTTAAACATATCAGAAAAAAATTATACAAACCCCTTGTTCAAATAGCTCTCGTAATAAAGATTCATCCAATTTTGCTTCAACATCCATTTTTTGTACTAATGGTGCAACTCGCTCCTCAGCAAACTTTTTTACTATAAAAAAGACAGAAGAACATAATTCTTAAGCTTATGTATTTTATATTTATGCTGTCTTTTAGTCATTACAAGATGCAATCTAACTGGAAACTTAACAGATGTCAATGTCAGAAGTGTAGATCAATAACTTTAGTTGGACTTGGTTTTTTGACCAAGATTTGCCATTGAGAGTGGCCACTATTACCCAGTGTAATGGGAGAAAGCAACTCCAATGGTTCTTCCCCCTTGCATTACAGCAGAAATAGTGTACATAGGTATTTTAAAATGCCATTTAATATACACACAAAACAGATTTCAAAAATGAGCAAACAAGTGTGAAGAAAACATGAAATTACTGCTATAGAAGAAAACTGTGCTCTTCTATCTTTTATTATAAAAAACCTCTTTTTCACAAAGCTTGCTGAAAAAATTAGATTTAGTTTCAAATGATTTTGCTCAAAGAATGTAAACAGAATTTAAAACATCAGATACATTACCCATTTCTTTAATCATTAACTCCTCTTCTGTAAATGTCTGAAGAGGAACACAAGTCATTCCATTTTTGGCTAGGTTTGGCAAAGCTTCTGATTTGAAAGATTTATAGATACAAGGTTGGGTCATCCAAACTTTTGCATATAGAGGCAGATTCCATCTTAGCTGTGGACAAATAAGACTTTAAGAGGGGTAGGGAACAATATTAAAGAAAACAACTTTCTCCTGAAAGCTCTAGAAAGTGGACATCTCTGTAGATCAGTGACAAGGAGCATATGGCTCCCCAGATGTTGCTAAACTGAAACTCCCACCATTCCTCATCACTTTGCTGGCTAGGGAAGATGGGGGCTGTGGTCCAACAATATCTGAAGGCGGTCACATATTCCTTACCACTGCTGTTTTATTATGCTATATGGAGTAACAGCGGACTCAGGTAATGCTGTGGCATTTATACTCACTTATCTGGGAATAAATCCCACTTAACTCAGTGGAGCTTATTTATGAGTAGCCAAGTATATAGTTGCATTGGAGATGTGGTTAACAAGCATTTCATCAAGAATCTTGGGTTGCAAGAAGGAAATCTATTAAGATACAGGATGTTAAAGAGGAAACTTATGCATAAGCTTTGGAATTCCTTTACTAGGGAGATTAATTTTGTTCTTCTCTTGATGGTCTCTTGAATGGCAGGTAAAGTCTTTTATCTTGATTTAAATTTTCAAATTTCAAGATTTATATGGAGAAAGAAGAAACCAAGGATTATATTAAAAATACTTCAGGAAGCTAAAGAGAATGGGGGTTTTGGTCTCCCTGATTGGATCTTGTATTATCAAGCTTCTGTTTTGACATGGCTAAAAGAATGGATAACTTTAAGAAATAAGAGAATTTTGTATCTTGAAGGGCATGATTTGCAAATGGGCTGGCACGCTTATATGTGGTATGAGAAGGCTAAGTCACATGGATCTTTTTTAAGTCACTATATTAGAAAATCATTAATGTCGGTGTGGGAAAAGTTAAAGATAAAACTATAAAATAAATTACCAAGATGGTTTTCACCCATGGAAGCGTTTGTGTATCCAAATGCATTGAATTTTGAAGGGATTATAAGATATGATGATATTTTGGATAAGGACTGAGGACTGAAATTGAGTCAAGAAACACAAGAACAGGGATCTAATATCTCTTGGTGGCATAAGGTGCAGATACAATCGAGATATGCTAAAGATTGTAAAGCGTGGGGTTTTTATAAGGACTTAACAGGGTTTGATCAAGCGATGCTTAAATCAGATGAGAAAATGATTAAAAGATTGTATGACTTCTTACTTGACAGGAAAATGGAAGATGAACAGTTAAGGCAACTATGATAACATGGGCACAAAATTTTAGATATAATATTGAAGACGTTTCCAAATATGTCAAATGGATGTTGGCAATGTAAACATAAATTGGGTACTTTTTATCATATGTGGTGGACTTGCGATAATGTGAAAAAGTATTCGATTAAAATACATAAATGGCTCGAGGAAATGTTACAAAAATCCTTTGCTTTTAAACCTGAAGTTTTTTTATTAGGCATTATACTGGAGGACATTAGTAAACAAGAAATGTATTTGATACTACATGTAATCACTGCGGCAAGGATTGCATTCGCTCAACACTGGAAAAGTGAGGAACTACCCACCGATGAACTGATTCTAAAAAAGATTCTGGACTGTGCAGAAATGGATAGATTGACTTTATCACTGAAGGAGAAAGAAGATACTGACTTCTATCAAACTTGGGACTCTTTTCATCATTGGCTAGAGAAACGGGACTTGGCTTAGATTTAAATGTTTTTAAGTTATCATAAATGGAAAAAGAAGGGTGTGGGGGCTGACCCAGCAGGCTCAATGTTTTTGATGATGGATGTTGTTTGCAGTTTTCTTTTTGTTATTTTAGGATTATAATTTCAAATAAAACTTATTTTTTAAAAAAGTCTTTTATCTTCTAGCAAGCATTTGACTTGCTAAGATGTTGGTAGTTTCATTCTATTTCATTAGCTTTTGAAAATGTTATCTGCAGTCTTCAGTTCTATCATATTCTACTATTTTACTTAATTGGTTGGGGCATAGTTGGCCTTGGATCCAACTGATCAAAACTTCCTCTGCTCCTCTGAATGGTCCCAGGGTCACTCTCCTCAGTATGCTGGCACAAGAATTTTCCCTCCTGAAACCAAGAAGGAAGTTTCTTTTCTTCCCCAAGCATACCACTGCAGGGTCAAAAAGGAACATGAGACCATCCCCCACGTTCTGCTGTGACCAGCACTAGCCAGCAAAGCTTCAGCAGATCTGCCACTTCTTCCCATCATTACATTGTTAGTAATCAACTAAGCACAAGTGACCCTGCTCTAAGAGGAGAGGGTAGAAAAAAGCAGCACCTGCCTGACCCGAAACTTTAAATTCTGATTTTTCTTGTTTGGTTTAAACCGTTTGTCAGCTACACAGTTCCGAGACCATGAAACATAGACTTTTGAAACCTGGAAGCATAATAAAGAGACCCCAATTATTAGGTTTTTTAAATGCCACACACTCGGACTAAACTTTGCAGTACCATCTTCAGTCACTAGGTTGCAGACCTCCCTAAACAGGGGCATACTGTACCGTGGTCCACAATTAGGCTGATAAATCTGTACGTTCTGTTGGCGCTGTCCCTCCAACGCCACAGAGAGATCAAGACACAAAAGGTGGCTGACGTGGCCGGCTCAGTCAAATTTGTCCAAGAGAAGATTTTTTGGTTGAGCCGCGAGGAAAAAGGGAGGATGCCGCCCAGTAGGTGGAGGAAATTATGGCCGTGGTTGAGTGGGGCGCATGCCCCGATAACGTAATGTCCGTAAATCACTCATACATGCTGCTCAGACACATGGCATGAAGCTATCAGGAAAAGTCTATACAAAGTTCTTTTTGTACATTTGATGCGTAAAGCCTGGGAATCTTGTAAATCTGTGTACATTTGGCATTTTGAACGGATGTAAATAACGGATGGGGTACTTTCTATTTTTGTAATGTTGCAATTTTTGGGCCTTTTTGTACCTTTGTAGTATGTTTTTATTTAAATAAAAAATTTCAACCTAAAAAAAAAAAAAAATTTCAACCTAAACAGGGGCATAGATTTGCAGAGCGCGATTTAAAGCCAGGAGAAAGCGATCACAGGTCTATGTCTGCCTCTTCCCACCGCTGAGAAGCAGTCCCTCTGCGCGACACGGCAGGGACAGATCCCTCCCGCGAGGGGGAGAGGGGCCTCTACGGATCTACCACGATAGGGGTAGCGCCAGTAGATGGACGCAACACGCCTAGTTCTTAACAGCTCCGCAACTTTGCTTGCGGGATTCGCTGGTGCAAACTAAGGGCCACTGCAGCCCATGCAAAGCTGGGCCTAATGCATCGCAGACACGTGTTCTGTTAACTTTGACACCCAACAGTCCTTGTCCTGCTTTCTCCCGCCACGCCCCCTCATTTCAACAAATCAGCTGCCAGGACTCGGATCACCAAGCAGCCGCGTAAACGCTGTTCCCTGACCAGATCCTCTCCAGCAAACGTATTTGCCGCCTCCCTCACCCGCAAAAGAATGAGACCCTGTGTACGACAGAAATCTGCCCTGGGACTGTCGTCCCTGACTGGCAGCAGCTCTCAAGACGATGCTATTCCATCACCCGCTGCCACTTCCTTTAATGGAGGGTGCCAGGGACCGACCCGCGGACCTTCTGCACTCCAGGCAGGTGATCTCCGTTAGGACTCATCTACTCTGGCCCCCAAAAGCAGAACTGTATTCGCTTACCTTCCCGCAGCGCCTCAGCAAAGACAGTACACCTGGCGCCGCCATCGTTGGCAACCTCCCGTTCCAGCAAACGCCAACTTGCCCGCCTCCTCACCGCCCGGAGCGAAACAGGCGCTCTTCCTCCAGATTTCACTGGATAGATTCAAAGAGAAAAGAAAGCAAACGCACGCCACAGTACTAACTTCTGGCTCCCGTTAGAACCCTCCTCTGGTAGTGCAGGAGTAGTAGAAGGTCAGATCACTTCTGTTTCCCTCTGGGTAGCAAATCCTGAAGCCTTGCTTTAATTCAGGGGTTAAAGCAACTTGGGGACCTCCAGATGTTTTGCTGTACAAGTCCCTTCATCCCCGACATTGGGTATACTGACTCAGGATGATGGGAATTGTAGGCCAAAACATCTGGAGGGCCGCAACAAGCAGCCCACCGGGGAAATTTACAAATATTGCAGCTCGGACAGTATTACATGAATGCTGGATTATCCTGATTTTTGTATCTCCTCTGTTCTTATCCCGCCTCCTGCAACTGAGAACCAGCAATGTGACTACATAGACCTCTTGGAGCAATGTTTCTCATTTAAGGACTCTCTTCGGGGGGCGTGCCCGTGCCGCGCGCACTGGAAAGCGAGTTGTCGAGCTCTCGCGGGACTTCGCAAGGAAAGGACCGGGGTTACGTCTGGGCTCCGGGAGACACAACAAACATGGAGGTATTCGCGCCAGGAGTCCGGGGCACCGGTGGCTGCAAAGCGCCGCGGAGGTGAGTCGGAGACGCAGCCGGCGCCGCTCTAGTCGGCTCTTCTTTCGGCTGCCGCGGCAGGGGATACCTGCCTGGTGGCTTGTCCCTACCTTCCCTCTTCGCCGCCTAGGGCTGCCTAAGTTCAGACAGCGGGAGTGAGAGACCGGCCGAGCCCACCTTGTGGAGGTTGGCAGGACAGATGACGGGGTGGAATAACGCCGGGAGTCTGGGGGAAGAGTTGTGTGCCGTCCGCGGGGAGGGCGGGTCGAAGAGTGTGTCACCCACCACTGTCCCGGGGTGGATCTGAAGGGTTGCTCTCTGTGGGTCGCGGCAGGAGGAGGACGGTGGCTCCAGGCAGCGGAGGACGGGGCGCCTGCGGCATCTTCTCGTCAGCATCTGCAAAAGGGGCTTGGCGACACACCCCTGCCCTAGGAGCGCAGGAAATTCTCTTTTCCACACGCACATACGGCTATGGAAGACACACCTTTCCTTCAATGTATCTCGTCACCCTGGCGGCCATCTAGAAATACTACATGCATGTGAACATAGGGGATGTGTGTGGAGATTGGGAGAGGCCCCAACCACAATAAGTGCTCTCCTGAACTGGTTTGACGCACCCTCCCCCCCACAAAAAAAGCTTATATCATGACAGAAATATCAGCACAGAGGACTGTTAGTGTGCAGTCTAGCTTAGAAGAAAGGGGAAGCATGATAAAGGTTCATAGAATCATAGAAGAATTGGAAGAGGCCATGAAGGCCAACCCCCTGCTGTTGCAGGACACCATGATACACCATCCCAAACAAATGGATGTCCAGGTTCTTTTTGAATGTCTCCAGTGTGGGAGCTCCCACCACATCTCTAGGCAGCTGGTTCCACTGTTGTATTGCTCCGATTGTGAGGAAGCTTTTCCTAATGTCCAGCCTGAATTTGGGTTGCCGCAACTTGAATGGAGTATTCAGTGTCCTATATTCTGGCATTAGCAAGAAGAGATCTTAACCTTCCTCTTTGTGACTGCCTTTGGGGTACTTACAGAGGGATATTATGGTCCAGTTCCCCCCGCCCCAGTCTTCTCTTTTCAAGGCTGAACATGCCCAATTCCCCCAGTCTCTCCTCATCGGGCAGTGTTTCCAAACCCTAGGCCATTTTTGTCGCCCTCCGCTGGACCCTTTCTAATTTACCTGCATCTTTCTTAAATCTTGGTGCCCAGAACTGGACACAGTATTCCAGGTGAGGTCTGACTAGTGAGGAGTATAGAGGAACTACTACTACTCATGATTTGGAAGTAACACTTCTGTTAATGCATCCCAAAATAGCATTTGCCCTTTCAGCAGCTCCATCACATTGTTGGCTCATGTTTAGCCTAATGTCCACAATTACTCCGGGATCTTTTTCTTGTTCAGTTCTGTTGAGCCACATATTCCCCATCTTGTATCAATGCCTTTGGTTTCTTTTTCCTAGGTGGAGGTCTTGGCACTTGTCCTTATTGAATTTCATTCTATTGGTTTCAGCCCAGTGTTCGAGTTTATCAAGACTACCCTGGATCTTCATTCTGTCTTCTAGGGTGTTTGCTGTTTTGCCCAGTTTTGTATCATCTGCAAATTTGATTATCTTTCCTTGTACTTCCTCATCTAAATTATTAGGATGTTGAAGAGCACTGGGCCCAGGACTGAACCCTGTGGCACCCCACTAGTTACCTCCATCCAATTTGAGAATGTGCCATTGATGAGCACTCTTTGTGACCGATTTAGCAGCCACCTAATAGTTTTTCCGTCTAGTGCAGTTTTTGCTAATTTGCTTATCAGAATGTTGTGTGGCACTATGTCGAAAGTTTTGCTAAAGTCTAGGTAGGTTATGTCCACAGTGTTCCCTTTGTCCATTTGAAAGCTTACCCAGTCAAAAAATGAGATTAATTAGTCTGACAGGATTCATTTTTGATAAATCCATGCTGGCTTCTATTAATCACTTATTTTTTTTCAAGATGCTTGCAGATGATTTTTTAAATAATTTGCTCCAGAATGTTTCCAGGGATTGATGTCAGACTAACTGGTCTATAGTTCCCAGGTTCATCTTTGTATAAGATGTACAGTCCTATGCATTGCCTGGAGAATGTGGATAGGGAGACAAAATTCTTCCTCTCATAAAGCTAGAACCCAGTGGACATATCCTGTGAAGCAGACTAATGGGAGATTTAGAACAGATAAAAGGAAGTACTTCTTCACACAGCACACAAGTAAACTATGAAATTTGCTACTAGATGTGGTGATGGGCACAAATTTGGATGGCTTCAGAAGAGGTTCAGACAAATTCATGGAGGACAAACACACAATCCTGTGAGTGCACCCTTGAACTCAGAGGCTTCTGATCATCCAGTGGAGAGTAGGAGGGACAAAGCCTCCCCTTCTGCCCAACCTGCATTTTTTTTAACTAGATTGGCTTTTTTACACATCTAGCAATGATGTATCAGAGGGGAGGGAAAGAAACTGGGAGGCCTCAGAATAGCTCATATCCTGGCCTCTTTGGCATCCTCTCTACTTACTGAAACACCTATCCCCCCTCCCAGCTCCCCAGAAAGGGTTGCTTTTTCAACATAGGTGGGCAGCTGGCAGGGTTCTTTCCATACTGCCTGAAAGAGGGAAGAAGCTTGAATCTCTGACTCCCAAAGGAGGAATGCTGTTTCCAACCTCAGAGTGAGGAATTCCCAGTATTGTATTTACAGGGGCCTTAGGATTGCTTCCCAAGGCTATTGCTGGCTAGCAGTCATGGTGACTACATGTTACCTCCTGCATGAGAGTATCAGGTGCTGGGGAACACAAGTGGAGGGGTGCTATTGTATTCATGCCCTACATGTGGGATCCCAACAGGCAGCAGGTTGGCTACTGAGTGAACAGAATGCTGGATGAGATGGACTGTTACTTTGATCCAGCATGACTATTCTTAATGTTTGTTTATGGCTAGCAATAGCAGCACTAATCTGGAACTGGTGCAGCCCTCCCTGTTTTTTTGTGATTCACAACAAGGAAATAGTTATGCAGGACATCTGGGTTGCATGGTTGGGGTGTATTTAGTTAGATGGTGGTGGGCATATAGATAAGCCACAATCTAATGATTCAAGGAAAGCTGCATCACAAGAATGGACTTTAATAGGGATTGAGACAAGGAAATAAGGCTGTGCCAGGCAAAGGGACTGTTATTACTATTATTAACTACATTACATTCATACCTCACCTTTCTTCGCCTTGCTAGGAACCCAAGATGACTTACAAGTTTCTCCTCCTTTCCATGTCATCCTTACAACAACCACTGTGTGAAGTATTAGAATTGTTAGAGACTGATGGATCTGGATGGATTCAAGAGAGCTTTGGGGGAGTACCCAGCTGATATGGTAGGCACTCCTGTCGAACCCCAGGTAATCCTGTGGAACAGGGAAATGACTTGGGCAGCGGACAGGATTGTATCTAAGCACCCTCTTTGTTCTGGCAGAGCCAGGCCGGCTCCATGATATACACCAGAGCTTAGGGCAATGAACCGAGAAGGGAGATGGGTTGAGAGCAAGTGGAGGAAATCTTGCGGCAAGTTTGACCAATTGTGGCTTAGAGCTCACTGTAGAGCCTATTCTGTGGGGTAAGACATACTTTATTGTTTACAGACATAGGCCATCACAAGTTTAAAAGAACAAAAGTTGCTTGGAATTTAACAATGTTTCAATGTTTGCTTTTTACAGTCAAGAGGTAGGACATTGCAGGAAGACAATGATGAGCTGACCCAGTATTTGACTATTCATGCTAGTTGCCTTGTATCATCCCTCTGCTGGCTGTGCTCTGCATTTGAGAGCAATTTGCCAAGCATTGCACTTCAGATGTCAGGCTCCTTTTCCCATAGAAAGAACCTGAATGGAAGGGAAACGGGCAGTTTTGTATATTCTAAAGCAGGCATCCCCAACCCCAGGCTGCAGGCCACTGCTTGGCTGTGGTCTGTTAGGGACTGGGCTGCATAGCAGGAGGTGAGTGGCAGATGAGCAAGCAAAGCTTCATTTGTATTTGCTGCTGCTCCCCAGAGCTAGCATCACTGTTGGGGAGTGGCTGGAAATACAGATAATCATTAGGGCCCTTTTGGGTGTTGGATCTTGAACGGAGGAGGGAGCAGCAGCAGCTGCAGCAGCAGAGCCAGGCAGCAAGTGGCTTGGAGAAGCCGGGGAGGGTGCATGCGAGAGATGAGGGAACTGGGAAGCAGGTAAGGTCTGGACTGCAAGCCTGCAGGTCAGGGGGAGACTTCCACTGATTCAGCATTATGGTGAGTTATATAATTATTTCATTATATATTACAGTGTAAGAACAATAGAAATAAAGTGCACAATAAATGTAATGTGCTTGAATCATCCCAAAACCATCCTGCTCCCCGGTCTGTGGAAAAATTGTTTTCCACAAAACTGGTTCCTGGTACCAAAAAGGTTGGGGTCTGCTGTTCTAAAATATAGAACTTACAACTTTTACTAGGACAGCTCCAACAAGGGCAATCATACAAAAGACCCATGCTTGTCTTAATGTGCAAATGAAAAAGAAAGTTGTGGTCAAGCTCATACTTGCATTGTCATGGATACACATCATTTTTAAGCATACATAAAATATCTTGTACACATAAAAATGTAACATGAAGCAGCCCACAGGCGCTGTACTATGGAACTTTTAAAATGAGGAATAGGACCTAGTACAAAAACGCAGAAAGGAAAGGAAGGTGTGCTCATAGTAATAAGAGAAGTAGGAGCTTAGAAAGGCATTCTGAATTGTTTGGAGAGGAGCTGTGTGGTAGGATGGATTCACAGCAAGCCAGAAGGCAGCCCTTGCATGAGCTTGAAGTGGTGGTGGCCAGAGACAAGGCACACCTACGGATTTCTGTTGAGTGAAAAATCTGTGTTCTATTCCAACTGTCTCCTGAGCACTGGTGACCCCTTGTCATCTTCTTTGTTACTTATTTAAAGTAATCCTTAAAGCTGATTGGCAGGTGTTGAATTAAATAAGCAAGGTAACCGTGAAAACACACTGAGAGATGAGAAGATTAAATGACAGGATTGGGTCTTGTTCATATTGTAGTGTTCCAGACCACTAATAACAGCATTTGAAATGAACTTTCAGACCTTCTGATCTACATCCTTCCCAGCCTCATCTATCTTTATTTGTATGGGTGGGGAAATGGGTCAAATGCTGCCAGCAAAGATGAGCAATATTACTGGGTGGTAGTTACTGCTTCCACTGTGTAATCAGCACCATTTGCAATGGACTCTGTAATATGACTTTCTGCATTTACTGGCTTTGTATTGTTTGGTGTGCCACTCTTGGCTGTGTATAATGTATTACTCTGCATCAGTAGAACAGGATGAACATTTCTTAATGTTCTTAACCAGATTTAAGGTTGGGTCTACAGCAGAAATACTGTAGCATCTTCATGCTTAGTGTTCCTGAAAGTCTTCTAGTAACAATAAGGCAGCAAATATATGTTATGGCAGTTCACTGGTAAGGGAGTTGTTGCTCTTCCTCTCCACACCACTTTTGATGTACCTCTTGTACTTACCTAGGCTTTTGTGTGATACCTCTAACTAGTTAATACAATGTTTGGTATAAAACCTTATGAATCCCTCTAGAAATGTAGAGTTACAAAAGTGGTACAGGGTCAGTATGAGCCAGCTTGAGAAAAAACTCCAGTTTTGTAGCAGTTTAGAAGAATGTCCTGTACAAGACCTGATTTGTAAACACCAGCATCAAAACATTAAGAACTCAACTCTTCAGCACCAAGATTGAGAGCTCTTTCTGGACTACAGTGGTGTTTACTGTGGCAAGAATGCCACTGTTCAGGTTTTTCAAACTAAAGTATCAGCTGAGGGATGGGGAGGGGGGAGGCATGTTCCTCTTTTGTAGGGGAATGAATTCATGAAATTATTCATATTGATACTTTATTTTTGCAGAAACTAAATTATCTTAATTAAATTGGGTAAGGATTTTGGTATTGAAATGATAAACTAAATTGAAACTGAATGGTTTTATGGTTTTCTTTCAGTTGTGATATATTGTGCATGTTCCAAGACTGAAACAGCACTATTATTATGCTTTTTTATGGTAGATGGCATCTAATTTAATCAGTATAAAATTCTACATCTTAGTGTAGAATCCCTTGATCGTTCAGAAAAATGGTCTTAATAGATATTGGGATATGGCTGTTCCAGATTTTATAAGTAATCTCACCAAATATATTTCAGGGATTGTATATTAGCATGTTCATGTTCTCTGTCTTGTCAACCTGCATCTTCAAAACAAGTGCCAATTCCATTTCTAGACCCCCAAATTATATTAGTCCAGAATCTCATACACTTATCTGGGAGTTGCTGAACACAGCAGGACTTCCTTCTGATTAATGGTGAACTGAAATCTTCAGCAAATATACAAAAATACTGTCTCTGTTACCCACCCCCTTGTTAATGAATGGAGCCCAAATCAAAGGAATAGACAACTTGTGGCCTTCCTGATGTTTTGCCATATAATTTCCCATCAGCTCTTCCTAGCATAGCCAGTGGTGAGGGAATCATGGGAGTTGTAGTCCAAAACTACTGGACGGCTACAGGTTGCTCCCATCCCTGACCTATAAAAAGCTGATGAGAGTAGAAAGAAGGCAGGAAAGTTTGTTCTTTAATGGAGAACTTTAAGCAGCACTGTTAGAGAATGACAGTATGCAGCATTAACTCAGAACATTATGGGTACATAAACCCTATTAAGCTTGTATCTTTTATGACCTGAGTCTTGCTATTCCACATTTCACTGACAGAAAGATAAGGCTATGGTAGTCCTGTATGACTTGTGCCCCAGCCATGTATCATGAACTGCACTGTGTACTTCAGTGAAAGGGAAGGCAGAATATGTTTACTGAGCCCTTGGTTTCCCATTGTACATTGGTTGCAGTTTGGCCTCTGGTCAAGAATGTCCATAATTAGTCACAGACTTAATGTACAGCATTGATGCAGAAATTCATGTTTGGTGAGAGGCTCTATGTGTATGGCTCTGGGAGAAGGGGCACATGTGTGGACACGTAAAGCTCTACAGAAAGACATATCCTGCACCAATCAGAATCCTGTATTTTGTGGAAGAACTCTGTGTGAGCTCTATGTGCATATAACAGTTGATAGATAGAGTCCTGTGTGGCTTTACAACTCCCCATGCATTCAAGGCACACATGTGAGGACTTGTCTGAACTCACCTTATCAGATTAACTAAACAAAGACAGTTATGAACCCTTTCAGGTGATTTTGGCAAAGCTGAGTGAATGACTGCTCCAACATCATAGGATATAAAAGAAGGGATGGGGCACTTTGTGCCCATCCCAAGTTTCTTCAGGAAAGAGCAGAATAAAAATGTAATAAATCATCATTTTAAAGCATTAGTGTCATGGTTTCATTATGCCTTTTATTGGTTGATTGAGTGATTGATTTGCAAATGATGTAATGCTCAGATCTCTTGATGGTTATCTATTGTTTTTGCATTATTTAGCAATATTTAATTTGGGAATTGGGGTGTGTTCACTTCTCTTTTTGTTAGAATTGGTCCTTTAATATTAAAATTTATATTTTAAGTGATATAGCCATTGCTCAGTAGAAGGAACTTTGTGGCAGGAATTCTTCTCTCCTGTCACCTACTATTGTTACTCCCAACATTGTGTAGAGAGGGAAAGATAATTCTGAAGAGGATGTGCTCTTTGTTCTGTTGCCACTGCAGAGACTGTTGTGTATAAGCACCAGATTAGTTTCTTCTAGAGATGTGGATGTGGTAAGCCTTCCCACTCTGAACTTGACAGGAAATGATCGTATAAGCTGCTCTCTACCTAACCAGTAGAAAGGAAGTATATAAATCTGTTAAAATATATAGAGCAAAATTGACATATGTGTCCTAATTTCATTTCCTTGCAGACTGACTGAAAAGACATTAATCAGAAAAGTGTATTTCTATATATGATGGAACATACATTTCAAGACTGGAGTTTTGATGTCTGTTTCAGTGATTTAAGGTAAAACTATTGCTCTTGTATGTTTGAAGATCTCTCTCTGCAATATACTTAAAAAAACCATCTTTGGGTCTGTGTTTTGAGGAGGTGTAATGCATATATATAGCAATATTATCATCACAGCCATAAAACTCAGACCAGAACAGGCTTTTAGACCTTGGGGCATGCTGGGGAGACTTGAATTCAGGAAGAAGGACCTAGTTTCTTGGGCTACCCTGTGTGAGAAAAGAATGAATGCTGGAATTCTTGGAGATTAAGCAAATCTTCTTAAGGAGATAGGCAAAACAACCCTGCAAGCAGGATGAACCATTGTTCTGAGACACCTAGAAATTACCTCACCTATAGCACCTAGCAAACACAGACAAAGAACTTATCTCTTACTCAGAGAAACAATACTTGATTGCTATCAGAATCAAGAAGCCATCAGGTCCCATTCCAAGAAGCTTATCTTTCCTATAGACCACATGTGCAGAGGGAAATTGTATAAACATTAGATGGTTAGGAAGGACTGTTCCCTTTTTTCCTGCTGTCCTCTGCAAGAGTGCTGGACAGACAAGCTCTACTGCTGCAGGACAGGTAGTGCCTCCTGCCCCCCTCGTGCCCTGTTAGTCAGTCTCTCTCTGTGTTAGATAGGAAGCTCTATAGAAATATAGAGTAAGATTGGGATGTAACAGGACTATTTGCTGTCTGGACTACATGGAGCTAAAGCTTGTGCCAGCGCGATATTGTTCTGATAAATAAACTGTTCTTTTCTAAGTGCTGTGTATGTCTGCGTGAATGCAAAACCAAGGCCTGTTCTCTGGCTGCATGCATTAAAACCCCAGCAAAAGATCCCAAACCTTTTGAGGCAATCTGACTTCCTCCCTCACCCAAACAGAGGTGAGGGAGGAAGTCATGAACTATGGAATGCTGAGTTGAGTGGGTGAGGAAATTGGAGACATTTTTGACAGTTGGGAGAGGGCTAAGGAATAGAAGTGTATAGCTGGGGGAGGGGGGCAGGTCAGTTTAAGAAATTAGAAGTTCTAATTGTGTTCATCCCAGACCTGAGCTTAATGTGAAATTATTCTTATGTTCCTTAAAAACTCTATGTTAATCCTGAAACATGTACAATGGAAAGAGTTTGAACAGCCTGATACCTATATCTACACAGTGGAGCTAGCACAGTAACTGTGCTTATATTATTTCTAATTGGACAGTTATTGTTTTAACTGGATTCAATTTTAGATGTGTACTTGATGCAAACAAATTTGTACTTCAGATTTATGTAGAAGTTATCTTTGAATAAGAGGTTAAAAAGCAAGTCCTGGCTAGAAGTTTTACAGCACTTGACAAGAATACTTTCAGAGAACTGGGAGACAGCTCTGGAGATAATAGCAGGCATTATTGTGCAATAGCAATGAGCATCCACAGTCCCTGAGAATATATGAAAATGGTATTTTCTTAAATATGTAATGATAGAGATTCATGGACAACATAGAGAAACCTTCCTACAATTTGTGTTTCTCCTGTGAAGCTGATCGGTGGCATGTTCAAGAACAATAATTAACTGCGACAAGATCTGTCAGGTGGTCTTTTATGCTAAAACGGAAACTTCTTATATAGGCAACATATCAATCTTCCACCATTTGTGGCCCTCTGATAATTCGTATCTCCAGTTTTTGCATTCTGTTTGTGTGTTCCTGCTGCTTGTCAGATTATTTGTCCAGTTGATAAACAGGATGCTTAAATAGATGGGCCTCTTGTATTAGATCAAGAAAACCAATTTGTGTGTCTTTGTTGCTTGGTGAATGTTCAACCAATTTCTATAAACTAGATATATTAGGCCCTAGTTTAAGTCAGTGGATTAAAACATCTATGCACTCTCTTCAATATATGAGATGCTAGGACTTCTCATATATATAAGTGAAGTTTACCTTACTGTATGTGAATATTTGTAAGTAGAACTGATTTGTGTGATGTTGTTATTTAGAGAAAAATGTCTTTTAGATGTCATTGTACATTGAAACAAATAAAAGGGTTTAAAGATTGAGATGAAAAGGCTGTTCTCAAAAATAGGCCAGGGGATCTCCAGATACAAGAAAAACATTCTGACCTCATAGCGGGGGATCAGAGCTCCCCCCCCCCCCCCGCTACAGCTGGCATGGTAAGAACAGCACTGGCTGTTCATGTGAGATTGCAAAAGTGGCCTTGGAGATGGACATTTGGGGGTAGGGAGGGTAGACTGGTGGTATCAAAATTTGATGTATCTTAGAGGTATTTTAGCTTCCTTCCCACCTGCTTTGAGATACTTTAGAGAGTTGAAATTGGCTAAGTGTTTTACATGACAGGAAAAATGCAGAGGCAAATTTCACCTTCATGAATCTTCTGCCCTGCATCAGATGCTCATAATATTATGAAAGTATAAGTTTATGGGTTATTCCAACTGGGTGCGCGCTGAAATGAGTAACGTGCTTCTCTTAGTTTTATATGTGTTATTGGACAAATACTCTTAAATGCTAGACCTGCTTAAATTATATAGAAAGTAGTTATTAAGTGTCTTGTTGTTGTTGTTAGGGAGAAGTGGGACAAATGTGCTCGTTCTCCTGTCTGATGTCCCACAGAATAATTCAGCATGTTTTCTACATAAAAGAAAAATTCAGGTATGATGTGTATCTCTTTTTAGGGAAAAGCTGTCACCTCTAGTTATCTTGCCTTTAAAAGCTTTTACCTAGATCAATAAAGTCAATAAAATGAAATCATAGATACATAGTTTGTGTCAATGGAACTCTTAAAAAATCCATGGTTTTCTTTTGTAATTATGTACAGAATCTTGTAGAGTCATAAAAAGCAACAAAATAATTACAAATCATAGACTTGAATAGCCACCTTGTTCCATGTATTTTTAATAAAGAACTGGAGGGTAGGTTGTAAAAATTGGGAGACCTGCTAGCCTGAGTATTTTATGAATTGGCTTTCAATAGTAACCTAGTATTTTTTACTGGTATAACCCCCCCAAAAAATTAAAAGGCTAAAAGATGTGATACTGGAAGATGAACCCCTCAGGTCGGAAGGTGTCCAGTGCACTGCTGGGGAAGAGCAGAGGGCAAATAAGCGGATGGCAAGGGTGAGGTGGTTGGATGGAGTCACTGGTGCAGTGGGCATGGGGTTGGGTAGGCTCTGGGAGATGGGGGGAGAATAGGAGAGCCTGGCATGCTGTGATCCATGGGGTCACAAAGAGTTGGGCATGACTTTGTAACTGAACAAGACAAGATACTGGTATACTTTTTTTTCTAAGCTGCTCTAAGGATTCTCTCTGGCTTAGAAGAGTGCTTTTTTATAAATAAACCTAATAACTCAGAACAGAACCTGCACTTTTTGCTATTCTCTCTCACTGTCTGTGCTTTAAGAAAGAACCTAGACAGAAATCAGGGTCAAAGGAAGAACTCACTGAGTAAGAAATATCTCAGTGAGGCTTCTAGTGATTAGTAGCTTTTGGATTTTACTGGAAAGTTGCCTGCCTTCTTTTTCTTCAAAATATATTGTAAAACAATGAGTTTTAGACAGCAAAGTATTTTCTTGGAACCCTGTGTTTTTGGTCACAGGAACTTAAAATCCTAATATGTTAAGTGCTAGAAGAGTATTTTTAAAAGATTTCAAAATGATGTGAATAGGATATGATTGCAATGTGAACTGTACAGGAATCGAGGCTTTTGTTGAATATGTTGGATTTGTCGAAGATTGGATCCAGACATAGGCATCCTTAAAGTAGGTGTGCTGAAATAAGTGGGACTTGAATTAGTAATCACTAACTTACATCTTAGTGTTTTCAGTACTGTTAAGCATACTGTTAAGCATGACTAAGTCTGTATCCACCCCTTTCTGATTAGATTTGATATGGGCAATCTTGGCCAATTTCCAGCCCCACTTTCATTGTCTGGTCTTAATATACCGCTTTGGTGGTTCACGAAAACAGACAAGCTCAAATAAGCTATGGTGGCTTGTTTGAATAAGTGGTACATACAGGCCACCATTTCTCTAACTGCCTACCTAGGTGCTGCTTACCATGTCATCCAAACCTGCAGAGCATGGCTTGTGCATGGGAATACATGCCTCAAGATAACTCTGCAACAGGCCATTCAGCCATGGTGGCTTAATTTGATTCTGCAAACTGAGTCACTCTCTGTCACCCAAAGTTGTTGGATAGCTGCAAGGCTAAGCAAACTTTAAGTAGCGTCATTCACAACTTGAAATATATTGTTTCTGTGTGCATTATAAGTTGGTCTTATGTTTCAGGTCTGCAACATTGTGAAGCTGTAGTATGAATATGGGTGAAAAGAAACCAGAGCCTCTGGATTTTGTAAAAGATTTTCAAGAATATCTGACTCAGCAGACTCACCATGTGAACATGATTTCAGGCTCTGTTAGTGGGGACAAAGAAGCAGAGACTCTTCAAGGAGGTAAGCTAACCACAGTGCAATTCAGCTTTTACTTAAATGAAAGACTGCATACATATTCTGCCTCTTCCAGGTTGTGGAATAACTACGCATGGAATTTCCCAGTTTGTGTATTGATGCCATTGTTATGTTTTACAGCAGGGACAGAAGGTGATCAAAATGGACTTGATCATCCTTCAGTTGAAGTCTCACTGGATGAAAATTCAGGAGTGTTAGTAGATGGGTTTGAAAGAACTTTTGATGGAAAATTAAAGTGTCGATATTGTAACTACGCCAGCAAAGGAACAGCACGCCTCATAGAACATATCAGAATTCACACAGGTATCTATGTGTTGTTGATAAACTTATTATTAATTTCATTTATTTCATTTTTGTACTTTCCCATACCCAAACTCTCTGGGCAGTTGATCTTTTTAATACATCACACACATGCTGTTTTCTAGTCAGGAGACTCACACCTGTTTATTTCCCCAACCACACCCATCCAACTGTCTTTTCCAATAATGCAATTTCCAAACCTTAAAATCGATGGGGAACAAAAACTAGGAAAACCAAACCATATGACACCCCTTTCCAATCTAATATCCCTCCAATATGTATTGGACTATAAATCCTAGCCTTTCCTTCCAGCTATCATGACAGGGATGTGTAGTCTTAACACATCTGGAGGGCACCAGGCTGGGGAAAGCTGTCCTATGAAGTAGTTTGTGGCACTGCCTAGGGAAACTTTTTTTTTTTTTTGTTATTTTTAGAACACTGTTATTTTTAGAACACTTCCCCCATGTGTCTGCCTGCCAGCACTTGCTGAATACAAGACATGGACATGAAAGTTCAGTGGACAGTTTTTGTCTGATAAAATTTAAAGCAACATTTTAGAGAATGCAGTGCCTTGTTTGAGCTGTTGATGCATCCCTAGTCACTTTGTGGCAAAAAGCATTCCGACATTTGTTTTAAAAATGTTCATTTGTTTTCAGGTGAGAAGCCACACAGATGCCATTTGTGCCCCTTTGCATCTGCCTATGAACGTCACCTGGAAGCACATATGCGGTCTCATACTGGGGAAAAACCATATAAATGTGAATTGTGTTCCTTCCGTTGTAGTGACAGAAGCAACTTGTCTCACCATCGCAGACGCAAACATAAAATGGTGCCTATAAAGGGTACGAGGCCTTCCCTTAGTAGCAAGAAGATGTGGGGTGTCTTGCAAAAGAAGACTGGTAACTTGGGGTATAGCCGCAGAGCACTAATTAACTTGAGTCCCCCCTCTATGGTGGTTCAGAAGCCAGACTACCTTAATGATTTCACTCATGAAATTCCAAACATTCAGACTGAAGCATATGAAAGTATGACAAAACCAACGGAGACTGGTGGGTTGCCAAGAGAACCGCAAGACCTTATGGTAGATAACCCTTTAAACCAGCTATCTACTCTAGCAGGACAGTTGTCTAGCCTTCCCCCTGAGAACCAAAACCCACCCTCTCCTGATGTTGTACCGTGTCAAGATGAAAAGCCTTTCATGATGCAGCAGCCTGCTGCACCAACCGTTGTTCCAGCAGTGTCAACCAGTATTCCTCAGAGCTCATCCCCTACAAGCCCTGATCCTCGTCCTGCACATTCTCAAAGAAACTACAGCCCAGTGGCAGGTCCGAGCAGTGACCACAGTGCTCATGCCAGCACCCCAAGCATAAGTAATAGTCAACCAAGTACTCCAGCACCAACTCTTCCAGTTCAGGATCCTCAGCTTCTGCATCACTGCCAGCACTGTGATATGTATTTTGCTGACAATATCCTTTATACCATTCACATGGGATGCCATGGATTTGAGAACCCTTTCCAATGTAACATATGTGGTTGCAAATGTAAAAACAAATACGACTTTGCTTGCCATTTTGCCAGAGGCCAACATAACCAGCATTGATTGAATACAAGTTACACCATGCTTTCCTTTATTTGTGTGCGTTAAAACACGTTGTCTGTCTCTTACTTGCTAATGCGGAGGTTGTTTATCCTCAGAACAATCCAATTAACTTTGGAAGCAAACCCCCGTACATGCTATCATGGTTTGTACTCGGGTCATGCTTGTTAGTCATGCCAGCATGTTTTATTTGGTTCTTCAAATGAAAATGAGGCTTTTAGTGTAACTAGCCATTTAAAAAAAAATAGTAAATGCAACGAAACAGGGGCTAGTATTAGATAATGAGGATTTCTGGACAAACAGTTGTCCAAGTATAGCTTATCCTCTACATTAAGCTGTGTCACAAAATAACCCACACAACTAAATTCTACCACACTCAGATATGATCAATGTAAAAGCTATATGATTGTTCCCTAATATAAAAAGGTTAAGGAGTAATCAGCTAAGTAATTTTTGTCTACAAAAATAATCTAGCAAAAACATAGCTGCAGTAAAGCTAAGCTCCTGTGGTATTAGTAATAATGGAAGCATAGAAGAGTAATAATGTGAAATAGGGTACTGAGACACCTCCAGTACTACTGACCTGTTTAAAGAAATACAGAGCACCAGTGCCTAGTCTTAAATGTCTGTAACTTTTAAAACTGCAAAAAGAAAATGTTAGAACAAAATGGGTAATGTGTTAAAATGATGCACCATAAATGTCATACCTAGTTTGCAGTGCATTGCATATAGCTCCATTGCCTTTAAATGCTGATGCAAAAATATTTAAATGCAAAAATCTGTTTTTGCCTTTTTGGGTACCAATGTCCTATTGATGAAAATGAAGCAGCAAGGTTGTAAGAGTATAATCCATTCAGATCTAGAATAGGTGATTTTAACAATGAATGCATTTCCTTTTGAAAATGGTATTCTAATATCGTAAAGAGTTGTTGACAAGCCACACTGTTTTGGACTTGGCAAAGCAAGACATGAATATGAAAAATCACTATGATTAATTGCAGAGGATATAAGATAGCTGGCTGTCAACTGCTCTGCTTTCTTAAAAAACTAGGAAAATGAATAGGCACTTTATAGAAATTATGCTAGCAAAACCTATGGACGGCTAGCTTTGTTGTACAAGAATCCCTAATATACAGGGAAAAACACTTATCTTGACATGCACTTTTATTGTATAGCTTTTATTTCAAGGGAAACAAAAGATGACCTTATACTGCTCTCTCACACATAATATGCACATACTTATTTAAGTTAGGAAGGAGTACAATTATTGAACTATTTCACATCCCTATTTGCCTTTGTATGAAAAAATTACTGCTCTACAACATCTTCAGAATCTTTTGTAGATGGAACAGCCCTCTAGTAGCTCAAGTGGAAGCATGAGTTAGAAGTGCTCTCTTAAGACATCACTGATGAGTACAACTCCCCCTCACCCACACACACAAAATATATAATTGTATCTGAAAATTAAGTAAAGTCCACTCTGAACAGTTGGGCTTTCCATCTCTCCTCCAGATGGCAGCCCTTACAAAATCAATAAAAATCTGTAACAAGGATTACGAAACCCCTGTTGTTCAGGGTGGTTTTCTGCAAGTTTAGATACAATCCTACTATATAGCAGAACTTTTGTTTAAAGTTCTGATCATAATGTTGACAGTGATCAGACTGAGTTCTGCGGTTTGGTGCCAGTGCTGTTCATTGAAAGGTTTGTGTGCCACAAGGACCCTCTAGACCCTACAGTTTAATGAAGAGGAGTGCATACTCACCTAAGCAGTGGCAAATTGGGCAGGCTATAGAGACAAAAGTACTTAAGTTTTAACTACTTTTGCAGAGGAGGTCTTAAAGCAACTATGCATTAGGTCTTAATTTCATCTCCCCAACATGCATTCTCAAAAGTTAACATTCAGTATCTTAAGAGTTTTGTTTAATTGCTTTCAAATATTTGCATTCTGACACAGTATTTTAAACAAAATAACCTTGGAATTACCTTCTGTTTCTCTAAAATGTCATACCACCACTTCCAGTTTTGCAGCTTTCTAGAGCCATATACATTACACCCAGAAAATTAGTGACCAAAATTCTTTTTTTTTTTTAAATTGGGATTGTACACTATGACACCAGATAATCTAAAATACACTATATTTTAAATACAGAAATGGAGTTGCTGAATTGACATGCAGCTAAATGTGTTAAAAACACAAAACAGCCTCTGTATACTACCTGGGTCATTATAATTAAATTTCTCTAACTTAACTATATGCCAATCTGATTTCTATTGAACGCTACAGGGCAGTAACAAACAACTGTTGAACATACCCCCTCCAAGCCTTTTCCTACAGTTTTTTCTTCCCTTGCCAGAATCAGATCTACTGGTCTCAACTGGCTGTGAAACAGCAACAATACTGAGAAGGAAGACAGACAGGTTGATTGACAGCACAGGTAAGAAGGAAGTAAGTGGATGTGATAAGGAAGCAGGATTGCCCAAAAGACCATCTTGAGGTAAGTTGGGAGGGTGCTTTATTGGGGATTTCTCCTTATGGTGCCTTGATAAATGTGGGTTGTTGCTGCAGATGGCATTTACTCAGTAGAATATACTTTATAGTGTATTAGAATACTACTGAGGACCACAAGCAGAGTAGATTCACTGGTTCTTCCTTTTGGAGGGCTCCTAGCTTTTACAACTGCAACAGACAGATATACAAGAACTGAAGCTGTTGCCAGCATGCGAATACCCTGATAAAGGAATTAGAAGCACATGTTCTGGAGGTGGGCAACTTTTAACCTATAGCTCTTATCAGCCTGAACTACCACAGCCTATGATGTGAGCTGATGGGAGTTAAAAGTATAGAGGACCACAGGCTGCCCATCCCTAATATAAAGGGCAGTTAATCCAGGGAGCTTTCAGCTAAAAAGCTACTAAAAACACGAGTCACCAAAGACAACCTAATCTAATCCAGCAGCAAATGGTACCAAAAGGCCTGCAAAAAATATTACAATATACAAAATATGCTCAAGAATAACAGATTAGTACTCAGTCTCATTCAATAGCTGATATTTCTTACCTCCATTTAATAAAAGATGAAAAACTGGACGGAGGGAGGAACATTTTGCCTCACTTATGCCAAAGAGCACATAAAATTAATATTAATAACAAACCTTTCGCAGTTCTGAAATACATTTCCCATTGTGATAGCATAATGGCTATGTTCTTGCATCATGTTCATCCATGATTGCTAAGAATTCTGACTTGCCATGCATGATCAAACATCCTTCTTGATTGCTGCCACTTGACTGTTCCTGTAAACAACTGGCCAAACCAGGAAACCTCTGTCCGTGGTTTGTTTAGTGTTATGTCTGAACCAGGCTCTCTGACATGTCTTCCTACCAAGATACAATCATAAACCAAGGTTTACAATGTGGGCTGGTTTAGGAGAAGGGAATTCCCCAGCAACTCTGGCTTACCAAGATATCTGAATCAGGCTAATAGCTATACTCATTACTCCAGACACTATTTACATATTTTAATCAAAAGATTAGCCACACACAGATTTACTGGCCAAACCCAAGAACTCAAATAAGTTTTTATTAGTAGTGTTAACAAGGAGCTTAGATGACTTCTTACCAAATCGTTTGTGCTACTTTTCTTCATATGAGTTCAGCTTCAGATAGCACTTTATGGGACACAGTTCATAACCCATTTTGGAGTTTCTGGGATGGCTTTAGCAACTGTGGATTGTTCTGTTACTATCTTGCACTCTAAACTTTTAAAGTCCAGTGCTATTTACAGTTACACAAACTGATCATGGTTGTACACCACAAAATATGGACTACAAACATAAACATTTCCATTTTAACTTAGTATACAGCAGTATTTAACCAAAAAAAAAAGTGTCATGGGATGGATTTTTCATGTGGAATAGCTAAGCCTTTTAAAGCCCATTGAAGTAAGCAGCAAAAAATGAGTGTGATAGAGCGGTCAGAGTATTAGACCATGACTCGGGGACCTGGGTTCTAGTCCCTACTCAGCCACAAAGCTCACTAGATCACTTGGCAGTCACTTGGTGTGAGCCTAGGTTCTCAGAACTGTGGTGAGGATAAAATGGCAGGAGATACATGTATGCTGCTTTGGGCTCCTTGAAGAAAAGGTAGGATATAAATGTAACCTGTGCTTCTAAAATGATCTGTAAAATTGGGAAACTTGCATGCTACAGTTGTAACATTTCAGAAGTTGACAATTAGCCTGTCAAACCCTTGATAGCCTGTGAAACCATGAGCTCCAACAACTGCTTTGTAACTCTGAGTCATGGTAAACCTTACCAAACAGGATATTTTTTCGTGTCTTAAAAAAATACCAAGCTATCATATGCTCATATCAGAGTTAGTTAACTACATTTAGGAAAACACAAATGGGTCATATGCTGACTTATGGGTCACAGCTGAGGGATGTGCCAACAAGACAGCACTGAAGAAGCGGGCATGCAATCATGCATCACATGCATCCCTGCTGTACGTGGGTTTTTTAGGAGAGCAGGGGAGGGAGTCCATGCCCTACCTGCTGGCATGTGATCACCAATCTGTTTTCCACTGCTGCATGCAGCCTTAATAAAAACATTGCCCACCCCATCCAACACGTAACCGCAACCAGTGTGTTACTTTGTAAAAACCCAATGCTACTAGCTTTCCCTACAAAAACAAACATGCCTCAAGTCATACTACTTTTTTCACAAAGGAAAGGTATACTTCTCCTGATTTTGATGGTGGCTAATCTCTATGCATTCACATTATAATAATGTTTCACAAGATCTGGATACATACAAGGCATGGATCCTGGCTTCCTAAATTTTTCAGATGCAGTTAGCAGCAAAATGTTCCAAAGGTAGCATTGAGCAGTTTGGGGCAGGAAGAGGCTGTTAGCCATTTTAAGGCTGATCAAGTGAGGGAATTAGCCTTCTTGCCATGAGGCAGTCTGTTTCAAATGGCTGGCACAAAAGATACCAAATCCAAATAATGGAATAGCAAGCTAGAAATTAATCAATCCCCAGACTGAAATAATTTAACACAAACAGCATTTGGAAGAATGCCCAACTTAAACAATCCTTTTTGAAGCATTAGTATCCATGCTTTGTTAAACTCATCTGCTATCACTTTGTATCCTTCACAAAACAAAATGCTAATATTTACTTCAAATACTTCTTAACAATGTCATGTGTCTGCTGACTGAATAAACATGTTACATTTATGTTAAATGTATTACTTTCTAGACAATGATTTTTCTCATTAAACTGGTGTCTTAAATCTTCCAAGAACTCCACTTTCAGCTTGTTTAGTTCTTCTGCCAAGCTCTTCATCTCACTTGGGGTCAAGCTATTCTCTAGAGAGACAGACAAAACACACAAAGTGCTGTAGTTGAATCTTTATATCTCCTTACATTTTGAGAGAGAAAACAGTGGCTTGCCTCTTTGGGAATAGGATATGGAAAAAGATAAGTGTTCAAAGCCTTCCAGCAGCAAACAGACTGCTGCTAGTACTCCAAATAAATAGCTTTGCTACATATTTAAGTAAAATGTACACCAATTCAAAGTTAGCAACAAGACAAGACCACACCTTGCTGAGCATACCTTTAGCATTCTGCATTACTTGAGACACTGTTCGCCTGACAGCCTGGTCAGCTTGATGAAGAACATTGACTGCACAAATAGCTCGATCCACTGCCTGGTCAAAATTTTAAAGAAGTTTTATTTTAGTAAAATTGTTTTGCAAATTTACAGAGGGAGAATGATAACCATGCTTTGCCACTACAGGCATGTATCCTACAAGTGGTAAACTTTAGGGACCTTTCTAACCTTTCCTCTTCACAAGGAAAGGAGATGGAAGTCTTACAATCTTGCAAAGTTTTATTATTATTATACACCACTTTGGCTTTTGTATAACATAAGGCAGATCTGCATAACCTTTTTGGCCCTGAGGGTCTAGCAAGAGAGTCCCATGAGTTTCTGGTGCTAACTAGGGTATCCTTCCTTTACTGCTAATCCCAATGAAATATTCAAGATCAAGGATTCCCTTGCTAGCACAGAAAACTCCAAGCAATGCCACTATGAATTTTCATGGGAGCAGATGTAAGGAGATCTGGCAGGCACTATAACTAGCTTGGCCGGCTACACTTTTTGCATCTTGGATAAAATGCAATCTAGACATCTTTTAAAGATGCTCCCACAACCCAGCAAGCCAATCATCAATCTTCCCAAGAACAAGTGTGGAAGGAAAAAACCCCTTACAGTGTTCTGAAACGGAGAATAGATTCTCCCTCAAAATCTACTCCACGTTTTTCTGACAGTTTAATTTAGCTGCTGTAATATAACCTCCCACAATAAAGGGAGCAGTCTTGCTCCCTTTCACAGCCCTAGTCTATTGTGAGCTTGTTGAAGACTGCATGAGTCTGAGGCTTCTTATTCTTGTAACAAGCCTTTGTTCACCATTATGTCTGAATTAAGTCAAGAGGTTTTGCTTACTGTCTTGATGCATTTAGAACATTTAACCACAGAATATATAATTTTCAGGGTGACACACAGTTTAAAGCCAACATCAAGAATGCTGTTTCATTTTAGTCTCAAAAACCTATCAAAATGTTATAAACAGATTCTTTCTTCCTAGTGGCTAAAATGGCTCGTGTTAGCAGGCAAGCAGAGGGAAATCAGAGTTAAAACACTCCAGCTAAAGTGGCTTTCTCGAATAGCCACCCACTCAGAAAATAGGGAGAAATAGAGTCAAGGCCCTGATCTCAGTGACTGTATAGATTCATATGGGAATAGGCAGACCTTCAACTACTAACAGTAAAGGGGTGGGTAAATATTTTGCCTGTTCAGAATTACACTGGCCTTTAACCACAGTTTTACACTCAGATGAGCATGCAATCACACAAAAAGTTATTCAGTGACCATTCTTTTTCCTTGAAATCACCAATCCACTGCAGATCCACCCTGTTCTATAGTATGGCCAATTAAAGCATACAGTAAATCTTAGCAGAGGCAAGATTTGAGCAAATCACAGTCTGCTATAGGCATTCCTGGCTTACCGGGTATTCTGTGAAACATCTAAGCTAAGAATATAAGACTTCTACTCATATATTTTAAAATTAAATTCATTTAAATACTGTGAAACCAGCCAGTGTTTAATTACTATTGTCTGCATTATTTTTGACAGTGGGATCCAATGTCCTTTTTTGGTACTAACCACTGTCTTTATTATTAATCCTTTGGGCCAAAACCAAATGTAACTCTATGTCGAAATGATTCTGCTCCTGGGGTTATAACTTGGAACAGAACACATTTCATCTTTGGTATGCGTATTTATTTATTTACTTATTATATTTAAAACATTTTTACCCCGTCCAATATGAAAAAACATCTCAGGACAGCTTACAATAATTAAAAAAAATAATAATTACAATAAAACAATAATAATTACAATGATTGGGGCAATAAATGACAATAGCATACATAACCCCAACAAAACAGAGACAAAAACAAAAAGCGACTGTTAAAAACCATTTAAAATCCCTTAATGCTTAAAACGATGGGTGAATAAAAAGGTTTTTACTCGGTGCCGAAAGGAATATAAAGTTGGCACCAGGTGAACCTCTCTAGGGAGCACATTTCACAATCTGGGTGCCACTGCAGAGAAGGCCCTTCTCCGGGTAGACACCCTTTTTGCCTCCTTCAGGGAGGGCTTGCCGAGCAGGGCCTCTCTTCCCCCGCCAGATGTCAAACACCTGTTCTCAAGTTGTACCTATGGCCTTCTGTCCACTGCAGCACTACTTAACATTCTACTCCATTAGCTCCTATCTATTACCTTTTGTTCTGTATTCTCTTCCAAGGGCTTCACTGGGTTTTCCAGAGTGGTAGATAACAAACTTAGCACCTGAAGACTGGGACACATATTTAAACAAAACAGTTACTTGCTGAAGGATTGAAGGCCGGTCTCACTGAGATCAATTGTTTCATGTATGCAACAGCATGCTGGGCAACAAGTTTACAGATCAAAATGCAACTCAGCCACCAACTGTTTGGGTTTTTGGAAGAAAACTAAGCCAAAAGAATTATTTGCCTCACCTCCCTCAAAAGTTTTAGTAATTTCTCTCAAATGGCTTCTACTGGGAACTATGAAATGGGTTTTATGAGAAGTTGTTGTGCACCCAACTCCCTTTTTCTGACTTGCTTGACTTCCTTTGGTGGTTTATCCAATGGCGAAAAGAGGGATGGCCTGCTACTTAAGGGGCATATGCTGGTTCCCACTCTGTATTTTAAGTATCAAATAAAAAGGTGCTCTTTGCACTTACAAACTGTGGGTAAGAACAAGGCAAAATACAAGTGACTGTAATTATAGGAAAAGGAGAAGCTGCCAAACTGATTCCAACATCATGTATATGCTGATGGAATCTGAGCTAAACAAGGGGTTCTGGCTGACAGTTTAACGATCAAACCAGCATGCAGCTGCAGTGAAACAAGCAAACTCAAGCATAATTAGGAAATGAATTGAAAATATTATACTGCTCTTTTAGTGACCACAGTTGGAATACTGTTTATGGTTTGGTCAGAATTGGCAAAAGCTCAGAAAAGGGCAACGATAGTAAGTAACTCTTATGAGGGAAAGTTGGAGTATTTGGAACAGTTATTTCTCCCTTGCTCATAATACCAGAATCTTGGGTCATCTCATGAAACTGACTGGTCAGAGATTCAGGACAGACAAAGTACTTCCTCACATGGTGCATAATTAAATTATGGAATTTTCTTCTGCAAGATGTAGTGATGGCCCCCAGTTCGCAGAGCTTTAAAAGAGGCTTAGACAACTTCAAGGAGGAAAAGGCTATCAGCAGCTACTGGTACTGATAGCTATATGTTGTCTCCAGTATCAGAGGTGGTATGCCGATGTACACAACTTGCTGGAGAATACAGGGGTTGTCCTCACGCCCTACTTGTGGGCTTGCCACTGGGATCTGTTTGGCCACTGTGCAAACAGAACTAGGTAAACCCTAGGGCTGATCCAGCATAATTCATAAACACAAGAAGGTGTCCTGTGTTACCATGACACAGCTAACAAAGGCAGCACTGTATAGGGAACTCGAACAGTTGAAGAGACATTTCTTCTTTCAATGTGACTACATACTTATCTTCGGGTGAATGTCCTGTATTCTTCAGAATGAGGCTATTTTGCTCCCATGTGTATTTCTCTGGATTTGGAACTTCTATTTTCTGTACCATTGTGCAGATGGTTTCTTCAGGCAATGGCTGTTTCCTCTGAGAATTTCTGTCTAAGCAAACCTCAACACAACAGTCCAGAAACAGCTGACAAAAACCAAGGGTATCTAGAAAAAAATCAAAGTAATTTTTTGTGTGTAAAAGTCATTTCAAACTCATCCATTTCTGAAGAGTCTGTGCATAAGATATGAATACTCTACACAAATTAGAAGTCATTTGTAGCACCATGAGGTGAGGAAATGTAAATATTTCAGAGTTTGCTATATAAAGCACAATTCTACACACACTTAGAAGAAAGTTCTACAACCCACAGTATTCCCAGCCAGTAGAACTTTCTTCTGTTTAAACATACATAGGATTACTCCCTTAATAAGTATACCCATGCAGACACATCGACTTTGTTACCAGAAGACAGCAGCAAATCATTATGTTCAAACTTATTGTGGTATTATGGCATGTACAATAAAATTTTTAAAATGTGTACCTCAGCCCTCAAGAAGACTACCTACAACACAAAAGTTTAGGTTCATCTAAATGGAATAGTTCAACTTAGCTTTTATTTATTTATATTGCGATTTATATCCTGCCTTTTTCCTACAAAGGGCTCAAGGCAGCTTACATCATCTCTCCTCCTCCATCTTATCCCCACAACAACCTGTGAGGTAGGTTGGGCTGAGAGTCTGTGACTGGCCCAAAGTCACCCAGTTGGTTCCATGGCCGAGCGGGGACTCGAACCCGGATCACCTGAGTCCCAGTCCCATGCTCTTAACCACTACACCACACTGGCTCTCCTCCACACAGCCCTTTGCAAATGCTAGATAAAGCGTCAAGGAGACCATCTTGAATATGACAAACTGTGGTGCAGGTGAAGAGAAATCCCTGAGAATTGTCTAACAGGCTGAAATGGAGGCAGATGAACTGGTTAGGGTTCTATATGCATTTGAACTGAGCCTGGAAACAGATTGGGACCCAATATAGTTAAGCACTAGCAAGCTGTAATCCCAGTACCTGGTCAAAACTAACAGCTATATTTTGAACTAACTGCATTTTCTGAACTGCTTTCAGATGATAGCCCCACACACAACACTTTTAATTATTTTAACCTAGAAGTTACTGTGGTCAATGAAAAGGTCAGTCCAGTGTGAACCAACTATGACAAAAGCAGGTACAATTATAAAAGGAATCAAAATAAAACTGCTAAGACCATTCCCATATTCAAATCTATGGTGTGACAGCACTTCAAATATTGGGTACAGTTTTGATCACTGCACTTGGAAAAGGTCCTTGCAGAGTTAGAAAAAGTGCAGAGATAGGCAACTAACATGATTAAAGGGTTAGGGCAGCTCCCCTATGAGGAACAGTTACAATACTGGACCGTTGAGCTTAGAAAAAAGGCAAATGGGGAGAGATAAAGAGATGTTCAAATAATGTATGGTATGGAGAAAGCAGAGTAGCCTTTTTCTCCCATAATACTAGAACCTGGGGTTCTTCCATGAAGTTGATTAGTGGGAATTTCAGGACAAATAAAAGCAAGTGCTTCACACAACACATAAACTATGGAATTCACTGCTACAGGAGGTAGTGATTGTCACAAATTTGGATTGGTTTACAAAGGCATTGGACAAATTTGTGGAAAAGGCTATCAGCAGGCACTAGTCTTCATAGTTATGTACTACATGTGCACACCATTTGGTGTGAAACTTGGAAAGGAGGAAGCTGTTGCACTCATAACCTAGAGCCCACCTAGCACTGAATGTGTCCTTTTTTCAGCACCAGGTCAAGACAGGCCTCTTTTCTGAGGTTTTTAAGGGCTTAGCCACCAAAGGGCCTAAAGGGCATCACAGGTGTTTCAGTGTCTTTTTATCATTTGCAATGTTTGTGTTTATCATCTTTTTTGCTGTTTAATCATTTTAATATTGATTCTGATCATTTTGACAATTGCATTTTTATCATTTGTTTTTATGGATTTTGTGAACTGCTGAGAGAGCTTCAGCTGTGCAGCATTATAGAAATGAAATAAAGAATAACAATTCTGCTTGAGAGAACCTATGGGCAGCTGGATTGCACCTGCGTGAACAGAATGCTGGACTAGATAGAACCTGGGTCTGATCCAAAATGGATCCTGCATTCTTACCACAGCATGGCTTGCTGTCATCGGAGTATCCCTGCCCAAAAGGGGTTTTAGCTGCCCCACCTGTCTCAGCTGGTGGAAGGCACTCTGCATCACACAACTTTCCTTTCCAGTAACAGTAGGCTCCACAAGCAGCAGCAAGCTGTCAACCTGACCTCCATAGGTTTGGGCTTGCAATTCTCACCAGCCCTAGCTAGCATACCCAATGGTACAGGATGAGTTGCAGGCCAAATATATGAAAAGCACCAAGTTACCAACCCGCTTTGGGGCAACAAAACATTGCCCAACATAAGCTGAAATTTTCCTATACAAATGACCCCAAGCAATGTGCCTTGGAAATGTTTCCAGCAAGCTCACATTGTTTTCCTGCACAGAAAAACTACCAGTGTTTCCATCTTGTCACTGAATCAATTATTAAGCCCAGATGCCAGCTTAGCACTTTGATTGCATTACTGGAGTTCAATATAAGGAGAGCTGAATGTCTCCAGTATATTGACCCCAAATTCCAAAGTACCAAATAACCACCCAGAAAGCCTGCCTTGGTTAATGGATGGTATAAAAATTAAATAAAAATTAACTTCCCTGAGTGATTCATGGCATTGTCCTGGCAAAGGTTAGTTAAGGCAGTTTTATCAGCCGAGACCATAGGATTTATAGAATCATGTGGCTGGAAACGACCATCTGCTCATTGTACAATTACAACTTCAATGGCAGTGAAGAAAACAGGTATGGGCAATCTTGTACCCCCAGCAACTCCCCACTCAATGGTGCCACGATACAAGTATCCTATGTAACATTATTGATATTGAGGAAGACAGGAGCCATAAAGGACTGCATGAAATACAAAGCAAGGTTCTGCTTTGCTCATCCAGGTTAAAAATCTCTTTTAGTGGTAACATCTCAAAATCATTTGCAGCACTGATTCATAAGGTTGAGCTGCCAGCTTAAATATAAAATCAAACTTACACTGGCGAGCTAATCGGTACACTTCATATCTCATACTCCGATAATAAAAGTTGTCATCTAGAATAAAATATATTGGTTGGAACGGGGTAAGATCTATTAAATATTGACAAGATGCAGAGTCTTCTGTTCTTGGAGATATTACTCCTTGCTCTTTCAAACAGCAGACAAAGCTTTTCCATGTTTTTTCAGTTCTGTTTGGAGGAGGAGAATAATGGCATCCTTTAATAAGAGCCTGAAGGAAGTGTTCAAGATACAACAATAACTCATGCCGGTACCATCGCCACTGAGACATCTATGAAGTAAAAGGACAATTATTCATGGTTAGATTACCAAGTTCTAGCTGCCGTCATCAACAATGAAGGTTTTGCTATTTCCCCAGTGTAAAAATGGATAGCATTTCTTGTCTTCACATTTTAGATTGCCTGCAATGTTTTCTGAGAATTAATCATGTTTCTTCTTTTGAATCCACTCATTTCACTTTAACCAAAACGCCTCTTCATTGATAAATTCTTGCTAGAAATTTTCAATTTACTAAGAATATGCCTTCTGAAAAGAGTGACATAACTTGAGTTAGCACAAGACTAACAGTACTTCCTCCTCTGAAATGCATTCCTACAATTTGTATAACTATAGGTATGAAATCTACTGGATAGCCATGTTAATTCTGTTGCAACAAAACCACCAAGAATATTGTGGTACTTTAAAGGATATCACAACTTTTGCAGCATAAGCTTCCTGGCCTAGAGTAACAAGCTCTGATATACAAGATGCGTATATCACTGTAGTTTTTAGGGCACCATAAAGCTGCTAATTTCTCTAAGTGTCAGATTAATATTCTTCTAACAGTTACAGTAAGAGATGTTTAAAATACACTGTCTATAGTTGAAAAAAGGGTGAAATATTGAAAAGCAATATATCTATATCTCCAAACCAGTGAATTGCATATTAAACTACTATAAAATATAATGCATGCTAATTGACAATTATATATATATATATATATATATGTATATAAACTGTTAAGAGTCAGAAGAAGTACAGTCAGTAAGGGGGTTTTTGGGTATAATCTTCAAAATATGCAACCTAGTATTCTCTCCATAGTAATTAAAAAAATGATTTGCAGGAGATTTTAATTCCCCTTCTCTTGACATTTTATTTCCACTGAAAATAGTTCTTTACTCAATATTTAATTAGCATAACTCAAACTAGCTTAAGAAAAAATGAAAGAAATATTAAGATAGGAAGTAGAAACAAAAATGACATGTTTAATTATTAAAGTGGTCTAAGGAATTCATAAAGGATAAGCCAAAACATTTTCACACATTCAGACAGCAGCTGATCCAAGGCAAGCCTCAGAGCTTACTCTAAATAAAAAAGTATCCCAAATTAATCTATGACCAATCAAAACAAATACTGGAAGATAAGCTCAGACTTCATAGACAGCTTGCTAACTATCTGCTGTCAGTATTTACATAGGAAGAACATGCAGCCAAGCAGACGTTTACTGACCAATGAAAATGGTTACTACAAACTGCCAATAAAGCTGACGGAATCTAACAAATAAGTACTGCCCCAAGCTTGCCTCTGTCTTGCTGAATGCCTCCATGGGAATGATATCATCATAAGTGAAAAGAACACTGCACCACCCCTTGTGCTTCCTCAGTGACTGACTCAGCTCCTGTGCCATCGTTGTTTTACCGGCTGCTGGTAATCCACAAAGCAGGCACAATCCCAGCTGGTGGCACCCAGGATTCTGCTGTTGTTGTGCCATGGACCTGGCCTGCTCATGGACCTTCCACTTCTGTGACACAAATGAACAAAAAGCATGAAGTTCTGCATCTGCTCAATTTATTCTGCCCACTAGCACTGTGGTTGCACACTGAGCAGGGCTATAGTTTCCTTCCAAATCACAAATACAACTGAAGTGACTAGCTTTGTTCAGATACCAGTATTCCTGGAAGTTTTTGATGTCTCTCTTGCTTCTTAGAAGGACAAAAGTAACAGCTGCTTGTAGAAGTCAATAGTGAGATCTAGAATTTCACTGCTGTGGTGGTCTGAGAGGAACATGTCAAAAAATAAAAAAGAAGAAAGTGTTATAGTCAGTCATTTTCACAAAATGGCTATTATGGGGTGAGGGAGCTTGTTTATTCATAAAATGGCCACCATGGTATGCTTGGTCAGTCACAAAATACTTTTCCCATAAGGCAAACTGCTGAGACTAGCTCCCCCTGCCCCCCCCCCCCACCCCCAGCACACTTTCAAGCTTTCAGGGAACATTGCCATTGTGGCTTTAAATCTGCAGACCACAGAAGAACATTCAATACAATATGCAGAAAGCAAGACTTAGTCAAACCCCCAATTATATGCAGTTTGGGAAGGCAAAGAGCCAGAATGCATAAGATTTAAAACTATGACACTAGATCAGTGTTACAGGTACCATTTTTCTTTTTCAATTGAGAACAGTCATTTGTTAAATGCTCCCACTAGCCTAAAGACATAGGAAAAAACACAATATAGTGCAATAAGTTTTACTTATGTCCTTGTGCTAATGAGGCTGGGCACATTTTCACAGAAGTGATTCAGCTAAATAACTTTAGACCCTGAGCTTAATGGTCATATAGCCATGCATATGACTGCAATTATGAAGCACACAAGTAACATAATTTCCTGTTCCTCCAACTAGCATTCCATATTCTAAACCTGTTTTAAATTCCTGATAGGTTGAAGCAGAGTTTGAACTGGGGTTCAGAAAGCTTACTGGGTTACTATGCACCAGTCATAGACCCTCAGCCTAACCTACCACACAGGGCTCTTTCTGTGAGGATAAAATGGAGAAGGGAACCTTTTAAGCCACTTTGGGTCCCTTGTAAAAAAAGAAAATAAAAGAATAAACAGGACATACATGTACTAACAACTCTTTTCTTTTGGGATAATAAAATTACAGTATCCAGAGCATGTGCAGCTTTGCTTGTGGAACTCACTTAAATCAAACACCATCAAGATTACACGAATAAAATGTTTGCGTCTACTGCCCTCATCATGCGCACTCTCTGTATGATCACAGGGGTCGGCGAGGACGCTGGGCTGCAGGGACCTGGACTTTAGCTCCAAGGTCCAATCCAAGATACCCCACTTCCTCCTCATCTAAGGATGGGGAGTGGGCTGAGGGGCTTCCGTCCCCCGCTAAGAAAGCCTTCGCAGGGGAAACTTACCGATCCCCCGAGGCTGGCCTGTTTCTTCAACCGAACGCTAGCACTGAGGCCAGCACTGCAGTCCCCTCGTAGCCACCTAGTCAGTCCTCTCAGGAGCGATGTGGTCGGATACCCAGCACGACCCTCCATGATCCTCCACTGCCTCACCTCTTTCAAGCCGAACTTCATGTCTCATCAAACTCCCCATCCCATCCCCAGTACCTCACTAAACCCGCTCCCCACGGCCGCCATTTTGTCCCCTACCACTACCTACCAACACTCAGGACGAAACAGAACGCCGAAAAGCTGCTCTTCCGACAGGTGAGCCCACTACCATCGCCGAGCATGCGCAGACTGAACAGATCCGGTCTCACTGGCCAAATATCGCGACAGGCTGTAAATCCCTCCCACGGCGAGATTTGCGTGAAGGGGGATTGTGACGCTTCGGAGCGGGAAGTGTTTTTCAGGGCAGAGCAAATGTATTCTTGAAAGCACCTGAAAGTATTCTTGAAATATCATGGATCATGCGCTAGCTGTCTGTTGTCAGACACGCTACTGAATTTGCATGGAAAGTCCTCGCGGTTCTTCTGGCACCACAGGGCGCAATCCAAGGCGTCTTAAAACAGCCAAACGTCCTGCAGCGCTCGGCACGCCTCAGCCAGCTGTGGTTGGAGCATGTTAGGAGCGGCAGGATTTTTTTCCAGTCTGAACATGCATTACATGCATATGTATGTTACATGTACATGTATGTATAACATGTATACGATATGTTAGTATATCGTATTTATTTCCCGCCTTTTTTCTTTCCAAGGAACTCAAGCAGGCTTACATAATTCCCCTTCTCAATGTTATCCTCACAACTCTTGTGAGGCAGTTTGGGCTGAAAGTCTGTGAGGGGCCGAAAGTCACCCAGTTAGCTCAGTCGATGGGTGGGTAGCTGGGCACTTGAATTCTGTTCTCCTAACTGCTGAATATCCATGGTCTGAATCTAAGATGCTGAGTTTTGTCTCAGCCACCAAAGGTAATATGAATCGTGCTGATGAGTGTAATATTTCCAAAACTCTAGATAAGCTATTGCTATGATTGTACCTGTCTCACTGAACGGTTAGCTAAGCGCTAATAATTCGGCTGACTATGCTGAGTGATTGCCGCACTCTCTTAATAGGCCAGGATGCCGAAGGGGATAAGTGTTTAGCTCAAGCAGTCAAACATTCTAAGGCTTCCTGAGGTCTTCTGTAGCTTGTAGGATCTCACCTTCCCCAGTGGGGCTACTGTCCCCTGCATTGGACTAGGAACCCAATGCTTTTTAGAAAGCAAAAGGTTACCTGTTAACTGCTAACTGTATTCCATATTACTTGCCTCCCTCAGTTCCTGCTGTCCATTGCTCTTAAAGCAGTAATCCTATATGTTTACCTGGAAGTAATTGTCTCTTAACTCAATGGAGTTTACTTCTGAGTGAACAAATTCTAGCAAATAAGGCAGATGACGAGGTGCATGCAGAGTGTGACCCAGGAGAAATAGAAAAGTAGATTTGGAAGACAGGTGTTTAAATATGTGTGGGGGAGAAGAAACTAAGCAGCTTTTGCAGGTAAGGCAATGACAGATGGGAAGAAGGGCTGGAACTTTTAGTAAGAGAAAGCAAGAGCTGGTAAGAAACTAGATGGGATGTTGGTAAGCAAATGTTAGATATTAACTTTGAAAGGTGAAAAATATTTTAGAAACCAAGCACTAGTCCCACTACTGTCCTTCCCGCTTATCCCTCCATATTACTGGGATATGTAAAACTACAGGCACAGTTCTATATATTTACAACTTTACTACAGAACTATGAAAGATAACACAAGAGCAGCCTGCAACAAACATGTCCAGTCCCAAGTGTTTCTGTCCAGGGTTCCAACCAGCTGGCCATTATTTCCTTCAAGATACTCCATTCCCACTCCAGTTTGTTGGTTTCACATACACACACGCACCCTGTAAACACATCACAAAAAGATGTCAGCTGGCAAGACTCCAGAGCACATACTGGAGGTGGTGAACCATCTTGAGGAACAGCACAATTCATTCTTCAGAATCCTTTATTTCATTTACAACTATCCACTGGATGGCAGGAATAATTACTTTGTTCCAGCTTTGCTTTATTTCTCTAAGGGCGCCAACCAATGTGGCAGCCCATAACAATACAAACTCAGAAGATTAAAGGTATCCAATGGAATGTGGGAGGAACACATAGACTAGGATTGGCTTGGTGTCCTCCTGGCCTCTGAAGCATCTGCCATTGTTGCTGTTATGACATTGCATTTATATTCCACCTGTTTTCCTCCCGAGAAACCCAAGGTGGCTAGACAGTTCCATTCTATTCTCACAACAACCATCCTGCAGGACATGTTGGGCCAAGAGTCTGTGTCTGGCCCAAGGTCACCCAGATATACAGTCCAGCACTTTTGAGAAACCTATATACGGGTCAAGAAGCAACAGTGAGAACTGGACACAGAACCACTGATTGGTTCAAAATTGAGAAAGGAGTTCGGCAAGGCTGTATACTGTCACCCTGCCTATTTAACTTATATGCAGAGCACATCATGAGAAAGGAGGGCCTAGATGAATCACCAGTTGGAATTAAGATTGCTGGGAGAAATATCAACAACCTCAGATATGCAGATGATACCACTCTAATGGCAGAAAGTGAAGAGGAACTAAAGAGCCTCTTGATGCAGGTGAAGGAGGAGAGTGCAAAAGTTGGCTTGAAACTCAACATTAAGAAAACTAAGAGCATGGCAGCTGTTCCTATCACTTCCTGGCAAATAGTTGGGAAAGAAATGGAAGTAGTGACAGATTTTATTTTCCTGGGCTCCAAGATCACTGCAGATGGGGATTGCAGCCAAGAAATTAAAAGACGCTTGCTCCTGGGGAGGAAAGCTGTGGCAAATCTAGACAGCATACTAAAAAGCAGAGACATCACCCTGCCAAAAAAAGTGCGTATAGTCAAGGCTATGGTTTTCCCAGTTGCAATGTGTGGGTGTGAAAGTTGGACCATAAGGAAGGCTGAGCACCAAAGAAATGAGGCCTTTGAATTGTGGTGCTGGAGGAGACTCCTGCGAGTCCCTTGGACTGCAAGGCGATCAAACCAGTCAGTCCTAGAGGAGATCAACCCTGACTGCTCTTTAGAAGGCCAGATACTGAAGATGAAACTCAAATACTTTGGCCAACTAATGAGAAGGAAGGACTCCCTGGAGAAGAGCCTAATGCTGGAAACAATAGATGGCAAAAGAAGAAGGGGACGGCAGAGGATGAGGTGGCTAGATGGAGTCACTGAAGCAGTCGGTGTGAGCTTAAGTGGACTCTGGGGGATGGTGGAGGACAGGAAGGCCTGGAAGAATGTTGTCCATAGGGTCGCGATGGGTCGAACACGACTTCATGACTAACAACAACTCTAACCACAACACCACACTGGCTCTAAACATTCTTCCCCTCCTGGCAAGGAAGAGAGGCACTGCCAGGATTCTTCAATGGACAACAGTGCCTCAGTGCTTCCCTCCCTGGAACACCCCCTACCCATAGTGACTTCGAAGATAGTCTTCCATTTTTGCATTGTTTCTCCAAGGTTGCAGCTGGCATTCTGATCTATAGCCCTCAGACAAAATCAGGAGAGCGTAGGACTGTGCCCTAAAGCATTTTAAAGAAAACTTTACCACACAGTATTGACTGAGAAGCCATACCAAAATAATTGCTATAAATAAAACTAATTTCTACTACTGATTTTTCCAAAGCTACCATTAAAATATTATGAACTTGCATAAAGTCATGCAATTTCAATAGCAAGATGCTTTATTGTTTTTTTACAAATAGTTTACAAGTTTTACCATTTAAATAGAGGATTATGTTAGTAAGGTATTTCCTATCAGCAATTTGTGTAAAAACCGCAAATAAAGCTCTTATATATTAGAAAATCCAGAAGAAAAAATAGTACTGTTATATAGTTTGATTTCTGCTTGATTCTTTTAGTCTCAGAAAAAAGATGTAGATAAAGAACCTCTTTATTCAGAATTTCTCAGAGTATGTAAACATTGTTTCTAGATTTTTGTTCATTTTCATACAAGCAGAATTTTTTCACATAAGCAGATTGTATTTTATGAGACAAACTAATGAAACAAAAAATATTTCTAACTAGCAATTGCCCTCATTTTCTCTGAACAAGTAACACAAACCTTTTGAAGTGTGCATGAAAAAGCAGAGAGGGGACTATTATAAAAGCAGCAATATTCAAGCCATGTTAACAGCAAAATTCATACAATGTTGATCTTAAGAAAAATCCCAAACAGGCTGAGATATCTTTCCTTCCCTTGCAGAACATGTTTTAAAACCATACAGTACTGGGAAGACATTGTTTTAATTGTACTTATTGGCCAGGTGAAAGTCCATGCTCTGCTTTTGACAGGATGTGTGGGTTTTGCTTTTTTAAAACACTCAGATCCTAAAGTGGCTCCATTTAGCTGCTGCTGCTGTTTCTACAACAGGGTAGCAAACAAAATATGATTTTCAAGAATAACTGAATGGTTTGCTTCCTCATTTACCTTCTTGTGATCCTCATCTTCTGCACAGACTAAGAGTTCACAGGGATCTCCTGATTTGTGTTTTTCAGTTTCCTTTCAAGGTCTGTACCAGCCCTCCCCAACCAGGTGTCATTTATGTATTTTGGAGTACATTTCACAACGTTGGTCATGGTAGCTGGGGCTGATGATATATAAAGTCCAAAAACTCTGAAAGGTACCAGGTTGAAGAAGGCTACTTTCTACTGTTTAGCATCTCATGATTGATTCTTCTGCATTATCATAAAAAAGGCCATACTATCTTTCTGGTTAATAACGTTCTTTGCATGCAACATTAGGCAATCCTTTTGTCCCTGTACATATTGATACAAATAAGATTGGACATTAAAACCTTCCAAAAATCTTTTAAATGATTTTCAGAAAAAAGTAGGTCTACTGTGTACGTTCCAAAACTTAAATAAGAAAAATATGCATAATACTTCAACAACCTCTCTGCATTTGTGGATTTACAAAAATATTAATCTCTTTCACATCATACATTTATGCAAGCAGCAATGTTAATCTTGGTGATTCATCCAAACAAACTCCTTTTGTCTCACCACAAGGTGATACTTTTCAATCAGTTCTTTGGTGAAACAGGAAATAGATCGGCCAAATACACTTTTATTAAACCTGCCTTAAAGGGTGACAAAATGCATCAAGGTTCTGGTTTAATGAATAATAAGTGCTACAACTGGTCTTTTGGGTTACCCTTATGAGCCTGATATGTTGTTAGATTAAATACCAGTATGTAGTGTTACATTTTCTCAAATACAATATATTCTGCAATCCTATATAAACCTGCTTGGGAGTAAACCAACTAGCACAGTGATAGTTACTTCTAAATAAACATACACAGGATTATGCATGTACCGTGAAAAAATGCAGTTGTCTATTCATACGAATGCCCTTACAAATATTTCCTGAGTATAAAGCTTTTTCATTCACAGCAATCCAATTGTACAGTTTTTCACTTGCAAAATAAAGGCACTGTGGAAGGCCAGAGGTACATTAATGATACATTTACACTGAAGCTGGGTTTTTTTACCTTTAACTCACTCTGTGGGACTGGGTTCCTACAGCACCTTGAACCCCTTGGCAATTTTAACCATGCCTTTTGGTTAAATTCCTTGGCACAGCAAGGCTTGCCTGCCTCCCCCTCCATCACCTCCCCAGCACCAAAATGTCCCCTCGGCCACAGCAAGCCATTTAGCACTGGTCGCAGTGTGTCCTTTTAAAAAAGTGCCCCTGTGTTATTCATACTTCAAAAGCAACCCAGTCTCCTCAGCTTCAAAATTTGCTCCAAATACATAACACCTTGGGAAGTGGCAAAACCTGGGCGGAGGGCTCAAGGCTCATGGTTTGAAAAATAAACATCCCCCACCTTACTGGGGTTTTCCCCAAGTTTTGAAGTGCTCCCCACTGTTAGGGGGAGGGGGAATCTTTTCACAGCTGCTGTGGCACCTTAGGGTACCTGGGAAAGTAGTCACCTACTAGCCCCTTGGCTGAAAGGGAAAGGCTTTTGGCTGCTTTTGCCAAGGACCTTTCTGCTATTTTAGCTTAACCATTGCTTATTTTGTTTTCTGGCTTCAGACAGCACAATAATCCACACTGGTTTTATTAAGCCCTACTACAAGTCATGGCTTATAAACCACCCTACAAGAAGAATGCTGGGTTCAGAGAAGACACTAAAACAACATGGCTTATAAAGTACCACAGTTTAATGTGTTTTGAGAATCCAGACTGGCTTCAGGCTGTTGCAAACATGCCCTTGGTCTTTTTCTCGGAGGGTCTCAATGGACAGAGAAAAAGGGAAGCAACCCCCAGATGAGATCTAAATTATTTTGCATGTAAAATAGGTCAGCAGCTCATATCTGAAAGTGGAGCTGACAGAAAGCAAAGGGTTGGGCATGGCTTTGTATAGTCCTCAGGCTAACAATTAGCTTTCACTGCACGTCTCAGTGTCTTTCCATTGTATAGTCTATAAGTTAACAGCTTAACTTACAGCTGCACATGTTGGAGTATTTCCAGGCTAACAATTGATTCTAACATTAATTCCTAACTCCACCTATCAGGGTACCCCTTTCTGATGCCATCAAGGAAAGTTTGTGACTGATATTTTCTAGGTAACAAGCGTATAGTTCCAAGAACAGACTGTAAGCTTACCCTTTTAACATTTGTGGTTAGGTCTAATGGCCTGTATCTTGATGCCTGCTTGTGGTGAGGCTAGGCAGCTTCAGGCAGGTAGCATCGCCTAGATCAGGGGTTGGCAACTCGTGGCTCCAGAGCCACACGTGGCTCTTGAACCCCTCTGCTGTGGCTCCATCGCTCAAAACACGCACTGGCACAGCCGCTGATCTGCTCGAAGCTCCACTCAGGAACGTAGAGCTAGCTAGTTAAGTAAATCAGCTAGTTAAGTAAATAACTACATCCCTCTGCTAAACAAGCTTCCTGCAGGCACTAATGTTACAGGAAAAGATTCTCTCTGTCCCAGTGTAATCTCCTTCATCTGAATGTTAAAAGCTGTGCTTGGGACCTGGCACAATTCACAGCACTTGACTTGCTAATCAGTCACTAAACACACAGCCTCCGATCTGCCGATCCACACCGATTTACTGAGCTCCCTGCACCCCCCCCCCCCCCCCCCCCGTAGGCCAACCATGGATAAATCGAAGAAAAGTTTCTGAAGAAAACCAAACGTTTAACGATACGTGGGTAGATTCATTTGCTTTTACTGCTGACGAACTTATGGGGTTTGCTGTTTAATGCATGCAGCCCTTTAGCACTGACTTTGACTCTTCAGGAAGCTGTTCTCCTATTCAAAATATATGAAAGGAGTCCTACTAGTTTATAATGTAAGATTAAAAATAACAATTTTTAGTGACTGAACAAGAGCTGCAGCTAAATCATAATGAAGATATACATAGCATTAAGGTAAAAAACGATATATGCAGTGTTATCTTCATGTTAGATGTCAAAAGGGTTTTGCGCTCCCAGTGTTTTCTTTTGTGTGGGAAATGGGTCCAAATGGCTCTTTGAGTGTTAAAGGTTGCTGACCCCTGGCCTAGATAATTTTATCTTAACATTTGTGGAGAGGCCTGAGGTTTCTGCAGGTCCCTATCAGCTATAGCTAAGGAGTGCTTGCAGCAAGTAAAAGTTGTTACAGCAAGCAAAGATCAGTATGAGCAGCAGGCCTTTTCTAACAAGACAATATTTCGAGGCATGGTGGCTTGGCTTCTTGTCTGAACCCAGCACTTGACATGTAACTATGTGGGACCCTGATCCAAATAAGGGCTGTAACACACAAGGAGGCTTAAAGTGTCCCTCCTTATATTTGCCCTGACTCTCACACACAAAGCCCCCAAACCCAGCCAAACAGATAGTTGACACAGCTGTGCGCTTGGGCATTCCTCATTCCTTGCTGAGGAAGGGAGATTGGAATCAGCTCTTTTCCACAACCACATTAGCATCCCTAAAGATGCCATTGCTAACCATGTGATGAACAATAAATTCAGAGTGTGTGAAAATGTTCCCACCAACCCTATGCAGCTTCTTTTTCTTTGCATGCTTCAGATCTAAAACAGCAATCTATTATGGGTACCTGTAAGGTGTTGACCACGCCTTGTTGAAAGTGCATTGGAAAGTGCTAAAATAACCATTGCTTCCTTGACCAATTTATTTATACATCAGTCTCAAAGTCCCACCTTCATTAGATTTCATTCACATTTTTATATATTTATATAAACAGGTAAACTCAAAAGAATACTCAAAATAGAGTATTTGTGGGCCAAAGTAGAGATAATGCTAAGTGTGCCATTAGAAACTCTGTTAGATTTTAACTTCAGGTGTGCCCCACCCCTGGCTCCCATTTTCATGGAATTCACGGGGGAGGGAGAGGACTGGTTTAATCCTTCCTTCCTCAACCACAATACCGACCAAAATCACCCCTGCCTGGTGGGAGAGGGGGAAAATCTGTTTTCCAAGGCTAGTATTAATTTGATCATCCCCCACCCCTTTCCATTAAGGAAGTGAGAGTCAAGATGGTTAATAGTCTCACATGCTTGCAAGGAGAAAGGTATTTTACTTGGAATCATGGCTGGGGAAGAACAGGTCTAACCTCCCCTCCTCATGTTCTGCATTCCCAAAGAAATGCATTCCCACACATGCACAGCATGACTGATATTAATGCTGCATTCTTATGCATATTTAGATAGAAAAAAGCTCCCCAACTAGGCTGGCTGGAGAATGCTAGCATTAAAGAATGTTTTTCTGTCTAAACATGCATAAGATTGCATGCTAAATTTTAAAAACTTGACGGGGTTTCTAATGGTATGCTTAGTACCACTTCTACTTTGACTCTGTGTTAATTGGGAAAAAGCCTGATTCATATAGGTTGTGATGGAAATCCAGTTAATATACACAGCATCCTGTAGTCTAATATCTAAGGCAGTCTTATCTTACAGCTCTACTGATTTTGAAATAAATTTCAAGTTATTCTTCAGTTAACATTTTAGCAGTCTTTTAGAAATTAAAATGAGGTCTTTACTTGTACATTGATAAAATAATACTTCAAAAATCTCACTGATTTCACATTGTTACCCTAGTATTCTCTAGGCATCAGTCTATATCATTTGACACAACGGGTCTTGGAGGTGGTGGCCGTAAAGGAGGTCTTTTGGTATGTGACCCAAGCTGACTTTGTATTGGTGGCCTGAAAGAGAGAGAAAAAATATCAGCGCAGATTGCATTTTTCAGAGATTGGCCAATACAAGGAGACCCTCTAGAAATTTACTTACTTATTAATTTGACCCAAGCCCCACTGATAGATTTCAATAGGATAAAAGGTAAAGGTAAAGGTTTCCCCTTGACATTAAGTCCAGTCATGCCTGACTCTAGGGGGTGGTGCTCATCTCCGTTTCCTAGCCAAGGGAGCCAGCGTTTGTCCCCAGACAGTCTCTGTGGTCATGTGGCTGGCATGACTAAACACCGAAGTGCACGGAACGCTGTTATTTGCCCACCAAAGTGGTACCTTTTTATCTACTTGCATTTGCATGCTTTCAAACTGCAAGGTTGGTAGGAGCTGGGACGGAGCAACGGGAACTCACCCAGTTGTGCAGATTTGAACTGGCGACCTTTCGATCAACCAGCACAGCAGCACAGCGGTTTAAACCACTGTGCCAACTGCAGTCCCCTTCAATAGGATAATCTTCTTCAAAATATGTTTTGCTCTGAGATTTAAAATCACTACTAAATAGCCATTAAACATAGTATTGTGAATTAGTTATGAAGCGCTACAAAGGCTCTGAAATATTCCTACTTGTATTTCTCAACTGTTGCAGTCAATAAGCAAATTAACATGAAGTTTATTGCACAGGACTCTAGAAAGAAACCTCATTAGCACAGCCACAAGTTCACTAATAAACAAGTTCACTAGCACTTCTCTACATATATGTTTTGGCTGTAGTTCAGTTATCTTATTTTTAAAAAAAACTCACCCATGCCAATTCTTACAATTTACAGCACCATGCTAAATAATTCTGCTCTCTTATTTAGAATGCTGGTTGAAAAAAAATCTGAACCAGGGATAAGGAACACATGTCAAGGCTCAAAGATATTGTTAGACCATGTAAAAGCAAACTGACAAAACAGACTCAAAAGTGCAAACCGTGGAGTAGGAAAGTGAGATATCGTAAACATTCCAGAATTTGATCTTGCAGGCTGTGGAGAAAAAAAAGTACTTATATATACACAGACATATACACAATTATATATTGTATATATTGTGACATATATTTCTAATCTTCCCAATAGCTAGCATTCGCTGGGTAGATTATAAGTAGTAGTAAAAAAGAATCATACTTGTTATGGAGTGAAGCCATTCCAACTTTAGATTCTAGGAAAATATTGTGCATTGTCTAATGCAACTAACCTAGGGTGCTTCCAGAAGAGGCTTTTATCTATTGCCTTTTATTTACTGAATTTTAGGGATGCCCAGACATCATTGTTTCCCATTTGTAGCTCTCCTGAGTCTTCCCACTGCTTCTTACTTAAGGAAAGATGGAATGCCAGCACAATGCCTTGACAGGTAGCACTAGGATTTGGAAGCACTCCTAATTTCTGCAAAACTGTTTATCTGAATGGAAAACAATTAACTGAAAGAAACAATTCCCAGGGATTTGGGAGAGCTAGAACTGATTCAATGGTGGCAGTTATTTGGGAAGGAATATGCTTACCTGTCTATTATTTAATTCATTAGGCTGCTTTGGTCTGTTTGCAGCATTATTCTGTCTTGCTTGAAGAGCTTCTCTAACCCTTAAAACATCATTTAAATAATAAGATTTAAAAAAACAGCACTGTCTTTCTGAATTAATTGCATTTATGCATTAAGATTCCCCTCACTGCCTCCTCTCGCAGTATCTCACCAACTTCCACTTCCAGTTTTGTTTTACACTTGGATGTATTTATTTACATAGTGTTTCCCCTTTGGTGATGGAAACAGCCACCTGGGTGAGCCTGTTCTCATTCACAAATAATGGGGATCCTATAGGAGGCCCAGGCCAGCTGCTATCCTATAGAAAGGGATTCATCCCTGTAGAAAGCTATCAGGAAAAGCAAAGCAATGAGCAGCTCAAATAGCTACACTGTACGATGTCCATTTCATGCCCAGTAACATGTCCACCAGCAAAACATCAGCAGATGTCGAACTGGCCATGTGTCAGACTAGAGATTACCCATGCAAAGAAGGATGGCTGGTATCTGTGAGAAAACGTAGACCAGAAAAGCAAAATCTAAATCTAAGAGAGTGCCACATCACCCACAGGCAGGTTCCTCTTGCTCCAGAGCATGGTGATTGCAATCCTTTGGGCAGTTGTGAGAGATGATCAGTCATACTAGACAAGTGCTTCCCTAGTATTAAAAGGTAAGGGACATGTCTTCCTCAGCATTTCCAACATTAGTTTGTACTTCTCTTAATTCTTTGTAAAGCCAAAGGACTCCTCTGTAAGCCACATGAAAGATTTATAGCCAAGTATCTATGGGCCACTCTGCCGTGGTAGGAGCAGCCAGTTGCTGGCCACATGGTGGAGTTCTAATTTAGGAAAAGAACTTCCTCCTTCTTTCCTCTGTATGTTCGCTAAAGCTTGATCAGAATTCGTTTTTAGAAATATGTCAATAAAGCCATTATTCTAATCTTTTCCAAAATGACTGGGAAAGTAGACCCAGCTACCCATCTATCACTCCATGACCCAATCCCAACAATCCTCAAATTTTCTTACAAGTTTTATTATTTATTTATTTATTTAAAACTTTTCTATACTGTCCCTTCACAGACATCTTGGGAGGGTTTACACCAGATTGATAAAATAGAAATAAGAATAGCAATTGCACAGCATCTGATTTACATTCTGTCTTATGATCAGCAAAAGTTGTTCAGGGAAAGTTGAAAAGCAAAGTGATAGTTCAGTTGTTATCCTTCTTCAAGGCAAAACTGTATATAAATCATTCATACAGAAAGAACTATTTGTAATCTTCAAATGTGACAATAAGGACAGTCATCATTTCTTCCCCTACTGGAGCATTTAAAGATAAGTACATTTTCCTGGGAGTAAGAACTGTTGATTGCAGTGGACAATTTCTGAGCAAACATGCATAGGATTGTCCAGCATGTCTGAGTGTTCGTTATCCAAATAAACAAATTTATTTCTAGAAATTAATTTCTATATTATTATTATTATTGAAATTTTATTTCTATTGTCATCCATGGCTGGTCTTCTAAGTGTGCCACTTTGAATGGCATTGATATGTTCAGATCTAACCTGTTAAAACTTTCAAATGCTTTAAGTCTAGACCACATTAGGCACCTGAATATTTTAACTGGTTAGCTTAAAAATAAATCTACACTGCTTCTCATTAAACAAATTCCAAAGCTTTATACAATGATAAAAATTTTAACATTGAAGAACAATTCAAACAACTACAATATGTACAAAAAACAATTCAAAGTCAGAAACTTTTGACCTGCCCAATAAACAAAATAGGATGCAGGAAGTGCATACTGAATAGAGGCAGCATTTTAAATTGTTGGGGACACAATTAATATCTCCACTGTAGAGAGATAAATCTTAGCAACTGTGGTAATTGTTTTACCACAGCCTATCTTAACGTCTTCTAGATGGTGCCCATTCCATTCATTATTAATATTATTTATATCATACCTACGGCGCCGCCTACATTCTCTGCAGAGCCGTCTTTCAATTGCATCTCTTTTGACAACTGCAACCACAGCTAGAATTAGCAGAGGCAATATAAGCAGAAAAAACACAAGCAACCCATCTCGAAGTGATGTATCTAAGGAAGAGAAGAAATCAAAATTACTTGTTTTGCTTTTACCTGAGGATTAGGATCGCAGTGCTGCAATATCCTAATGCATTTTGTCTGTCAGGGGTGTGTGTGTGTGTGTATACACACAAGTCAACATATATGTGCCTTTTCCTCATACCTGAGTCAAATCTCCATCCAATTCTTTCCAACTTATTTTAAAAGAAATTAAGAAACTAATTTATTCCTTTAAAAAATGAAAATGTATTCCTTGTTGGAGTAAGAAGAACACAATGAATCTACATTCTTTCCAGTACACAACCCCCTTCTATATATGATTACTTAGAAGTACACATGAGATTTAGGGGACAAAGTGGGGAAAGTCCGCCTATTCCCATTACGGGGAGAACTGGAGGACATTTGTCCTGTCTGAATATCACAGGACAGCACCTTAAGTGTTCAGTGGCATTTACTTCGAAGTAGGTGCACACAGGGATCTTGCCATGAACCCTGCCCCCATGCATGTTGGATCAGCCAGTGTGATCTGGAGTTTAGACTGTTGGACTGGGGACATGGGAGATCAAGGTTCTAGTCCCCACCTGGCCATGAAGCTCACTGGGTGAGTTTGAATCAGTCACGGACTTTCAGTCTAACCTACACTGCAGGGTTCATAGAGTCACAGAATAGAAGAGTTGGAAGGGGTCATGAAGGCCATCGAGTTCAACCTCCTGCTGTCAAAGGACATTACACCATCCCACTCAGATGGCTGTCCAGGTTCTTTTTGAATGTCTCCAGTGTGGGAGTGCCCACTACCTCTCTGGGCAGCTAGTTCCACTGTTGTATTGCTCTGGCAGTAAGGAAGCTTTTCCTAACGTCCAGCCTGAATCTGGGTTGCCACAACTTGAATTGAGTATTCCGTGTCCTATATTCTGGCATTAGCAAGAAGAGATCTTGACCTTCCTCTTTGTGACAGCATTTGAGGTACTTAAGGATAACATGTCCCCCTTCAGTCTTCTCTTCTCAAGGCTGAACGTGCCCATTTCCCTCAGTCTCTCCTCATAGGGCAGTGTTTCCAAACAACAACAAAGGGGTTGTTGTTGTAGGGATAAAATGGAATTATGTAAGTCACCTTGAGTTCATCACAACATGAAAAAAGTCAGGATATAAATGCAATGTGATGGTAATGATGTTTATTTAGAAGTAAGTTTAACTGTTCAGTGGAGCTTACTCCCAGAAATGTTAACATTTATTTAAGACATTTCTTTGCCATCCTTTGCATAGCCTCAGGACAGCTCACAACATGGGAATGCAGCCTCAGTCAAACAGAATAAAATATCCCAATTCTGTAACATCTGTATTTAAAATAAGCCTTGAAGTATTTATGTTTTTTATTAGTAATAGACTGTTGAGTGGTACAGATGACAGAGACAAGAAATTTCTGGGTATAAGTTACATGGCAATTAATACTTATGTAGAAGAAAAAGGATTGTCAATTAAGCATTGTCCCACCTCCCCCCGCAAAATGAAAAATGCATCACTAACAAAAGAGGACACTGGTTGGTATACAGTCTAGTTATGCTAATTTATATGTATAGATGCAAACTCAGAAATTATAACTATCGCTTAAATGGAAATATAATACATGTAGGAAAGACTGTAAGCAGGTGACATGTACCTGCTTAATCTGTGCCTGGGTGCTACCTGTGGATGGACAACTTCAAAGCTCCTGGGTACCTTTCTTATGATTATTTATCCTTAAACTGGCCTTAGACCAGACAGCCCTTCAAACAGAGGAACACATGGTCATCCTAAGAGGGTGTTAAGCCTGCTACATTTTACAGAAATTGATAAATTATTATATCTGGTGGAATTAAATGAAGATTTATGATTCTTACCTATATGAGTTGGGCCACTATCTATGCTGCCACCATATCCAGATTTGTCACAAAAAGGAGGTGCCCATCCTGGATCACAATGGCAATTGCCTTTGTTGTTACATACCTTCCAAAAAAGGGGACAAGATCAAGGAAGAAGGAATTACTAAAGCCTTTGTAGGAGTTAGACAAGCTGGCAGAGTCACTAGTCTTCTTTTCCCATTTTTTTCTTGAGTTGGTATGCTCCAATTTCATTGAAGAAATATTTGAGAGAAATGGCACTAATCAAAGGTTTAATCTCAAGAAAGAATGCAGAAGGACTACTAATCAAAATGTAGGCAATAAACTGATGTATTCCTCTCAGAATTAAACCTTACAGAGCTCAATGGATGAATATTTCTGATAAAATTGGTTCTTGGCTGTAGCAAAATGTCTCCAGATCTGAAGAATATAAACATTACAGAGAACTATTAGAAGTAACAGTGTTACTGGCACCTAACTCTGTCTAAATTAAGCAAACATAGTGCATCAACAACGAAACAAAAAGAAATGCACCATCATGCTGGAAATCCAATAATTAGAAAGCAGACACTATTTGGAATGAAAAGTTTGCAATACTGGGCATCAATTTTACTTTTTTTGGCATTGACTGGCTCACAAGGGGACAGGGAAAAGATGTCACCATGCCCTGGTGCTCATGCAACCCAGCGAGTGATTATGGTTGCACATTGTTGGAAGCATTTACACATCATGTCCCCCAGAAACAGAGGATGAAAGAGGCCTTATATTACCATACAAAGTCTGTATGCTAATTTATATAGCAATAGATATAAATTTAGAAATAGCAATGATCATTTAAATAGAAATACTGTAGTGGGGAAGACTATGTGATCTGTGTGGTGTGCCTCCCTGTCTCCTGTTCAAGTGCTGCTGTTGGATAACTTCATGGACCCTGATCTCTTTTAATAAGGTTCATAATCTCTAAATGGGATTTGGTCTGCATAGCCTTTGAAATACAGGATGCCTTCTAATGGAGGACCATCCTTTGTAAGTTACTGGCCTGCTAATGGAGGACCATCCAACTCTGTAAGCTACTGTGTGCTATGGAATAAATTACATGGAGACCTGATTTAGTGATGAGGAGTCTGAGAACCTGTTGGGAAGTTGGCCTCACAAACAGGATGGCAGGATGCAGCTATCATACCACACATTGCTCAGTCTTTTCTAGCAATTGCTGCTTGGGGTCACAGAGATTACATGACAATCCTCCTGGTGGCTGAATTACCATAGGATATTTGGGCATCTTTCTGTTCTACCACTGGATTTACTATTTATCATAATCATCTTACTTACTGCACGGTCATTACATTTGCCTGTTACATCACAACTGTAACCGAGCTGAGTTGCATTCACGCAACTGAAATCGACACAGACCTAAAACAGTATGAAAAACATTTTAAAATAGAATTGGAAACAATACAGCATCTTTAAATATATAAAAGTACTGTGCAGAGACAGTGGGCAGGTTAACATTTAACTATGCTTAGTGCTATATGCATGATCCGCAGCAAGCCTTGAGCTCATACACCCCTCCCTACCCTCCTCTCTTGAACTCAGGAATGGGAGATAAAAACATCCCCTTCCCATTTTAAACTAACCAGAGTCCCCCATTTTATTCAAAATCATGGAACTCTGTTTAGGAGACACTAGACCATGAAACAGACCACAATCAAAGCATTCTGCTCAGATCACTAACTAGTTTAAGCTTACTAAAGTTTGGGCACAATATAGAACTCTGATTAGTTTGACACTGGAAATTAATGCTTTTGGTCTCTTCCTCAAGTGTGTGCCAAAGTGTGTGTGCATAGGGAAGCATGTGAGGTGCACCACATCTCATGCACCTAACATTAAACTACTGTTAGCATTATGTCTGAATTGGTCCAGCAACATCCCAGTGAAATGAATCAAACTGAACAACACAGTTAATGGACATGGGGCACTTCCTGACAAGTTTTTATTGTGAAAAAGCTCTGGAATTCTATAAGGGGTCCATATGACAATATGCTCCATTAATAACTCTCCCATGTTTTCCCATGGCTTTTTCCATCCCCTTCTTACCAGGAAAAAATCTGTTAGGAAGGGAAAAGCAGAATAGCTGTGCCAAGCTTTTTGGTTGTTAGTGCTAGGATTTGTCTGTCTGGAAGCACCCATAATTTCTATGTATTACATTAAGGATCAGCAGTGAAATTCAGGATGTGGCTGTGCATTGCCCTGCTCCATGGCACACACTGATTATAAGGCCCACATAAGATATAAATAGGGTGGACAGGTAGAAATTGAACATCTGCAACTGAAAAATAAACTGCTGGCAACCCTAACTACAAATGGCAGTGCTGGGATCACAAGCATACAGAGACTGCATGGAAGGAATCTGAATTCTGCCAACAGCTCTGACACCAATTACTGTTTGGTAAGAGGCAGGAGGCTCTCTTACCTTCCCTTCAGCACAAGTTGTGCCTCTGTGAACCAGAGCTGGATCAGGAAAATCTGATCCTACACTAAACTCAGCCGTCACACATGAAATGCCATTGTAATTCTGGATGTATAACTGGGAAGGAAGATTGTCTTGATTGACTGAGGTACAGTGGATTGTGCCGCACAGACTATTGCTGCAAAATATGAGTAGAGTACAAGAGAAACAAATTAGGAAGCACTAGGATAAATGTCAAGGTTCCTCCCATATTCTGATATTGTTGTTGTTCTTGTTACATGCATTTATATCCCATCTTTTTTACTTGTAAGGAACCCAGGGCAGCTTACATAGTCCTCCAGCACGCCATTTTAATCTCACAACAACCCTGTGAGGTAGGTTAAGCTGAATGGCCGTGACTGGTTCTGTTGTGCACGCACACATGGAAACACGGCCAGAAGTCTGATAATAAATTTGATGGGAACTGGAGTGCAGACAGTGAAGGGGAAGCCATTTTGAAATGTCAGCAACCAAGGCCAGGAAATGTCTGCCATTCAAGCACCATTGCCCCAGCTTGGTGGGGGTGGCGACCAACCATCCCAGGGAATGAAGAGATGGCCCAGCAAGGGGAACTGGGGTGCAAGCTGAAGAGAGCCCCGATCTGCCCACGGGATCAGGGTGTGCCCAGGGCATGTGCCAAGAGCTGAGTAGAGGCCCCTCCCCCTGAGGAGGCATCACCGCTTGTTAGGAGGCAGCCCAGGTGAGATTCTGTTGCTGGAGCTGCAGGAGGGGCAGAGACAGGCAAGGAATGCCAGGGTCCCCTTCCAAGCTGGTGGTGGAGAAAGTCTCTTAAAAGGGATGAAGATGAAGGGAAGGCTCAGAGAGGGATCGATACTTTGCTCTGGGGGAGATCAGGGATGCTTGACAATAAGGACATGTTGCAATAAGGCATTGAAAAAGAAACTCTGAAGCAGCGAGTTTACTCAGGAGAAGGACTGTGCATCATGACAGCTTCAAAGTCACCCAGTGAGTTTCATGGCTGGGTGGGGACTAAAACTGAGATCTTCCAGGCTCCCAGTTCAACACTGGCTCTCAGTATTTATAAAAACTCACATGTATTTGTCTAAATATACTGCCAGCCTGTCAGCCACATGTTTGAATGAACTGGTTGGTACATATTAGCATTTTCACAGTACATGAGACTTGAGCTATGTAAAAATCCATAATATGTGAAAGGAAGGGGCTTTTCTCAATTTAAGATAGCTCAAAGGATGGGAGAAGAAGCGATCCATCAGCTTCTTACTGCCTTGTTCAAATGGTTCAGCTTGCTTAGATAAAGCTTGTTCTTAAAATTACAGTTTGCCAGAACCAATTTCATAATAGTTAAAAACTGTTTCATCAACTCACCAATCAAACCAATAAAATAAATTAGTTACCGGTTTAGAAATTAGTTTAGCTTTTCATAGTGCATACTTGCACTACAGTTTTGCAGTCTAATCCTATGCAGGCTCAATCAGAAGTAAATGACATTGGTTGTATTTACATAATCATTAGTGTCTTCATAAGCCATGGTTTATGATGCCATAAATATGTGTCATAGAAGTTTTCCTGCCACTCACTCTTCATGTAACAGTTTCAGTACCAACTTCCTGGCTTACATTAAGCCAGAGTTCTCTGTTAAGTCTAAATCCAGGAATTCCAGCTTAATTCTGGTAAATAAACTAAGATGATATCCTGACTTATTATTCTGGCTTAATGGAAACCAAATCTTGGTGTCAAAATCACATGCAACAGAAGGGGAGGGTAGCTTCATAAACCCTGGTTCATGAAGCTGTTATCAACAAAATTGTTGACTATTGTCTAAATGCAGTTCAGTGGGAGTTAATCTTCAATAAGTATGCCTAAGATTGCAGCCTTAATTATCTGCAGAGTACAAATAGAATTTCCTGATTACTTACGCTTGGGTACATTTAACAAATTTTCCTCTCGACATTCCACAATTGCCAAAAGTGTCTCCTCTGCTATTGGCTCTTTCAAAACAGATGTTTGCTCCTTTTTTTGCTCCTACAAAAGCAAAAATAAAAATCATTTGAATAATATTTTTGCTCCATGCTTAAGCATTTTCTATTGCTCAGTACTGCGGTTTGCATGACATAATAGCAGGTTATTTAACCACAGAACTGCCATTTTGACTATACAGCCTCCAGTGGTCAAGTTCACACATGACAGCCCCGAATTGGGGTTTGCACATTCGGATCATACCTGGTATGTGCCTTGGCTCACCAAGGCTTAAATAATGCATGGTCAGCCCTAGTGAGTCATACAAACTTGAAGATACAAGCTGAAACTATGTAAAAATACCTTTTCCAAAGAGGGATTCACACTGAGAATCATAATTCTGACAAATTCCATTATAGCAGTAGTGCTTGTTATTGTTACATGGATAGCCATCCATGACATACACATCTTCTGGGCAGTCAGCATATGTCCCATTGCAATACTCGGGGAGATCACAGAGATCAATTTTTGATCTGCACTGTGTTCCTGCGACTTTGTACTAGAAAACAGAATTGTATTTATTTTATTTGCTTTATAGTGCTCAAAGTGCTATAGCATTAGTACATGACATGACATAGAAGAAAGCAGAAGACGGCACTCCTGGGATGACTGCTTGTGAAATTCTTGGTGCCTGATTTCAACAAAGGGCTCAGTCACTAGGGTTGCTAGCTTTACAAAAAACCAAGGAGGAGGAGGAGGAGGAACCCTGCAGAGCGTTCTGCTGTTCCCACCATATAATAATACAAGGAACCATCTTGAAAATGCATTGCTCTACTCCACTGGTAACCGTGAGTCTCCTTCTCAGGGCCAGTAGTTCTCCCCTCTCTGCTATGAGACAAAGAGAAAAGAAAGACTTGTCGCATCTACTTTCCACTCTGTATATCCCATGTGAAGAAGGAAGTTTGAAAACTCTCTAGGAAATGTCTGCTTGAAAGACAAAAAAGAAAATCAAGCAAGAGAAGGCTAAGGGTTGGGCACAGTGGCATAAGAGGAACAAGGAAGATATGATATTACATAACAAACAGCAAAGTTCCTGAAGCTCTTTGTGAATACAAAGAAGGCACCATCTGAACTTGGGCTGTTCTAGGGCAAAATGGCTGAATGTTAAAAGAGACGGTTGCAGTACAATCAACTCTGGCTGCCCATAACTCTCTAAATGGACATTCCATGGAAGGTGAAAGGAGACAGCGATTTAAATGTTTTGCCCCAACTCACAAGGGGAGGCTGAGGTACCATCAGAATTCCAACAGTGGCAGTGCCTCACTCTTCTCCTAGCCGCCTGGATTGGCCCCCCACGCATTGGCTTAAAAATCAGTCCTCTGACTGCAGAGCTGCAACTGGTGCAGAAATAATCATACCCAGTGCTTTTTTTGTAAGAAAAAAGGTGCAGGAACTCATGAAATTATTTACCTTTCGCACGTAGTCAATTACTGTACACACACCCACATACGTCAGTTGTGTAACGAAACATAACGGTCGCCGCCCGCAGTAAGCACTCAGCACGTGACCCCATGACCAATCACAAGCTGAGCAGAGCCACAAACTGAGAAGCGCCATCACAACCAGCACGGACAAAGTACGCATGCATCGGATTAGACACACAAGCAGCCCTCATGCATCGTTTTAATGATTTTGCTGCCAACCTGCTACGCTCGTCAGGGCGATTCAAATCCATGTGGACCAAACATCAAATTTTCAAGTTACTTTTAAAACTTGGAAAATCTGTCAAAAAAAGGTGCTGGAACTCTGTTCCAGTGCGTTCTGTGATAAAAAAAGCACTGACCATACCAGCTAAAAGAGCAGCAGCAGGACACTCTGAAGGCGAGTCCCAGCTCCAGCCCTGAAATGCTTTCCTGAGGTTGGTGTTGGGACTCTGCCTTTGCCTTTGGTTGTCTAGACAGCATTTGTGGCCATAGGATTGTGCTTTTGATGATTCGGACGAAGAACCACAATGGGGCAGGGAAACGCTAGGAGAGAAAAAGGCACCACTGAATGTGGGAGGAAACCATTCTGCATTCAGGTGTTTGACTTGTCTGAGTGGCTTACCATGTACGCAAGTCTGAGAATCCCTTGTAGCCATTCTGGCTGGGGTGGGCACGATAAGGCATAAAAATGTAAGTGCAGATGCATGGGAATTACTAGAAAGCACTGCTCATGAATGATAGGCCCTAGGAAACCAAAGTGGGTATTTAAGCAAAACAAATTTGTATCTTTAATCCTATGCACACTTATACCTGGATGCAAAGCTTATTGAACACAATCGGAGTTATTTCTAAATGGACTTTCATAGGCTTGTGCTACACATGTCCAGAAAAGGTAATGAGCTCACCTGACACTTTTCACAGCACAGTCCTTCAGCACACTTTGCTCCAGGTTTTAGTTTGCAGGTGATGGCATTGCAACAAGGGCTGGAACACTTCTGTTAAGAAAACGAATGCATTAGGACTGGAAATGGGTGCTTCCAGACTAGGCTATTATTGTGCAATCACACTGCCTCATAAATGGAATTTTATAGGGGGTCCAGGTATTGACGTGTTCTATTTGTGGTCCTCCTAAGTTTTCCCTCTCCTCCTTCAGTCTTCTTTTCTAACCACCAAAACAAACAAACAAATAAATTGAGGAACAGATGGAATAGTGGCACAAGGTTTTTTGATTAGCAACACTAGGAGCCATCTGGAAGCTTCATCAGGCAAATGCGACATGTAAATAATCCAACTGTCTCTCTATAGTGTCCTATTTTTTTATTCAATCTAGGATTTTAAATTATGTTTTCCAACAAGGTAAGGGGAAATAACATATTTTATAATGCTAGGAGAAAATCTTGATAGATAATGGATTTCCGCCCATTCCTTCCTGATATAATTACTGGTGATTTTAATTTGTAATAGTTGCATATCCATCTCATCCTCATGACTAATAACGTAGAGGAGGGGGAAAAGAAAATTGTGCATGTGACCCAGAGCAGTGGCTACATCCACATCTGTGAGAGTGAAAAGGTGGCCAAAGAATTGTTTCCAGACCCAGTTTTTCCAACCAGATTGGAGCTACAATGGACTAAAAACTATGTTGCTGATGCAGGTGCAAAGAGTGAGGAAGAAATTAAACTTACTGAATGCTAAAGTGAACTATTCTGTAAATCACCTACTTCTGGAGGGCCACAATCACATTCTTCATTCTTATCCACAATGTTGTTGCCACAGACAGGCTCTGTGAAAATATCACTGGGTTTGGGAGCATTTCTAAGACAAGTTCCTTTGCCTCTCAAGATGAGAAGCTCAAAATCATTGGAACTGCAGCTGCTGAAGTTCTTGGACCCGCTAGAAAGCAAAAGATACATTTCACATATCTATTTCTCAATCTACAAAGTGCCATGTTCCTTAATTGTGCCTATAAAACACTCTCTTGTAATGTACAGCTACTTTCTATTTTAAAGAAAGAGAGATCCAAGCACATTGGGCATTTTGCAGAAAGAGAGAGTGAAAAACAGAGTGAGAAAGATTATTGCATGGTATGGTTGGCTGTCACGAAGGAGCTCAGCTTCACAAACCATGATTCCAGAATCTCCATTTTATTTTGGAAGTAGGGGTATCCCTCATGTCATCACCGGAAGCCCTTCAGAAAGAGCCCCCTCCTCGGGAAATACAGAAGGTGGCTACAAGAAGGGCTTTCTCAGCAGTGCCACCCTGGCCTCTGGGAATCAGCTCCCCAGAGAGGTTCACACGGTGCCCTCTTTATAGTCTTTTCAGCGCCAGGTGAAGACTGGTATTGTAACTGTTAGAACAATTTAAATGGATTTAATATTTTATACTTGCTTGTAAATTTCAGTTGTGCCTTTCATGTTGATCTATGATTCTATGGAGTTGTATAATGGCGTGCTTTTACTTGTTGGATTTTATTCTATTTTTACATTTGTTTGTGTATTGTTATTTCACTATTTTAAAACTGTAACATGCCCCAACAGCCTTATAAATCTATCCAATAAATCTATCTAATAAATCTAATAAATCAATAAACAAACCTAGTTAAATTGTTGGGAGCAATGCTTTCTGGTATACAAAGCATGGGAATCTTTGAACCTTAAAACTGCCAAGTCAAAAACCAAATTATGCAAAGTGCATAATGAATTGGATCTTCCAGAGCCTTGAAAACAGGAAAACACTCCAATTCTTGAAGCACTGCCACTACCAGTAATTCATTAGCAGTCATTAACAGCCTTTATGTTATATCAAATGGCTGTACAGAAAACCCATGGTGAATGGCAAGCTCAACCTAGAAGGTTTGCTCTTTTTTCCCTCAAGAAAACTCCTGCCCAGAGGCCATGGGGTTTTTTTAACTGTACAATAGGAAGTGAAGGTGTTTGTCATCTGAGCCCTTCCTAATTCAGCTCCATCTGTCTAGTTCATTCTGCAAACAAGAAGCAGGTCACAACAGTCACGAACCAGTCTAAGAAGTCTGAGGGCTGAGACACTTTTTGTCTGTTTTGATCACGGTAGTACAAGGCTCAATATGGGCTTAAGGGGACCTAAGGTGGTATACCTGTCTATGGACTCCTGTCACTGCCTGTCATCTTCTTTCTTGTTATTCCAAATTTGTCTCAGCTCTCCATTTTGCCTCCACATTGATCAACAACATGCCATTTACAGTCATTCATTTATTTTACTTATAGCATGCCTCATTACCAAAAAAAATGGGACTCAGTTTTCTCTGTTGTATCTAGGCAACCAGCACTTCCTGCCGGATCTCTTCTGCTTTCCCCATTTCTTTATATGGCATTGGCAGCTTCACCACAACTGCCACCGCCACCACCTAAATCTCTCTCTGTATTTCCTGTCCTCTCTCAACATCTCCTATCTCTTGCTGGGAAGAGCAATAAAATGGCACGTAGATGTAACCTGAGAGGCAATAGGATCTTATGGATTCTCAGATCTGAGGGTGGAGATCTCTAGCCTCAGAGCTATGAACCTGTGTTCTGATCCTCCTCCCCACCCCCTCAGCCAGTGTGTAAAGAACCACATCAGCTGCCTCTCTGAGATCGGGAAATCGAGCTTGGCAAAGAGGTAAGGGGGCATTCCAGAGGGCCAGGAAGGAAGGAGACTGAAGCCTCCAGGATATGAGGTATCCTCACAGTGTTCCAGCCTACCTTTCCTCCCCTCCAAAACACCCAGCTATATAAAATGCAGAGCACAGAGTGTGGGAATGAAGGGATTGCCTCTACCACTCCTCCTGCTCTGCACTGGATACTTGTAAGCCTCCAAATTTGAGGGTTTGCAAGCATTGTGAGCACAGTTGATAGGATTGCACCCTGCTGCAGGCACAAATTCAGCTGTAAAGCAGCTGCAGGCACAAATTCAGCTGAGTGCATCCATCTGTTCCATATGGAAGTTGTGCAGTAGTTAATCTCTGAATCTTGTAACCATTTAAACTTCCCAGAGAATAGGTGCGAAGTATGATCTTCTTGTGGTAGACCTTAACTCTAGATGAACAAGTGTTCCCCTGCAGATGCTGGGACACATGTGCTCAAACACAACCAGTAACAAGGAATTCCTTGAAATATTCTGGCAGTGTTGAAAGTAACTGAAAGTGAAAACTGCAGTGAGAATGTGACTGTCTAAGCTACAATTTTCAAAGTGAATTGGAACCTATTGATCACAGTAGTTTTGAGTGGCAAATGTTTTATTAAATCCAAGGTAGCCTGTTTCAGCACCAGGAAATGAGTCACACTGCTAGGGTCTGCTACACTAGTGACGTAGCACTATACCAGTTTAGGGCCATAAAACCTGATCCTAAGCACTTTGTCAGACAAATCACCAAGAGAGGAGTAGCATACTAGACCACAATCTATGTATGAAACATTTACAAATTTTTAAAAAAGAAAATAACGTAAGAGCACTTACTTAGCTACACTGTGCATAATGTAGTGACCTGGGCAATTTTTATCATCATGGTTCATTCCCAAATTATGTCCCAGCTCATGTGCAACAATTGTAGCTTGACTTATCACAGTTCTGTGATCAAACTGGTAAAGAGATCAACATTGTTAGCAGGAAGCAAAAGGATAAAAATTTTGGGGCAACCACTTCTCCTGGCTTATTTGAACAGGAAAATGGCATACATTTATATCTGCTTTACCTTTACTTCCCAAGGTCTGTTATCTTCTCCACTGCCAAAATTTAAATTACAAGTGACTACAGAACTTTCTGGTACCTGGAATCTTATCAAGAAAACTCCCTAGGCAGAACCCAACCCCCCACCCTCAAACTTGGGAGAATGTAGTTTATGATATGGGGACAGGTGAGCTCTACACCATCACCCTCCAGATTGCAGCATGTTTTCCTTCAATCCTTAAAGAGTACAGGCAGAATAAAATCCTTTCTCTTTCCTCAGTTGCCTTTATAGACCAAGGAAACACAACTGACCGATCCTTCTTCTCATATCCAGCAGCTGTGGGGGGCGGGGGGGGGGGGGGCAGAGGTGGGAAATAATCTGTTTGGCTAAGCCACTAAATTAACCCTGCTTATATAACTTTGTTAAGACCTATTTGCAATCGTGACACTGTATATAAACAATAAAGAGAAAAATTACAATTCAAAGAGAGCAATACAAAGTGAATGTTAAATAGTCTTATTACTGATCTCATCACCTCAGTCCAGGTTTTACAGCCTTCCATGACGTCATAACTTCACCTACACCTGCTTTCTTCAGCCCAAAGCCCTCCAGATGACTCTTCAATGTGGAATTGCACATAATGTACAAAATTAGGATTCTTGCCCTGCCCCTGTGAAATGCTCAGTTACCTTACCAATAGTCCATGGAAACCAATAGTCTGCTTACCATGTACCTATTCAACTCATGAACCTGCTCATCTTACTTTTGTGATTGTGATAAATTTTCATCATGGCAAACAGATCCCACTGCCTCCTAACATACTTGAAGCTGTTGTCACCACCAAGAACTGGGCCAACGTGCGCCATGTAAATGTTTGCTAAGACGCCTTAAGACAAAATTATATTTGTAGTGCTGGAACATGTGACCAGAAAGTGAATAAAGGATACATATGTAATAAGCAAACTCCAGGCCAAATTCCCAAGATACTAGTATAGATATGAATACTTAGATGTAACTGTAGTGGACTGGGACATTCTGGGAGGTGTGAGAATTTTTTCTGCCTAAACATTCTTAGGGATGCACATTAAGCAGATGTAGTGTACTTACAGTGCTTATCGAGCCTCCTAGATCTGGACTACAGACTGCCCCAACAAAAGCCATTCCAGCTGTTGAACCATATGATTCTCTTCCTCTGCAGTGCAGGAGTAGAATGTGAAAAATGAGTTTAGTATTCAGGACTTTGTTCACAGCTGTTAACTCAAAATAACTGTAAATGCAATCCATGGCATCTAATGTAGAATCTAGAGACAGAGTAGAACCTAAAGGAATTCAGCTTTCACATCCAACAAGAATTGGATCCATAGGGTTGCAGAAATAAGCCTGGAAATGTTCTTTTAGAAAACTTTTTACTGGCGGTGATACAAATTATGAGAAGCCAAGACTCACTGAGGAAGACAAATTCTAGGGGAAGCCTAATGTGAGAGGAACTGATTCCATAAAGAAAGCTGCAGCTTTGAGTTTACAAGAACTGATCAGGGCTGTCAAGGACAGGCCATTTTGGAGAGCATTCATTTACAGGCTCACCATAAATGAAAGACAACCTAATGGCATGTAACAACAACAAGAAAATATCTAGGAAATAAAGAATATGGGCTTAGCTTCTAAAAGCAAACACCTGCCAGTCCCTATACTCCCAAAAAACAAACCCACAACCCCTTTTAAAACCATCTCCACCTTCAAAGTATTTGGACATAAAGTTCCAAATTCAGAAGTCAAATGCTCCACTCCAACACACACGTGATTGTACAAACTGGCATTGAGACAAAATTTTCCAGAGTTCCTCTCAGCAGCAGAATCCAAGGTACAGAGCGGTGGTGGTGATGGTTAGATCTTAGGATTCCAGTATCTCTGCCTGTGATCAGTGATTGGTTTATATAGAGCAAGCCTTACAGATGTTTTGCCCTACAATTCCATCATCCCTCACCACTAGCTATGCTAGCTAAATCTAATGGGAGTTGTAAGCCATAATATCTGGAGAGCTATATTGCTTAACCCTGCTAGATGTATTGGACTTCAACGCCCAGAGGTTCCTGCCCATATGGCGTATGGTCTAAAACATCTGGAGATCTATTTTCTTTCCACTCCTGCTGAGGAGAAACAATACTTACATAATGAGGTGGCTAACATCATTTCTTCTTTTCCCCATAAGATGTTGTCGTCTCCACTCCACAAATCTGTGGAGCACATCTCCAGCTGAACCGTTCTCCACATCAATGGGATTTTCATTTTTCCATATTTCCAGCCCAATTAGAACTATCTGTATGTTTAAGAGACTGAACATCTGCAAATATACAATTATTACCGTTGAAAAGGTAAAGGTTTCCCCTTGACGTTAAGTCCAGTCGTGCCTGACTCTAGGAGGCAGTGCTCATCTCCGTTTCCTAGCTGAGGGAGCCAGTGTTTGTCCACAGACGGTCTCCGTGGTCATGTGTCCAGCATGACTAAACACCGAAGTGCACGGAACGCTGTTTTACCTTCCCACCAAAGTGGCGCCTTTTTATCTACTTGCATTTGCATGTTTTCGAACTGCAATGTTGGCAGGAGCTGGGCCAGAGCAACGGGAACTCACCCCGTTGTGCAGATTCGAACCGGTGACCTTTCGATCAACCAGCCCAGTAGCACAGTAGTTTAAACCACTGTGCCACCTGCATCTCTTATTATCATTATGTAGATTTTAATAAACTGATTATCAATGAATTGCTGTTCCCAAAAACATTTGCTGTTTGTTCTGTATTAGAGGAGGAGAAAAGGAAAGATGGCAGGATCACCTGAGTTTCACTTGCTACCTTTGATATGCATGCATTACACTGAAGACCATGTATTTGCATATAGCTTCATGCATACAAATGTAATTCGGAAGCACTTGTGTCATACAATTCCTGATCAAACACATCCTGCTATACATTCCAATCTTTAAGAATTTCACTCAAAATACCACTTTTGGTATAAGTTGCATATGTGTTGGACAGATCTTTTAATTGACAGGAGGAACAAACTATGCAACCCAGTTGTAGCAAACATACATCACCATCCAAGCTGCCTTATTTATGTATCTGTAGCCTTCCTTCTGCCAAGGAAAATGGCACCCATAGTGGCTTTAAAGTACTAGGACTACCACATTTGCCCTACTAACTCAGGAGTGGGCAACTTGTGGCCCTCCAGATGTTTGAGCTTACAACTTCCATCAGGCCTAACCCAAACCCGAACCCTAACCAATGGTGAAGGGTTGCATGTTGTTTTGTAAGGCGCAATTTCAATAATAAAGTCTGGATATAGCCAATATGAACATAAGAAATAGTTCATTTTGCTGAGCCAAACTTCAAAGTTTAGCCTCCATGCCTTGATTTGAAAATGGATGCCATCCTGCTACAAAGTAATGAAGGAAATATTAGTGCTTTGTTTTTACACTGTCTACAAATTACTGTAATAAAACATTAACAAATATACAATGCATTTGTATATGACAACTTACCCCATCCACATAATTAGCCAGCTCAACTGCTTCCTTTTGCACTGCTTCAACATCAGAGTTTTTCAACAGATACTGAAACAATTCAAAACACAAGATGTTCTAGCACAGGAAATTCAAATACAATACCAAAATGTATTAGGATGAAAGAAATTACCCTGTGTTTGTCAACAACCATATACAGTTCAACATATCTTTTGTCTGGCAGCACAGCTCGTCTTTTCTAGAAAATGAAAAACAGGTTAATTATTTATATTTCATTCTTTTCAAACTGTTTCAAATATATAAACTCACTGGAAAAGGTCAAACATTGTTTTAAGAGATATAGGCATTCAAGGGAGTGACCAGTTTACCAGCTCAACTTGTATTACAGGATATACAACTCATGCATGTTGAATTGTTTGGAACTCCAGTTAAGTTGAGAAGACAACTGTTCTCAAATGATTGTGTGGGTTTGCACCACATACGATGGTGCCTTGCAAATAACCCATGGTGGGCACAATGTGCACAGTAATTAGTACTGCAATTACCGCAGGCCACTGCCTGTTCAAATAAAATCCGAGGCCATCAAACAGAATGAAGTAAATGCAACCATTTGGGAGGCAGGCAGTGTAAGTCCTGTTGGTACTTGTGCCCCACATGGGCCTTCCCATTCTGCCACCTGCGTTTTGTTTTAGCAATGAAATTTACACATTTCTTTGGACTAGAAAATTTCACGGCTAGGGAGTAAATAAAAGGGAAATTTATGTTATATTTCCCATTTTTAAAAAAGTGCAAATATGACTCTATCCCATTCAGCTGTCTCCTCAGGAGTTTTTGGAAGAACTGTCCTTTTCTTTCTTTCTTTTTTAAGATGGCCAACCAATGATGGTCGTTCCAAAGTGCTGCCTGGGCATCAGTGCAGTCAAGATCGTTAGGAGTGGCAAGGGGGGGTTGCTATTCTTGCCAAGGAATTCACAAGCCAGTCTCCACTGTCCATAAGTTATCTTTTATTTGATCATTAAGCATTTTGCTTGGCATTTTTTTAATGGAAGAAAGTAAGAGAGACATATAGAGATAATGAAATGGAATCCTAGCTGGAAATAAATTATAAATCTAGAGGGACAATTTCTAAAAGACAAAATAAATAGATTAGCAAAGGTACATAATTGTTGAAATATAAGAAATGCTTTTACCCTGAGAAGTGTATCTTTATTGAAGGGACTATTTGATATATTTGAGTATTTGAGAAAAGACTCTGTGTTTTGCTCATGGTGCAGGTCATTGTCAGGCACACCACATACAAAGGGTTGTTGGTGAGAATCGTCTAACTCATAGAAGTAGTGTTCAAATTTATCTGATCCATTGACTGGTTCCATGCGAAACTGTTTGCCACCAATAAAGAGGATTCCCCTAAAATCATAAGAGCAAGAAATGTTATCTGATCAAGCCACACCCACATAAACAAAGATAACCCTGATTAATTATTGCTAAACAATCCATGGCAATAGCATTTAGAAAAAGCACAAGTTTAACTCTTGGTTTCTTGGCAGGCAGAAGAGGAGTGATACTTTTCAAATAAATGGTGGCCACTGAGCATGAATTCATGTCAGATTCATGTCTGGTAGAAATACCTACATGCTCCAAATGAATATTTCAAAGCACAAAGTGAACCTCTTGGATACAAATGAATTTACTAAGCAAATGAAATTGGCTAAACAGATTTTTTTTGAAAATGCTAATAAACCAGGGAGATGGCTAGCATATAAAGTAAAAAAAGAAAGAGAGAAGAGATTGATTTCGAAACTGAAAGATGGAGAAGGATGACTACAGGTACAAAATACACAAATTAAGAAAACAGCTGAAGATTGTTTTGCAAGGTTATACCGGAAGGAGGAGTTTTCGATCGAGAAGGTAAAAGAATACATTCGAAAGGGAGATTTACCAAAATTACCAGAAAAGTATCAAAAAATATTGAATCAAGAAGTAACAACTATGGAAATAACAGAGGCAATCATGAGACAAAAGAACGATAAAACCCCTGGTCCGGATGGGCTACCAGCTGAATTTTACAGATCTTTTGAGGGAATTTTTGCTACCTTTCTCAAAGACATATGTAATGAAGCATTGTTAACTGCTAAAATACCAGATACCTGGACAGAGGCAAATATCACATTAATACCGAAAGAAAATATGGACTTAACACAGATTCAAAATTACAGACCCATATCATTATTAAATGTGGACTATAAAATGTTTGCCTCTATATTGGCAGAAAGGTTGAAGAAGTTTTTAATAGCCTTTATTCATCCAGACGAAAATGGCTTTCTGCCTAAAAGACAAATGAAGAACAATCTGAGGACTATTTTGGAAATCCTAGAATACTACAAGACACACACAGAAAAATCAATAGCTCTAATGCCCAGAAAGCCTTTGCTAATGTTAATTGGCAATTCATGATGCGACAGATGGACCAAATGGAGTTTGGGGGAAAATTTACGAATGCGATATCAAGCATCTGTCAAAGACAATCGGCCAGGATTTTAATTAATGGAGAACGTACAAAGGCTATAGAGATACAAAAGGGTACAAGGCAGGGATGCCCGCTGTCACCCCTGCTGTTCATCCTGACTTTAGAGGTCTTGAATAGAAATATTAGGGATGACGAGGACATTAAAGGTACTAAAATTAGGGATGAAAAAGTATAAATTGCAAGCATTCGCAGATGATTTGGTCTTTATAATAGAGGAACCTTTTGTAACAATCCCTAAACTTTTACAACGGATTGAAGAATATGATGAGGTTACGGGGATGAAAATAAATAAGGAAAAAATGAAACTTTTAGTTAAAAATCTTACGCAAGATCAGAAAAAAAGACTCCAAGAACAAGTGGACTTGCAGATTGTCAAAAAGGTTAAATACTTGGGAATCTATCCTACAGCTAAATGCACAACTTTGAAAGCAGACAATTACAATAAATTATTGAAAGATATTAAAGGTGATCTGGAAAGATGGGCAAATTTGCAACTGTCTTTGATGGGAAGAATTGCACTGGTTAATATGAATATACTACCAAAACTTTTGTTTTTGTTCCAAATGATTCCCGTGAAAATTGATAAAAAAAATTTTGAAGATTTAAATTTTCAAATTTCGAGATTTATTTGGAGAAAAAAGAAAGCAAGGATTAAACTGAAAATGCTTCAGGAAACCAAAAAGAATGGGGGTTTTGGTTTACCGGATTGGATGTTGTACTATCAAGCGTCTATTTTTCCTTGGCTAAAAGAATGGATAACCTTGCGAAATCAGAGAATTTTGTACCTTGAAGGACATGATTTGCAAGTGGGTTGGCAGGCTTATATGCGGTATGAGAAGGTCAAGTCTCATGGGACTTTTTAAAGTCACTTTATTAGAAGATCATTAATGTCAGTGTGGGAAAAGTTAAAGTCAAAATTGTATAATAAGTTACCAAGATGGCTTTCACCTATGGAAGCTTTCGTGTATCCAAATGTATTGAACTTTGAAGGGATCATAAGATATGATGATATTTTGGATAAGGATGGAGGCCTGAACCTAGATCAAGAAATACAAGAACAGGGACTCAATATCTTGTGGTGGTATAAGGTGCAGATGCAATCGAGATATGCTAAAGATTCTAAAATATGGGGGTTTTATAAAGACCTAACAGCCTTTGATCAAGTGATGTTAAAAACAGATGAGAAAATGATTAAAAGAATTTATGAGTTCCTACTTGACAGGAAAATGGAAGGGGAACAGGTTAAGGAAGCTATGATAACATGGGCACAAAATTTTGGATATAATATTGAATTAGAAAAGTGGCAAAAGTTATGGGAGAGAAATATTAAGGTAACTTTAGCAACTTCATATAAAGAAAATTTATATAAAATGTTTTATAGATGGTATTTGTCACCAAATTGGTTAGCTAAAATGTTGCCAAATATGTCAAACAGATGTTGGAAATGTAAATATGATGTGGGTACTTTTTACCATATGTGGTGGTAAATATGACTTGTGAATATGTGAAAAAGTATTGGATTAACATACATAAATGGCTTGAGGAAATGCTACAAAAACCCTCAGCTTTTAAACCTGAATTTTTTTTTTGTTAGGTATTGTACCGGAAAATATTAGCAAACAAGAAATGTATTTGATACTACATTTAATCACAGCAGCGAGGATTGCGCTAGCTCAATACTGGAAAAGTGAGGAACTACCCACTGAGGAACTGATTTTAAAAAAGACTCTGGACTGTGCAGAAATGGACAGATTGACTCTAGTATTGAAGGAGAAAGAAGATACTGACTGATCAAACTTGGGACCTTTTTTACGAGTGGCTGGAGAAACAGGACTTGGCTTAGATTTAAAGATTTCTTTAAATTTTTATAAATCGATTTGAATATGATTATAGAATGTTTAAAAGATATGTTATAGGGGGCTGACCCAGTACGTCTGATGTATTTGATGATTGATTATTTTTTTAGTTTTTAGTTTAAAATCTTAATAAAAAATGTGCAAAAAAAAAAAAGAAATACCTACATGCACATATATTTTAAATACTTGTCACCGCACCCTAACCTCAAAGTCTACACCGCGATTGGCCAACCTTGGCTCCTACAGCCCTCAGAGTATAGCCTTATAGCACAATATCATACATGTAAGCAAAGCATCCCTCTTCGCTGGCAAATAAAAATCTGTTCCCCCAACCACCACCACAAAAAATGAAGACAGAATGAAAAGACAGAATCATTCATACCTAAGTCCATCACATGTACTGAGAGCAAGCACAGAATCTGCAGCTCCTTCGACAATGCCATGGTAATAGCAGTGAGTCTGAAACCAAATAATTAAGAATAGTTTTCTTCTGCAAATGGCAGATTCAGACTGTATTTCAATAGAAGCAACTATGTCATGCCTCTCAAATGGATATGTTATTCTTAAACACTAATTCATAATAACATTGTACATCTAATAAAATAAACACACTTATCATGCAAATCTATGGACTCAGGTGTCAACTTATTTCCATATCAGCATTTGAAGCACTGAAATTCATCTACATCATGCAATGAAATAATAAAATATCTTTCTCCAGTGGGTTATGTCTGGCTCAGAACTTGTACTAAAAGATTCATCTATACTGAAAACTATTGAAGAGTATCAAAAGAACATTCAAGGGGATGAACTTTCCTCTGGGAGAAATAGCCAATCAGACCTAAGAGTTTTAAATGCATTTGCCAAATTGGAATTGCCCAATGGAAAATAACCTTTAAACTGACCCTTGGGTATTTTATACTAGTTAGCTGAAGAGGAAATAATTTATTTTTTTCAGCACAGACATGTACCGTAACTATCATAGCTTAACTGGGTAGAGATCATTCTGGCAGAGGAGGAAGTATATTTTTAGTGCTAAGACTGTGAAACAACACCCTGCACCCTGTGACTTCCTGGAATGTGTTGACATCAGCATTCATTCTCTCAGCCTTCCTTGACCTGGTTGTCCTCAAGATGTTCTATGAGTTCTCCAATTATCCAATCTGGATGTGTAAGATGGGAGCTGTCATCCATCCCATCCAAAAAGCATCAGGTGGAAGAAGGTTCCTCTAAAGCAACCAGGGCCCAGTTTGCAATGCATAGCATCTACTTTATATGATGACACAAAGGATCCTTCCATCAGAAAGAGGTCCTTCACAAACACCATACCTTGGCATCAAAGGGAGTGATCTCCAATTTACCATCTTGGCTGTAGGTATATCTTATGAAATGTTCACCAAAAAGATTTCTGAAAATATTTTAAAAAATCATTGGTCATGAAGTAAAAAGTTACTTCAACCAGTGGAGTATACTGTAGCAATTCATGATACCAGATTTCCATTAGATACTTTATAGCAGGGGTGTCCAACTCGCAGCCCAAGGGCAACATGCAGCCCAGGATGGCTATGAATGCAGCCCAACGCAAAATCATAAACTTACTTAAAACATTATGGGATTTTTTTGGCAATTTTTTGGTAAGCGCAGTTCATGAGCATGAACTTTGTAGATGACAACATTGTGTCACACTGTCACATAAAACAAATGTATGTATGCTCTCACTATTTGTACACATTCATGGCTTTAGTTTTATGATGGTGTGTAGCTGCCAGTGTGTTATCTTCCAAGTGCAAACAGTCGAACTGACACCATAAGACATTACATGTGTTCATGGTGACTTGGCGAGTGAAACACAGCTATTCGCAATAATATTTCAACCTACAGTTGGAAACAATTTTAAACATTTCGACATGTTGGCTAAACACAGTCCTGTGAACAGTGAAAAATATGCAGCCTTACTTTTCTATTTGATTTGATTGAAAACAGATTTCAAGATTTCTTGGAAAATAATCACTATTTTGATATATTTGCAACTCCATTTTCAGTTGACATAATTATTTTACCTGCCAATTTTCAAGTGGAAAATTTGCAAAGCTGCCATCTGACATTCAACTTAAAGAAAAATTTGATCATGGACTTTTATAAGTCTTATCTTCCCAGAGACAAATATCCCTCACTTCACAATTACGCCTTATTCATGTCTTCACTTTTTGGCAACACCTACATTTGTGAGCAACTAAGAGTAAAATTAGAACCAAAATATCTGATGAGCACCTTGAGAACTCACTGAGAATTTCAACTACTTCCATCACACCAGATATTGATGCATTAGTTTCTCAAATGCAATGTCAAATATTCCACTAGTTTTATGGTGCTCTCTTTTCTGCTCGACGATTAAAAGACTCTCTGAAGGAGCACTGCATAATTAGGATTATTATGTGAGGACCTTTTTGCTTATCTGTGGATATCACAAAAATTATGCACAAACCTTTATTTTTGGTCATCAGCTTTCGTTAGTGTTTGTGTATTTAACGTGAAGTCCAAGACAATTTTTACTCTTCCAGTGTGGCCCAGAGAAGTCAAAAGGTTGGACACCCCTGCTTTACACAGTAGTGGACTCATAGCCTATTATGCCAGGGGTGGGCCACACAGCCCCACCACCTGTTTTGCAGCCCCCAGTATGCCAGAGTGATACCATCATGCCACCATCACATCGCCAAATTTCAGCATGGCAGCATCACAAAAAGATGCATTCCCTTTCAAACAAGTAATGCAGTCAGCATACACCTTATTTAAATGGCAAATCACACTCTTCTGGGTCCTCCTGCAGCATAACACACTTTGTTTTACAAGCAGAAATGTGGTCTTTAAAAAAGGCCAGTGAAATTCAGTGGCAATGCTCAGGATAGTGGTAGCCATTCTGCTGGCACTGTGTGTCACTCCATCTCCTTTTCTCCTCCCCATTTTAGCAAATGCCATTCCTTAAACCTTTTCCATTATTCTTCTCCATTATTTACTTGTTCCAAGTAGATTTTATTACAGCAAAACAAAATTAGATTCACTGAAGTAAAAACTGAAAAGATATTTGAATAGTATATAACATACTTATTTTTCTTTAACTTCAGAACATGAGTCCCATTTCCAGTTTGAATCAAATAAGACAGTTGATTATCTAAATGTTCCTGAAACATAAAGCATATACATCATATGACATACGGTTTGCTATTTAATTAAAAATGTGTTGTCTCTTATCAAAAACATGCTGTTACAGCTCAGCTCAGACTTCTAAACAGCTAATTTTCAGCTTTCAATCCAACTAGCTATGTGGTACACTTCCAGAATACTTGCTAAATAGATTTGCAGTTTTACAAATTATAACACATCTACTCCATTTAAAAAGGGGAGGGGATTTTACATTCCAAACTTGTTGATCTGTATAGCTGTGACTAGTGCACATGCAGTATGGCTTTTCTGACACCACTGCACGGAGATCTTACACCAGGCAAAACCATTCAGTTTAGCTGCTTGTCAGCTAATACTCTATTGTAAGATATGTAGCTGGCTCTGTAAGACCCTCAAAATAGTACAAAGAGCATCCACCAATCAGTTTTTACTCATTAAGGTTACTTATCATGACCAGAGCACCACATCTGGCAAAAGGAACCATTGCTCTATTAAACTATGGCATTGTTCTATATAATGTCCTAGGTTGGCTGGCAACACGCAACAAAATGCTGTGATGCCAGTGCAGCCATACATGAAATGCAATTTCATCTGCGATTACATTTTGCCAGCACAGTGGGCCATACAATGGATCTCTAGTCAATACTGTCTTATTTATATCATACTTTGTTGGGTATGGTAGTAGGATCTCATATTTAGGAGATTTTAAAAAATCTGAAACAAAAACAAACCTCAGGAAGATGTGTCCAGCGCTTCTGCCTGTCTATTAGTCTTTCAGGAATTATAATCTCATGTGCAGAATGCCTAGAGTTCTGATGAACATAACCACCTGAAAAATAATGTTATTTTTGAAAAAAAAAACTTGAAAGCTTTTTAAGTAATGATTTTACTATGGTCTCCCAGTACAAACATCCAAGTTAAGAACAACCCCCTACTTATGAACGAGCAAACCTGGTAGTCTGGCAGTCCTGCAGGTGGCTGGAGGAAAGGAGAGCAGAAGAAGGAATGAGTAAGGAAGGGAAGAATAGGAAGGGAAGGTGGAGGAAGAAAGCAGCAAGTGGCAAAGTCAGAACTAGAATAAATCCAGTGCAAGTGCAGCTGATTCATCGAATAAAAATAAAACAATCACAATCAAAACTAAAGCAGAAACAAAAAATCTATCAGAGAAAAGTGAGACACCATGGTCATCAGGCTTTAGTTGTTCAACAATTGGATTCTCTCTCTTTTCAGTACCTATAGTTACTTTATTATTACTGTATTGTTATCATTCTCAAAATGCTGTATTGTATTTAAGATGTTTCAGTGTGTATGCAAGTGTTTCTTATGTGTTTTATATGCTTTGTATATATGTAATATGACTTACATATAAATTTGACTTAAAGAAGATCCAAGAATGGAACTTGTTCTTAACCCAGGGACTGGGTGTATTACATTACATATATACTCCACCTTCTTTCCTCTTACACAGAATGTCATACTATCAGATTAAATTTATGTTACACTGTGTTAAATTTTCTAGAATCTTTCTTTTAAAAAGACTACAGAAAACAACATTGGATTTACCTGACTCCCTCAGAAAACCCACAAAATGTTTACCTGCTTACCAGTTAAATGGGACTTTACTACAAACTCCTGGTCTGGCACCAAGAGTCAGAAAAGATGGGCATCTGTCAACGTTCATGAACTGACAGGGGATCCACAGCCAACCACATTCCCAAAAATGGCTTTAAGGTGCAACTTAAAAGAAATGCTTGATGAGAGGCAGAGGCAGAGGCAGGCAGGCAGGCAGGAAGTGAATGGAGCAGAGGAGTGGATAGACAAATGGAAGGGGCAAGTAATGAACTCAAATCCAGCCAATGTGGTGCTGCTGCCAGTGGTGAAACTAGGGATGGACTTCAGAGCTTCAAGTCCAGGGGCCCACTGCCCATGGGTGCCCAAATGACCACTCAGGGAGCAGGAGTTGATAGGGAGTTGACAGGACCAAGCCTCAGCACCTGGGCCAACTTGGACATGCCAGAGTCCACTAAGGTGGACTCTGGTTGTAACAACAGCTCTTCTCTCTGTCTTTCTGTCTTTCTTTCCTTCCTTCTTTCCTTCCTTCCTTCCTTCCTTCCTTTCTGTTAAACATTTCCTAGTTAAGGGGTGCCTGACCATGTATGTGATTATAGATGTTAATTTTAATTTTTTAACTTTAGAAATATATTAGTACTTTCTACAGCAAAATTGTGCATTTTTTAGCATAAGCACAACTAAAGCAAACACAATTTTATTCCTGCATAGTGGTGCCAAATGCACGTGAAACATCAGATTCTCTATATGTTCAAAAACTTTTTATCAATTGCAGAGTTGTAGTTGCAGTTGTTATAGAAAATTATTTAACTGCATCACCGGCTGCTGCTGAAGCTCAAACCAGCACTTCCCTCCCTTCTATGGTGAATATGCAGGACAGAGCATAATCTTGAACTTATGTTGGCTGTGCAGCAAAGTAAGCAGGAATCTCTGTTTCTCTCTGGTGAAAAGGGGATCTCAAGGTGGTAGGAAAGTTCAGCCTTTATTGGTGGGTAAGCAACCAGTGCTCCTAAGGGTAAGGCCATCATTAATCTTCTGCCAGTGCAATCCAGCCCTTGAACTTTGTAGGATTCAGGTAGGCTGAGCGTCATCCTTCATCTTCCCACAGGTCCACCACTGGCTATTGTGTGCAGGGTGCTGGGTGAATGGACAGGCAACAGGCAGTGTGTTGCATGGAGCCTGCAAAACCTTGGCACTCCAGACACATACATTTTCTCATCTCTCTTTCACTGAAGACTTTTTAGCTTCTACAGTTGTGTAGAACCCACAGAAAAACAAAAAGTGAAAATAAACTGATTCAATGACGCTTGTGACAAGTTTCTTAGAAATCTATAATTTTAAATTAATGAAGCAAGCAAATGGACAAATGTCAACATATTACTCATGTTGGAATATATTTGAAAAATATATTTAATGGTAGGAATATATTTAAAAAACAACCAGCACCAAAACAATCCCTGGTAAATAGGTTGCCCAGGGGGCATCCAATGCTATCACTTTTTTTCTAATAGGCATCATGGAACTAGGATTTTTCTTACTGTAATCTCAGTTTGTGTTAAATGGGCTTGGCTTTTGCATGGCTTGATGTACTTATTAATATATTAAAATGATTTCTTATTCATTAAAATTATTCTGTACTTAAACATATTTATTATTTTATATTATTTTGTATTGTAATTTATATTCTATTTATTTAATATTTTTATTTATTTAAAACATTTCTATGCTGCCCCCATCGCAACAAAGCCTCGGGGCAGCTCACAAAAAATACATGAAAACATACATAAATAATAATAATAATTTAAAAGAAAAAAAACATTTAAAACCCCCCTGTGCATTCTCGGCTAATTTTAAAATCCTAATTAATTCAATAATTTAGCAATTAAAATAAGTTTTAAATAAAAAGGTCTTAGCCTGGCGCTGAAAAACAATAATGACGGCGCCAGGTGGACCTCTCTAGGGAGCGCATTCCATAGATGGGGTGCCACCGCAGAGAAAGCACTCCTCTGGGTGCTCACCATCCTAATCTCATTCACAGAGGGTTCCCGGAGAAGGGCATCCGTTGCTGATCTCAAGGGGTGGGAGGGCATATATGGGTGCAAGCGTTCCTTTAGATATCCAGGTCCCAAGCCATTTAGGGCTTTATAGGTCATAACCAACACCTTGAATTGGGCCCGGACTTCAATCGGGAGCCAGTGGAGCTGACGGAGTACTGGGGTTATATGAGAACAATGCCCAGTCCCCGTCAGCAACCTGGCAGCTCTATTCTACACCAATTGAAGTATCCGGACTGTCTTCAAGGGTAGCCCCACGTAGAGTGTGTTACAAAAATCTAATTGGGAAGTTACCAGCGCGTGTGTCACTGTCACCAGGCAGTTGTTCTCCAGGAGGGGATGCAGCTGATGGATCAGCCGAAGCTGAAGGAAAGCGCTCCTCGCCACCGCCATCACCTGAGCTTCCAAAGACAGCTCAGGGTCGAGGAGCACTCCTAAGCTGCGAACTCTCTCCCTCAGAGGGAGTGCAACCCCATTTAGGACAAGGCCCAAGTCCCCCATCCCGAGGCCTGAGCCACCCACCAACAGGACCTCCATCTTGTCTGGATTGAGCTTCAGTTTATTGGCCCTCATCCAGCCCACTACCTCGGCCAGGCACTGGTTCAGCACAGCCACTGCCTCACCTGGATTGGTGGAAAACAAGAGGTAGAGCTGGGTATCATCAGCATACTGATGATTCCGCAGCCCACACCTCCTGACGACCTCTCCCAGCGGTTTCATGTAGATGTTAAATAGCAAAGGGGACAAAATGGACCCCTGCGGAACTCCATGGCATAACTGCCATGGCACAGAGCCACAGTCCCCCAGCACCACCTTCTGAAATCAGCCATTGAGATAGGAGTGCAACCACCGCCACGTGGTGCCTCCAACTCCCAATCCCGCTCGCCTCTTCAGAAGGATACCATGGTCGATGGTATTGAAAGCCGCTGAGAGGTCCAGGAGAACTAACAGGGACACATTCCCCCTGTCTCTCTCCCTGCACAGGTCATCCTACAGGGCGACCAAGGCAGATTCAGTGCCATACCCGGGTCTGAAGCCGGACTGAAATGGGTCCAGATAATCAGTTTCATCCAAGAGTGCTTGGAGTTGTCCCACCACCACCCGCTCTAGCACCTTGCCCAGGAACAGGATGTTGGCCACCGGTCCATAATTGGCGGCCACCTCTGGATCCAGGGATGCCTTCTTTAGGACTGGCTGGACTACCGCCTCCTTTAAAGGGGCAGGTACCCAGCCGTCTCTTAAAGAGGCATTGACCACCTCCAGGATCCAGGTCCCAATCCCGTCCTTGGCTTTCTTAAGTAGCCAAGATGGGCATGGTTCTAGTAAGCAAGTGGTAGGACGTACTTGTCCAAGCACCTTGTCCACATCATCAGGCCGCAACAACTGAAATTCATCCATTAATTGTGGACTCGACGGCATCGATGGTGTCTCCCCAGTAGAATCTGATTCAATTACAGAGTCAAGCTCGTGGCGAATCTGAGCGATTTTCTCCCTGAAATGCTTGGCAAAGTCGTCACAGCAGGCCTTCGAGGGTGGCACAAGATCTTTCTTCGGGCCCGGATGTATCAGCCCCTGCACCACCCGAAAAAGCTCCACCAGACGGCATTGTGAGGAGGCAATGGAAACGGAGAAGAATTTCTTCTTCGCCATCCTCACTGCCACAGCATAGGCCCGATAATGGGCTCTTAAGTGTGTTCGGTCAGAATCACCCTGTGATCTCCTCCACCTACGCTCTAGACGTCTCCCAACCTGCTTCATCGCCCGTAATTCAGGTGTATACCAAGGAGATGAACGGGCTCTGCCAGGTGGGAGAGGACGCTTGGGAGCGATTGTGTCAATAGCCCTGGTCATCTGCTCATTCCACAGTACAACCAGGACATCGACAGGATCACCAGCCTTGTCAACCGGAAAATCCCCCAGAGCTTCCAGGAATCCATCAGGATCCATCCGGCTCTGGGGGCGGACCAATACAATTGGGTCTGCACCCTTGCAGAGGGAAAGGCCGCTCTCAAGCTCAAACCTTATGAGGAAGTGATCTGACCATGACAAGGGCGTCAAGCTTAAATTCCTCACCCTCAGATCACCCTCTTCCTGCCCCGTCGAGAAAACCAGGTCCAGAATGTGTCCACATTCATGGGTCGGGCCAATGACGTGTTGAGACAGCCCCATGGCCGCCATGGAGGCCATGAAGTCCTGAGCTGCCCCGGTTAGAACCATCTCGGCATGGAGATTGAAGTCCCCCAGGACCAACATCCTAGGAGTCTTCAACACCAGGTCCAAGACGATCTGCGTCAGCTCAGGTAGGGAGTCTGTTCAGCAGAAGGGTGCACAGCACACCAACAGAATTTTTCCATGGAAGCCACGGAAACAGCAATCCTGTTGCCTGTAGACAATGTCTGGGCAGAACGAGAGGAGAACATGCATTCCACCATTAAGGTTGGAGACTGTGACAACTTCAGGTTTGGGAGTTCAACTCTGACAGCCCTCTCACTCGCAGTTGGTACAGCAAGGATTGCACAGGCTGCTCTCAGACATCCAGCCACTGCATGCCATTTGACATGGCCCCTCCACTGCCAAACAATTAGCAATCCATGACCATCCATTATATTCCATCCTCACTGGACTGTTTTTAGTGATTTTCCTTCTTATATTTTTAAAAGGCAGGCAGGACATACTAATGTAAACTGGGGAGGAGGGAAAGCCTGTGCAATCCTCCATTTTGTGTGTGAGTGACGGATCTGACTCACTAGCTTCTGTTCTTACTAAAGTATTCAGCAAATTCTCTTGGAGAATGCTTCTCCTTTATAGTGCTGTGTAAAGCCTGCTCATCAGTGTTCCAAAAGCATTAAAAGAAGTAAAAGCTCCCACTGAGTAAAGGGAATTTTTAAAAGCATTTTTTACATCTTTGTTAAAATCCAAGGTATGGAGCAATGTCCTTCCTTAAGACCCTAAAGCTGATACTAAACCTATTTTTCGTTATGATCTACATATGTTATGCTTCTGGATACACAGAGTGATAGCTCCAACTTAACTATGCATTCCCTTCCAACATTGTCAATCAGTTTAATTTAAACACATGCACACACACAGAGAGAGAGCTAATTTATAGCTGAATACTGAAATAGCAAAAACAATTTTTAAAAACATAACCTGCTTGCACTATTTAAAAAAAACATCCTAATGTTGCTTTGACACTTTACTGAAAACTAGACCAAATTAAAAAAAATTATCCAAATGTCTAGGTATTTGAGACTGAATCATCCATCATTGGAAGCCCACTTTCCCTTCTTCAGGAAGAACATGGCATATAACCAAATCAAAACCATGGAGCCCACCATGTTTCATTTTGATCACTGCCAAATCTGAATGGTGTTTCCATCAAATCTACCCTTCAGTACATTTTACAAAGAATGGTCAGCGCCATTGTATTTCAAGATTGTGTTCCATCCTAGGAATCATTGTGCACACTACTTAGTGATAAATGTGAAAACATGAGCAAAAGTGCTTCCATAATATAGCTGCAGAAAGCCTAACACTGTAAGAATAGCTTTAGACTTGAGGTGGGATCCTGATCTGATCAGGAAACCATGTTGTGAGTCTTGCTCCGCATGTACACCTTAGACGTGCTATGCACCTGTCCTGAAGCTTCTTCCTTTGGATACACCTTTGAAAACTCTTTGTTTGCCTGTCCTGAAAGTTCTTCCTTTGTGTCTGTCTTAATCCATTCAACCCTGTTTGTTTTACTTTCATGTGCCTCTGCCAAACTGCCTACGTGATCCCCACCTTCCCCCAAACTGTGTATGTAACTGATAGGTTATAAAAGCACCCTGTACAAACTCCATCTTTGCAGTTCCTCTGGGGACTCCCCACATGATGCATCTATTTCCTGTATGTCTGAACAAATGGCAAATGTTCCTTGGAATGTATACCCCCAGTGTACCTACTCTTTCTATTTTTCTTGTCAGAAGCAATCTAGTTCCCTGGGAGTAGGTCTCTTTGAACTCATTGGCACTTGCATTGAATGTAAGATTGTGCTGTAATGCCTAACCCACAGATCCACAATGCACAAAGAAATCAAGCATTTACACCTCAGCTTTTAATATTTTGATCTGATACATGCTTATCTGGAAGTAAGCACTACCTGCTGAACTTTCTTCTGTATAAGAGATTGTCTCTGACTCTGAATGAGTACCTTGCTTTGATTACATTGGGTATCAGGTCGTCAGTGTAACTTTCCATTACCTACTAAATAGGCAGAAATAAAAAGAAAAAAACTCACCCACTGTCAGCATTTGTTTCCCAGTGTTGGGTAGACCCAAGATGACTACATACAGATAAAGTCCTAACATGGTGTGTTCCTTCCTTGATTGGCAAAGATGTTTCAAGTGGAAATGCCAGGGTAAATTCAGCTAATGGCAAGAGAATGGCAGCATTGAACCTCAGAAAGGCAAACCATAAACACAGTAACAAAAGAATTCAGGTAACACTGAAAGGAATGGGGAAGTGCTGTTTGTGCCAGCACTGCAAGAACTAGTTTGACAACCCACAGACACAGCTATGTTTCCGGAAAATACCACCCACAAGCACTATGAAGAAAGCAATCTCTTGATTTCACTGCTGTTTTACAAACCCTTAGGGTGTTTCTGTATCTACAGCTCAACACACGTGCTTTTTAGTCTGTAATATGTCACCTTTAGCAGTGGTAAATGCAGGCTAGTAGTACCGAAAGAGCCTCTTATATCCAAAGAAAGAACATCCCAGGCAAAATTGAATAACAAAAACAGGGCTTTGGCTTTGGAGGAGGGCTTTGTTGAAAGAACATAATTCTAGGTGGAGTAACTTTGGTTTTAAAACAACATGAATAAGTAAGATATTGTAGCACTACTGTTGTGCAGGTAACTATAAAAGGTACAATATTTTTATCAGGCATGCCTTGGTGAGCAGAAAATGTACCAGAATGATTTCTCAGCTACTGAGAAACTATTCATGATAAGCTCAGACTCTTATCTAGACTCTAAACAGTCTGCGTGACCAGGGCATATGAAGTCTCTGGGCTAGCAAGATACTTCCTGGTAAACTGTGTGAATTTCAACAATGATTATTTAATCATTGTGAAGGTATACAATGTAAATTTGGACTAAATGGCTTGTCTATTGTAGCCCACAGCTAAAGGTGAGAGAAAGGAGTGGGGGAATGCCCTTTTAAACAGTGACTTAGCTTGGATTGAGAAGTACAGGATTTGATCCCACAATGCAAAAAAGCACACAGAAGTAATGCTTTTCTGACAGGATTTATCCAAATTTTCCCAACAGTAGGATGACACCTTTGGGTGCTTGTTCCAAAGGCCTGCTTGTTGGATTTCAGAAGAATCTGAATGGAATGTGAAGCAGATCAGAAGTCTGGGAATAGGGGCCATGATGAGACACTGAGATGAGAGAAGCAGAAGTACTTACCCAAGGACAGACTCCCCAAGAGGGCAGGCAGTGAAGGATTCTGTTCTTATGCACGAACTGACGATAAAATGAGACTCCCTCTGGACTAGAAAGAAGTAAAAGCAGTGTTCTTGAGGAGACAGTGTGGAATCTGGTGGCTATCAAGAGCTTCACCAATTAGTTTGATGCAACAGTAGGCTACCCATGGAAAACCTCACCTCGGTGGCTCTCAGCCCTTTCAGCAGTATCCATCCCGGTAAGCTGCCTGGGTTGGGGCTTGGTAGAACTATATAGTAGGAGTGGGCAGACTTCGGGTTTACAGAATCATTTTTGTATTTTTACTAGAGCTCCCAACTCCACTAACAAGACCATGGTGCAAAAGAAATACACTTCGGGCACATGGGATGCACCCTCATTGCTTGGAAACCTCTGAAATTTGGAGGCTGCTGAAATTCCTATGCCCTTCAGGGTTGAAGTTGGCAGAATAAGAGAAGCACCAGAAGCAATATTTGCCTCTCTATTCAGTGCTGTTTTCAGCCAGGGACCACTTTGGAGGATGAGGAAAGGAGGCTGGAGGAAGCTCAGGGCAACTCATATCCTGGCCACTCCTGTCTCAACCCCTCCCTGCCTACTGGAATAATCCCTTTCCCTTCCTTAATTACCAACTTAAAAGAGTCAGTCAAACAGTTCTTCCCATGACAACTACAAGGCCTAAGGGTCAGATCTCTAACTCCTCCTTCTGTGATTGTAGCGTTGGAAGGATTGTTGACCTTGGGAGGGGTTTTCCGAATCATCCTATGGACCACAGGACTGCTGTTTTAGAAGTAAAGACTTCACAAATGGTCTTTATAATTTATTATGAGTACCAGAACTGAACAGAATTCACACTCCTTCCACACAAAAATCTACTTGATTCCAGCAGTATAATTTAGGTGCACAGCATGGGTGTGGGGAGAGGGATTTATTTTGTTACTGCTATTGTTAAAAATTAGCATAGTCCTAAATCCTTGCTGGTCCACTGCAAATCATCCAGAGATGTACAGTAGATCCAACTCTACCTTCTGTCCATCTTTGTTTCTGCTTCTACTTGGATGGTTGATTCTAGAAAACAGTGCTGGGAGATGGTTGCTCTGTTTCTTGGCAGTTATGCATCAGGGTACCTCCATGCTTTTCAGCATTTGAAGGTGCTGGGAGAGCTAAGGTTAGGGTATATAATAAAGTTCCACCAATGCACAAATCTTTCTTTCTTTCCTTTTATTTAAGGCAAGTGGTGTTCCGAGTAATGGACTGGATGAGGGCCAATAAATTCAGACTCAATGGGGACAAGACGGAGATAATTCTGGCAGAGGGTTAGTCTGCCCTGTTAAGTGGCTCAACCTGTTCTGCAGGTGAAGGCATATTCCCTATGGCAGGGGGGCAGTTTTGGCCCAAGAAAACAGCAGCTCCACACACAATCACACACACAAATGTGCACTGTCTTCCCACGCAGAGACACATACACTCTTCCTCCAACTTGCACATACTTCCTCTGTGCATACCTGAATGCACATTCTCAAATATACTCTGTCTCTCACACATCTCAGCATCCAGAGGTGGGGTGGTTTAACACTCCCTCCCTGTCCCTTGACACTGCAAGATCAGTGGGAGCTGAGAGAGGCTTTTGCTTCTCCCGCCCCCCAGCAAACTTCACTGAGATAACCGCTTCTCCACTGTTACATGTTAGTGCTGCAGGTGAGGCCACTGTGTGCTGGATGAAACAAAAGCATTCTCTACCTCACCACCCCACCTCCCCACATCCCCATCCAGTGGATCTGGAGAAAAGTGGATATGGCCACTACATTTCTGTGGACTGCAGAAGGAATGGCCAAGACCCACTTGTGGCTTTTGGGCCAGAGGTTGTGCTCTCTTGCTCTAAAAGCACAGGCCTGCTGTTTAGAGGTGCTTTCATATCCAGCATTGTCATTCATGACTCAGGTTGCTTTGGTGCCTATATTTACTCTTTATGAGCTTGGGTAATACACTAACCTCCTATCCACTATGCATTATTGAAAGTATTCTGGAAAACCCCATTGTCTTGCTGTTTATGATACACAAAGAAACATTTACCCAGTGGCCACAGCAGTACTAAACTGAATAGTTCTGCTTTGTTTTTTTGCTAATGGAAAACTGAAAGGAAATTGCAGAGGTAAATAAACTTTTGATTCCACATACATCATTCAAATTGCCAAAGTGTTGCCTTTTCTTTTTAGCAAAAGAATAAAAAAGCCACCAACTGACTTCTGATATTCATGTTTATGTCCACTAAGCTCAAAATACATCTGTATTCACATTCAGAGATTTAAATTCTAGAGACCTAGTATTTTCCCTGGAGCTGCAATAACTACAACATATAGACTGAGACCAGGTTTGACATCCAAACCTGGCAAAGGTGGGTCACTGGGGTGGTTTCTATACCACCACTCTGAAATTCATGGCTTGATCTCAAGTTACATGGTGGTTTGTATATGACCCAGACCATTCACCTCTGATGTCATGAAAACCAACAGCCAGGGAGGGTAATTATGCTAAGCTAGGCAAACTGTAACTGTCACATGTTGGGAGGAAAAATAAGCCACATCATTTATTTCGTATCTGCTGATTATGCAAACCCATGCATTTTAGTAACCCACACATTCTGTTCCTTTCTAGGAACAGCTGCTAGTAAATAAGGTCTTTTCTTAGTAAACAAAGAAAAGTGAGAAATATGAAGGAAGACTCCTAGCTTAATATATTTGGCAAATTGGAGTACGGTTAAACCAATTCTAGTTCAAGTACTTGAATTTACTTGGTTTGCTGATTGTAGCAACAGCTAAAGCTGGTCTCTGGTGACATCAACATACTCATTTTTACTATGATAAACTAGCCATGTTCATGTACTTGGCATTTAATCTAATGTTTTATGATACAGAGACTTTTAACCAATAGCTACATTAACATGGAACAAAATAATTTTGCTTCCCTCTTTGCTAACCACAAATTCAACAGAAATAGTTCTCATTACTCAGAAACAATCTGAACTTTACTCTGAAAAATGCCAAATATTCAAATGTAACTCTTTTTAGGATAAAAATATTTGTCAACAAAATTTGGGAACAGAAAATACATCAGTTAGTTTCGAAAAAGTCTTCTTAACACTAAACATCTTATTAATCTGTAGTAGCTTTCTTCAAACATTTAGAAAGAATTTCTTCCTTATTGTTATTTATTCCTTATTTATACAGAGTTCAGGAAATGAAACTTACTTACATGAAAGAAGAGAAGAGAAGAGAAGAGAAGAGAAGAAGGAAGGTACATTTATATTCATATTTATTATTTTTATATTATTTATTTTGTTCCATTTCTATGCTGCCCCATAACCTTAAGGTTCCCTCAGTGGCTTACAAATGCTAAAAAAGTATAAAATACATACATATAATACAATAAAACAATTAATAATCAGATAAAATAGATAAAACAATATTAATAATTACTTATTCTTTATCATATGGCACATTCACATAACACTTCAACAAAAATACAGGCATAAAAACATGACATACAAAATATAAGGTCCAAACCAAAGCATTATAAACATATATCTAAATTGCAGATATAATTTTTTGATTCATTTGTCACAACCAGCAAACTCTCCTTTATAAGCTCTGTTTTGGCACTCTGTCACTATATGGTGGACAGTTTGTCTTTCAGATCCACAATCTCTGTTTGGTGCTTGTAATTTGCCCCATTTACAAAGGGCATCTACACATCTGCCATGGCCAGTGCAGTCTGGATTTAGTGTTGTCCATACCAAATCCAAGTGATTTTTCCAAGATGAAGGGCAGACTACAACAATGAAGAGGACAGTTTTCCATCCAGTGTTGTTTCTACGTATTGTGCATATTAAAATCATCTTCCACAAGTGCCTTAGCAGTAGT